ATTATAGTATATAACGTAATTACTATAGTTAATAATACCCTATTGTGTATTTGAAGGTTGTTGAAAGAATAGATTTAACAGTTCTCTCCACAAGGAAAACAAAATTTCTAATCTTGTGTGGTGATGATGTTAACTAAAAACTTACTGCGGTGATCATTTTTCAGTATATACACAAACTGAATCATAATGCTGTATATGTCTGAAACTAATAAAAATGTTACAATTATATTTCAATTTTAAAAAAGCTGGTCCAAGTGACAGTTAATTAGATCGAAATCAACCTAAGACTAGAATGAGACTATTAGGCAGAATAAAAGCTCAGAGACCAAACCAAAAAACAGTGGTAGTCTCACACAGCTCTGCAGGAGAACTTGGGGCCCATGACTACTCCTGGCCTGGTAACTACCTTTCAACCAAATCATTTTAATTTCAAATGGATATCTATATTATTCAATTTCAAGGATCCCAAATTAGTAATTTTTCAAAGAATATATGAAAAGTTATTCCACAAAATACTAACACTAAACATGTAACATTCAAATCAGTTACAGACTAAAATGGATAAACACAAAAAACAAAGGAAGTAAATATACTTTCTACCTTTTAAAAAAAATCCTGACTCACCCACCAAATATTTTGTTTATTCAGAAAACATTTACTGGACTTCCGCCAAGATGGAGGCATAGGTGGAAGCACTGTGACTCCTCTCACAACCAAGTTTAAAAACAACAAAGTTTTAGCAACAAAAACACAGCCAAAACCACAGAAAATTGAACTTCATGGAAGTCTGACAACAACAAACCCTTCAGCCAAACCGGTAAGAGGGGCAGAGCCAGCAGCAGATCGGGGTCAGGCAGGAAAGATCCACGGACCGACCGGGGTGTGGGACCCAGGCACGCCGGCAGCCATAGGCGGATCCCAGGTGTGGAGAAGCGGGAGGACCCACTGAGGGCTGACCACAGTCACACATTTGCACGCAGATAAACCTGTGAAGGAGGGAGCAGTGAGACAGACCGTCCAGGCCCCAGTGGCAGGAAGCGGCAGAGGGGACCGCCATTGTCCCTCTCTGACCCCGCCCCCACCTACAGCGTCACAAACCAGCGACCTGGGTGGCCTCTCTCTGACCTGCCCCCACCTACAGCGTCACAAACCAGTGACCTGGGTGGCCCTGCCCTGGTGAGCAACTAAGGCTCCGCTACTCATACCTAACAGGCATGCACAGATCAAAACATGGCTCAAGAAGAACTTAGAGCCCCAGAGCCAATAAATCTAAGCAACCAAGAAATAGCCAAACTTTCAGATGCACAGTTTAAAATATTGGTGATCAGGATGCTCACAGAACTGGTTGAATTTAGTCACAAACTAGAGGAACATATGAAGGCTAAACTCATTGAAATGAATGGAAATGCACAGGAAACCAATAGTAATGGAAAGGAAACTGGGACTCAAATCAAAGGAGTGGACCAGAAAGAGGAAAAAAATGACCAAACAGAAAAGAATGTAGAAACAAGAATTCAAAAAGTGAGGAGAGGGTTAGGAACCTCCAGGACATCTTTAAACGCTCCAACATCCAAATTATAGGGGTACCAGAAGGGGAAGAGGAACAGCCATGAGTGGAAACCTTATTTGAACAAATAATAAAGGAGAATTTCCCCAATCTGGCAAAGGAAATAGACTTCCAGGAAATCCAGGAAGCTCAGAGAGTCCCAAAGAAGTTGGACCCAAGAAGGAACACACCAAGGCACATCATCATTACATTAGCCAAGATTAAAATGAAGGAGAGAATCCTAGAAGCAGCAAGAGCTAAGGGGACAGTCACCTACAAAGGAGTTCCCATCAGATTGTCAGCGGATTTCTCAAAAGAGACCTTACAGGCAAGAAGGGGCTGGAAAGAGGTATTCCAAGTCATGAAATCCAAAGACCTACGTCCAAGATTGCTCTACCCAGCAAAGCTTTCATTTAGAATGGAAGGACAGATAAAGTGCTTCTCAGATAAGGTCAAGTTCAAGGAGTTCATCATCACCAAGCCCATATTATATGAAATGTTAAAGGGACTTACCTAAGAAAAAGAAGATAAAAAAGATGAACAGTGAAAGGACAGCAAACTCACAGTTATTAAGAACCACACCTAAAACAAAAACAAACTAAGAGGACAGCTAGATCAGGAGCAGAACCATAGAAATGAAGATCATATGGAGGGTTAGCAACAGGGGAGTGGGAGAAGGAGAATGAGGGAGAAGGTACAGAAAATAAGTAGCATAGATGGTAGGTAGAAAACAGATAGGGGGAGGGCAAGAATAGTAGGGGAAATATAGAATCTAAAGAACTTGAGACATGTGGTCATAAACTAAAGGGGGGGAACAGTGGGGGAGGGGGTGGCAGGGTGGAGGGAAATGAAGGGGGGGAATAGAATGACTGTAATGGCATAATCAATAAAATATATTTAAAAAAAGAAAACATTTACTGAGCATGCTAGAATTGTTCTTACTGGGAATATAGCAAGGGATACACACACAGACACACTCCATAAAGCAGGTACTATATGTAAAAAATCTTACACATATGTGCATATATAATTGTCATATATCTCATATATAATATATAAGGTACCACCACTGCATTTTATATATTTCTTTGATGTACCATATATAAATGGAGCTCAAATTTCACTAAGTAGAGAGAGACATTAAACAAATACTCATAACACCAGGCTAATGACTACCTAGCATTTCTGAAGTCTCAGATGACAAGGATCCAACGTCTTCTAAAATCTGGCTCCTACTCACTTCTATAACCTATTGCTCGTGTTCTTACACTCATTTCACTCATTGACTAAATTAGAGAACTCACTGTTGTAAAGATGGTCCTGGATTTTCTCAATGCCCTCTCATTCCCTTCATCAGGAAACTGCCAGCACTCATCTATAAATGTTACCCGTCCTACCAAGACTCAGTTCAAGAGCCATTGCTTTCTGTAGGCAGATATCCCACCAGCCCAGCCAAAAGTGACCTCTTTTCCTGCTGTAAACTCTTTAAAGCATTAACAACTATTATATTTGACTACATGCCTTTGGGGTGGAATTCATAGGTGTGCAACCTGTCCAATGCTTTGGTGTCAACTGTCTTGAAAAACTTAATACATTATGAACAAAGAGTCCCCACACCATTTCTGTACTGGACCCTGTAAATTACATAGCCAGTCCTGTTCATGTTAAACAACTCATGTGAACCTCTCAAAGAAAAAAAAATCATGGAAAATAAGCAGGGAATTTATTGTAATCTCTCTCTCTCTTTTTTTTAGAATAGAAACTTAAATTTCCATAAACTCTGGGTACAGGCTGCTAAACAGGGATTACTAATCTTTATCCCTGGATTGAAAAGATAAAAATAAGCCAAGTCAGCTCAGAAATAAACCTTCAAGCATGTGGTCAATGGATCTTCCACAAGGGTGCCAAGGGCTTCTACCATGGGGAAAGGACAGTATTATCATCAAATGGTGTGAGGAAAACACAAAAGAATAAAGTTGGATCCTTTTATTATACCACACAATAAAACGGACTCTAAGTAGATTAAAACCTAAAAAGACCTAAAACGGTAAAACACCTAGTAGAAAACATAGAAGAAAAGCTTTCATGACATTAGACATTAGACTCAGCAATGATTTCTAGGGCATGACACCATAAGCACAGGCAAAAAAGCAAGAATTAGACAAGTGGGACAAACTTAAAACTCAAGTTAAAAACTTTTGAGCACCAAAGGACATAATCATCAGAGTGCAAGACAGCCTATAGGATGGGAGAAAATATTTGCAAATCATGTATCTGACAAGGGTCTAATATCCAAAATATACAAAGAATGCCTACAGCTCAACAATAAAAAAGTCATGTAACTCGCATTACACAAGGCCAACAAGCAAATGCAAAGATCCTCAACATCGCTAATTGTCAGAGAAATGTACATAAAAACCATGGTGAAATGTCATCTTATATTCATTAGGGTGGCTACTATCAAAAAACCAGAAAATAGCCCTGACTGGTGTGGTTCAGTTGATTGGAGCATCGTCCCATAGACCAAAAGGTCACACGTTCAATTCCCTATCAGGGCACATACCCATGTTGGTGGGTTTGATCCCTAGTTGGGTGCATATGTGAAGGCAGCCAATTGATGCTTTCCTCTCACATCGATGTCTCTCACTTCCTCTCTCTCTAACAAAATCAATGAAAAAAATGTGCTGGTGAGGATGTGAAGAAACCGGAACCACTGTGCATTGCTGGTGGGATTGTAAAATGGCACAAATGCTGTGGAAAACAGACTAGTGATTCCTCGCAAAATTTAAAAAACAGCTACCACATGATCCAGCAATCTCACTTCTGAGTATACATCCAAAAGAACTGAAAACAGGGACTCAGATATTTGCACAACCAATGTCCATATCAACAACTATTCACAGCAGCCAAGAGGTAGAAATAGCCTGAATGTCCATCAATAAATGAATGGATGTTTAAGTGGCATACACATACAATAAAATATTATTCAGCCTTAAAAAGAAAGGAAATCTTGGTAAATCCTACAAAATGAATGAACCTTGACAATGTTATGCTGAGTGAAATAAGCCAGTCACAAAAATACAAATACTGTATGATGCCATTTATATGAAGCATCTAAAGTAGTCAAATTCATAGGAAGTAGAATGGTGGTTACCAGGGGGAAAGGGGAGCGGGAGAGGAAAGTTGTTATTTAATGGGTCTGGTGTTTAACTTTTATAAGATGACAATGTTCTGGAGATCTGTTTCACACCAATGTGCACAAACTTACTACTCAAGTATACACTTAAAAATTGTTAAGATAGTAAATTTTGTTATGTGGTTTTAACACACACATATAAGTCAGAAAACTATATTCTTTGTAGCATAACTTTGTGCTAAAATAACCTCTTAGAAGATATATGAACAAGATAAATGTTAAAATATAAAAATATTTACTCTCGGAAAACTTTGTTACCTGCAACAAATCCAATTACCAGATCTTTTCCAGTAGTGGAACGTTGACCTTTGACCCAGACTGCTTTGAGGCTATTAAAAGTGTAGAAATAGACAAAGTTGGAGCAGCAGAGACTGGAGATAACTGGAAACCACCCTCGATATGGGGCCAAGCTGGAGAAAAAAAACATAATAAGCGAAGTAAAGATGCTGCACAGAAGCCACTAGAAATGGGCAAAGTCCTGGGAAAGGCTGAATGTCACTAACATCTTCTCCAAGGTCACTCCTATACTACAATATACTCCACACTGTACATACATCTTATATTCTGAGGGATGCCCAAACCAAGAAATCTTTTCTAGTGCTAATGACAACTAAAAGTAATACACATTCAATAGCTGATTTACTGCTTTCCTTTAGTAAATTACTATGTAAAATGAAAGACAATTTCCTCATGGTTATTAGTAAGTACGTTATCATTCATACAGGCAAGGACATTTAAAATGAAGTAGATAAAGATAATAAGTGCAAAAAAATATGGGGCATATTATAAGGGCATAGGAACAAGATTAAGAAGTTCCCACTGGCCAAATCTAGAACAATTTTAGCACTAAAATAACAAAGTATAGTAATTGATTATAAATCACTGGTAAAACAGAAATTTCTGAATCTACACTATTAAATACTGTTTCTCCTCATAGACTTCTTATAGTTACAACAAAAGAAAAATAAAATTATTCAGCAGTTAACTCAAATTTAGAAAATCATGATTAATCAGTGAAGGGCAGGTGGACGATAAGTGACTCCAGATACGATACCCTGAAAAGGACACATCACCTATGCATTATGCTGGACCAGAATGCATAGTCTCAGTATAATCATGAAGAAACATAAGGCAAACTTAACATGAGAAGCATTTATTTTTAAAAAAGGGGAAGGACTAACTGTATCCTTTGAAAATGTCAGTGTCACAGGGGTAAAGGGCTTTGATGTACAGTATAAAACTTATTCTCAAATACTCAGAAAAAATTTGTGTGTGGTGTGTATATAATTAAGAAAGAAGAGGAGCAAGAGAGGAAGAAAAGGAGAATGCATGAGCAAATAGCAAAACAAATGAAAAAGTGTTAAGAATAGCTGAATCTGGGTAACACATATACTGGTATTCATTGTACTCTTTTGTTTTGTAATTTTTTTATAAACTTGAAATTATTTACAAATGAAGAGTTAAAAGTAAAAGAAGTACATAATCTGAATGCATGAGATAGGAATGAACTAAACAACTGTTACCTTCTTTGATTTACCGTACCTAGAACAAAACTGTGGTTTCATGGAAGACTTGACAATAAAGAACCAAAATAACGAACTACACAATCTGAAGGAAATGGAAATAACTAATGTACTTACGAGTCAGGCAATTGCAGATTCACAGCACTCTAAGGCTATGAGATTGGGCAGAAAGGAGTGTAGGCCTATGAATCTCGTACGGAGCTTCTTTGTAACAAAGATAAAAGCAGTGGTACTCACAGGCCTTCTTCTTTAATTATCTCCAGAAGCACCATGTGTGTAGTTTTGGACTTTCTTTTCTCATCAACTACAACACAAAAGAGTATTTGTTATTCATGAACCCCTGCATTTTATTTCAATACCTAAATAAATACCTTTATTTTTTACTTTTACCCAAAGTAAAAAATGTGATGAGAGAAATTTCTTTGAGATTTTATTTATGTGTTTGTTTATTTATTTATTTTTAGAGAGAGGTGAGATTGGTTGCCTCTCACCTCTGGGAACCTGGCCTGCTACCCAGGCACGTTCCCTGACTGGGAATTGAAGCAGTGACCTTTCGGTTCACAGTTCGGCACTCAATCCACTGAGCCACAGCAGCTAGGGCTATTTATTTATTTTTTTAGAGGGAGGGGAAGGGAGAGAGAAAGAGAGGGAGAAACATATCGATGTAAGAAATATTAGGACTTCCGCCAAGATGGAGGCATAGGTGGATGTGCCGTGCCTTCTCACACAACCAAGTTTAGAGACAACTAAATATTAGCAACAGAAAACACAGCCAGAACACGGAAAATTGAACTTTTCAGAAGTCCGTTAACAACAAATTCTTCAGCCTGACCAGTAAGGGGCGAAACCAGCGGCTGGTGAAGCGGGGTTGCACAGGAGGACTCGGTCAGATGGACTCAGGCGCGCGGAATCCAGACGCCCGGAATCCAGGCGCAGGGTTGGACCTAGTGAGCGACCCAGCGAGCGACCAGGCGAGTGACCGCGGGGGAGACAGCGGAGGAGCGGTGCTGCGTGTTGACTGTGGTCGCGCATTTGTGTGCAGGTGGACAGGCGAGGGAGTGGGCGGTTGGACCGGGGCCCGGCGGGTCCTGCGGCAAGCGGCAGTGGAGGGCGCCGCCATTTCCCTGCTCTGACCCCACCTCCACATACAGCGTCATAACCCAGTGACTCTGAGTGGCCCAGCCAGGGGAACCACCTAAGGCGCTGCTTATCACCCATCTGTGAGAAACAGCAGAGGGGGTCGCCATTTCCCGGCTCTGACCATGCCCCCACATACAACGTCACAACCCAGCAACCTGGGAGTCCAAGGCGCCGCTTCTCACACTTAAAGGGCACGAACAGACCAAAAATGGCACAGGAAGATCTCAAAGCCCCAGAACCTATAGATCTAAGCGATGAAGAAATAGCAAAACTCACAGACGCACAGTTTAAAACACTGGTCATCAGGATCCTCACAGAACTGGTTGATTATACCCACAAATTAGACAAATATATGAAGGCGAAACTAATTGAAATGAATGGAATTGCACAGGAAACCGATAGCAATGAAAAGGAAACTGGGACTCAAATCAATGGAGTGGACCAGAAGAAAGCAAATAATGGCCAAACAGAAAAGAGTCAAGAAGCAAGAATTCAAAGAAATGAGGAGAGTCTTAGGAACCTCCAGGACATCTTTAAACGCTCCAACATCCAAATTATAGGGGTACCAGAAGGGGGAAAGGCACAGCCACCAGTGGAAAACTTATTTGCACAAATAATAAAGGAGAATTTCCCCAATCTGGCAAAGCAAATAGACTTCCAGGAAATCCAGGAAGCTCAGAGAGTCCCAAAGAAGTTGGACCCAAGAAGGAACACACCAAGGCACATCATCATTACATTAGCCAAAATTAAAATGAAGGAGAGAATCCTAGAAGCAGCAAGAGCTAAGGGGACAGTCACCTACAAAGGAGTCCCCATCAGACTGTCAGCAGATTTCTCAAAAGAGACCTTACAGGCAAGAAGGGGCTGGAAAGAGGTATTCCAAGTCATGAAATCCAAAGACCTACAACCAAGATTGCTCTATCCAGCAAAACTTTCATTTAGAATGGAAGGGCAGATAAAGTGCTTCTCAGATAAGATTAAATTCAGGGAGTTCATCATCACCAAGCCCTTATTATATGAAATGTTAAAGGGACTTATCTAAGAAAAAGAAGTTAAAGAAACATGAACAGTGAAAGGACAACAAACTCACAGTTATTAACAACCACACCTAAAACGAAAGCAAACTAACGGGACAGCTAGATCAGGAGTGGAAACATAGAAATGAAGATCTCAAGGAGGGTTAGCAACAGGGGAGTGGGAGGAGGAGAAGAGGAGGGGAAGAGGCAGAAAATAAGTAACATAGACAGTAGATAGAAAATAGATGGGGGGGGCAAGAATAGCATGGGAAATATAGAATCTAAAGGACTTGAGACACATGGTCATAAACTAAAGGGGGGGTAATGGTGGGGATGGGGAGGTAGGGTGGAGGGGAATGAAAGGGGGAATAGAACAACTGTAACAGCATAATCAATAAAAAAAAATTTTTTTAAAAGAAATATTAATTGATTGCTTCTGCTTACGCACCCCATCCAGGGATCAAACCCACATATACCCTGACTAGGAATCAAATTGGCAACCTTTTGCCTTGTGGAAAGATGCCTAACCACCTGAGCTACACCAGGGCATGAAATTTATTTCTTATATTCATAAGGCTCTCTTGTTTTTTCCCCCAAAGTTATATATGCTCATTTGTATCTTAACATCTTACAAAGCAGAGAGGAAATAAACTACCATCTTTCTTTTAGAGAAGAGGCTGCAGACACGAAAGCTGTGAAGGATGCATAGTTGGCAGTGAAGTCAGGATGAAAACGCAAGTTTCTAAAGTTTTAGCCTTGTATTCTACTTCCTAATTTAAAAATATAAAAGATCTCAAAAGGATGAGAATTCTGGGGGGTTGTTTTGGCGTTCTTACTGAAGATAAAACCTACCTCAATTAACTTCAAATTTCATATTCACATTTGAAGAATATTTTAAAAACATAGAAATGTGGAAACGAACCAATTTCTTAAGAATTAAACTGGTATCTATATGGCTTGCAGGGTGGAAAAATTCAGATGCCCCTGTAGAAGGAAATCCAGCAATATCTACCAAAATTACAGGCACATTTACCCTCTGATCCAGCAATCCCACTTCTGAAAATTTATCCCACAGAACTTACAGAAACAAACTGGCACATGAACAAGTCTATATCACAAGAGAGGAGAAACAACCCAAGAATCTCCAACGGGGAGGTGCATTCATACCATGGAACACTCTACAGCTAGAACAAAGGACGAAGAGGCTCCCAATGCACTGATTTGGAAGGCTTCCAAAATAGGATGTCAAGTGAAAAATGCAAGGTTACAAAACAGTGTGAAGAGAATGTTTTTGTTAAGGGAGAAAAGGATATAAATTCTTATTTGCTTGTTACTCCATACAGAAATTCTGCAAAGCCATTTGAAAAAAGGTAAGGACATTATCTGCAGAGAAGAGAGAAAGGAAAAGGGACAGCCTGGAGTGAGGTGTTTCACTGCACTGCATATTTTAAAATATATATTTTGAGCCCTGGCTGGCATAGCTCAGTGGATTGAGCGCGGGCCTGCAAACCAGAGTATCGCAGTTCGATTCCCAGTCAGGGTACATGCCTGGGTTGCAGGCCAGTTCCCAGCAGGGGACAAATAAGAGGCAACCATACATTGATATTTCTCTCCCACTCTTTCTCGTTCCCTTCCCCTCCCTCAATAAATAAATAAATAAATAAATAAATACATACATACATACTTTTTTTTTTTTGGTTTTTGAGTTCAGTCATATGAAATTATTACCCATCCTAAAACTCTAAAATTAATTTAAAATAGTAGTTAAAAGGGTCTTAACACAGCAATTAATTTATTCAAAGCTCACCTTATTCTTACCTCTTCATGTACATTTTGGCATGAGTTTATTATTTCAAAATGAAAAATACTGACCAAAAAACAAGCAGGAGTTAGAGTTATATAGTCCTATAAAACAAAAGAGGCAAACTAGGACTACATGCCCAGATGAGCAAAGACAGTGGGTATTTAGCTCCATATGTTTCTTACTCTCTCTTCTCATTTGAGAAAATCTACTTCCAGCCAAAACTCTCCACTGTACCTTTAAAAAGTGGTATTATTTATTAGGATTGTAATGATTCAAAACTGTTAATGTAAGCCCACTCAAGTTACCTCAGAATAGAAAATGGCTAAGGCTATGACTCATCCATGAACGCCTCTCTGTTAATTAGGAAACAGCAATGATTATGAGTAAAGTCAGTGAAACTGGACAACAGAACTCTAATGAAACAATATTCTTAGCCTAGACTTCCCAGAGAAATATGTTTGCTTCCTGACACCAAATGAACAGAAATACAAAAGACACTTACCTTGGAGCCGAAGCCGAGCTGTATCCAAAGGAAAGAACACTGTCATTGCTGTCACGCTGCCCTGAAAAGTTTGAAAAGCTGTTAGTCATTATACTTCACAAGGCAACAAGCCACAACTTTTTTAAAATGAACAAAGGTTCATTACTGATGATGGGTCAGATCATGTTTTCAATGAATACACACAAACATTTTAACCTACTGGGATTATTATCATTTACACCTCTACATTTATGTACTTAAACAGAGGTATTAAATTTTCTGGGAGAAATATCTTTCTTTCTCTCTGATATTAAAAAAAAATAGTACTGGCTGGGCTGGTGTGGCTCAGTGGACTGAGATCCGGCCTGCAATCCAAAAGGTCATTGGTTCAATTCCCAGTCAGGGCAGATGCCTGGGTTGCCAACTGGGGACGTGAGAGGCAACTGATCTATGTATCTCTCACACACAGATATTGCTCTCCCTCTCTTCCCCTCTCTCTAAAAGTAAGTAGAATATATATATTTTTTAAAAGTAGCGGGTCCCTAAGATGATAACCTTAGGGTTTTGCAACCTAGGACACATGTCAAGGATAGCAGATGAATGGATTTTTAACCTTTCAAAGGTCAACTGCTGCTCCTATGCTCTGAAACCAAAATATCCAGTGATCAGAGGCATCTATTCTCCATGCTTAATCAAGATATTCACCACAAAGTACAAGAAGTGTAAGTATCATATTGTTCTTTATAATGGTTTTGTTTGCCATGCTTTAAATAAAATAGGGACATTCTCTTTGCTAAAAATTCTATTACTCATCCAAGTCAGCACAATGACAAAAATGACCAAGGAAGAACATGTCACAAGCTCCTACACTCTATTCCTTCTTCCAGCACTATCTACTTCTTTTGCTGTCAGAATGCCTGCTTTTCCTTGTTTCTCTCTCTTGATATATGCACCACTGACACTTCTGATCTTTTCTAGTGTCCTGTGTCTGCTTTTATTTTGTGTAGTTTTTCTTTTCTGTATTATTATCCAGTATTTTCTGTGGGTAAAAAGGACTAGTGTTACCAGCCCACAACTAATCCTTCCATTCACAAGATCCTACATGTAAAAACCACAAGCACACGGTGAGGAATGAAATTATACACATGAAATCCTTCTTGGGTTTACGGCTCTCAACCCAGATGCAGGCCTACTGGTGGTATATAATCTCAGGGAGAAGATCAAGTTTTATGCCACTGATCTAATAATTATAGTTATGCATAATATTTTAAATCACGACAATGCCTGGACACTAGGTCAACTTTATAGATACAAACAAAAATTAGCTACATCTCTTATCTATTTAAATAGGTCACCCAGCGTGATGGGGAGAACACTGTATTATCCTATCAGTATTTTTCAAAACTCAGGTTAAATGTTTCCACTCTCTGTCCATTAGGTTACAAATAGTAGGTAGGTCATTCCTCTATGTTCCTCTAGCACTTGTTTACAACTCACACAACACTTACTTTACAGTAAATATTACAGTAGAATCTACTTTTCCACCAGATAGCAAGAACATTCCATCTCTTCAATATAACAGATTCTTAATAAATGTTTGTTAAAGTCACTCTTTCAGTTATTTATGCTTTGATGGCTCCAACATAAATGTTCTTTTCTAGCAAGGACTAGATAATACTTAATGTCTCAAGAAACACTGGACTCACAAAGGTTTATCATTCACAAATCTATGCTTTTGGCACCCTTGCTCACTTTATAGATGACTTCCAAGAAAAATGGGAATCAGAAAGCTAGAGGACACTGATTAAGGTTACTAAGGCTATAGCATTTATTTCCTAGTGCATGGCACTACATCTCTGTATCAGCTGTTGTGCAGACAGGGCCTCTCCAGGCAGAAAAGTCCTGCCTGGGAACTATTTTTTCAAACAAGTGGGCTAACTCCATCCTCTTCTCTGCTAGCTTTAAACAGATACCTGAAGGTTTCTAACTTAGAAGCCCCTGCATACCTACCTCCAATTCTTCAAGTGATGTACAGTACACCTTATACCAAGATACAGAGAACAGTCAGCCCAAAAAGGGCAATGGTCTATTACCTCAAGGACTAGCATTAAAAATTCACACCATTAAAACTAAGTAATACTTTTAAAATTTACTAGCATTATTAGAAAGACTAGATCAAGATGATGAATAAAAATCTACCACTGCCTCCTCCCATTCCATAACTAATGATGAAAAACACATTAAAAAGTGTTATGAAGAAAAACAAAAAGGCATCTGATTGGTGGAGCAGAAATTTAAAGAACAGCAGAGTGAGGCTGTTTTGAAAGAGGTAATCATAGGCCCAAATGCACAGAAGGTGTGGTAGGCAGAATAATGCCCCTCAGAAAGGTGGCATGTCCTACTCCCCAACAGCTGTGAACACATTTCATGGCATAGCAGGAGGCTAATCCCCAACCTTAAGATAAAGAGATTATTATTGTATGTCAATAGTAATTGAAAAATTAAAAAAGAGATAATCCTGAATTATCTGAGCAGGCCCAAAGTAATCACAAGGGTCCTTAAAGGTAAAAGAGGGAGGTGAAAAAGCAGGTGGGAATGAGGCAATATCAGGATTCACCCATCATTGCTGGACTAAGGGGCCACTAGGCAAGCAACGTGGGTGGCCTCCAGAAGCTCAAAAAGGCAAGCAAACAGATCCTCCCTCGGAGCCTCCAGAAGGAATACAACACTGCTGACACCTTGACTTTAGCTCAGTGAGACTTGCCTCAGACTTCTGACCTATAGACCTACAGATACTAAATGTGTGTTGTTTTCAGCCACTCAATCTGCGGTAATTTGTTACAGCACTGATAGAAAAAACTAACAAACAAGAGTACTATAAGAGGTGGAGACAAGCACTGGAAAGCAGAAGGAAGCTCTGGAGTGAATTTCTTTTCTTTTCTTTTTATCCTCACCCGAGGACATTTTTCCGTTGCTTCTAGAGAGAAACATTGATGCAAGAGAGGACCATCAACTGGTTGCCTCCATACAGGCCCCGACTATAGACCAAACCTGCAACCTACATGGGGCAAATTTCTGCTTGACTAGTTGGGTACAACAACCACAGCCAGGTAATCCCAGTCCTGGTCAGTAATCGTGAATGTGGGAACCTGGACTTGCCTAAGGTGAGTAGGAACACTGGTCAGAACAGGAAACCCCGCATCCGGAAAGCTACCCACTGCCACACCTTGACAGGAGCCTATGTCACCTTCTTACCACAATCCCTGGTAGGGGGAGGGGTGTGGAGTGGGGTTAGAAATGAAAAGCTTAACAGTTTTACTCTATTTAACAAAAAGATATACACACATACACTTAGTTCTAGGCTTTGTTAGAAATCCTAAGCTTAAATATGAGTTAAAATTTTAAGGGTAAAATGGGGGCTTCCATTACTAACAATATAGTAACCTAAACAATGTGCTACAAAATATCTACAACTGTTAAATAAAATATAAAAAACGTACATAATAAAATATAACAAACACCATTTAAATATTTAGCTGAACTCATGGGAAAGAAACGGAAAGCCACTGGGGCCTAAAAGAGTAGAAACTGATAGGCTCTTGGGCTTTGGTTGCCTGAGGATCTTGCCTGAAGATTCTGGGGCATCCAAATAATGACATTATTATTATCTTTAAATTGAAGTAAGACTCCCATAACATAGAGTTAGCCATTTTGAAGTATACCATTTAGTGACATTCAGTGCATTCACAATGTTGTGCAACCACCTCTATCATGTTCGTCTCCATCACCTCAAAACTCTGTACCCATTAAGCAGGCACACCCCAAAGTCCCCTTTTACTCAGCCCTGACAAGCACTAATCTGCTTTCTGTCTCTACAGATGTTCATCTATTCTGGATATGTCACATAAAAAGCCATGTAATCTGTGACCTTTGTGTTTGGCTTCTTTCACTTCACTTAATGTTTTCAAGGTTTATCCACTTTGTAGTATGTGTCGGTTCTTCATTTCTTTATGTGGCTGAATAATATGCCACTGTGTGGATATACTGCATTTTGTCTATCCATTCAAAATGTTTTGAGAGGGCAAGGGGTATAAGGGGACTAAACAGTAAAGGAAAAAATATAATGAAGATCAAATTAAAAAGTGTTTTGAGCCCTCAGTGGATTTGGCTCAGGCCTATGTACCAAAGGGTTGCCATTTTGATTCCCAGTCAGAGCACAGGCCTGGGTTGCAGGCCAGGTCCCCAGGTGGGGGGCATGCGAGAGGCAACCACACATTAATGTTTCTCTCCCTTTCTCCTTCCCTTCCCCTTTCTCTAAAAATAAATAAAAATCTTTTAAAAAGTGCTTTGAAGGCCCTGGCTGGTGTAGCTCAGTGGATTGAGGGCGGGCCTGTGAACAATACGATCACAGTTCAATTCCCAGTCAGGGCACATGCCTGGGTTGCAGGCCAGTTCCCTGCAGGCCAGTTCCCAGCAGGGGGCGCACAAAAGGCAACCATACATTGATCTTTCTCTCCCTCTCTCCTTCCCCCCTTCCCCTCTAAAGATAAATAAATAAAATCTTTTAAAAAAAAAGTGCTTTGAAACGAAACAGAAGTAGTGATTACAATTTATAAAAGTACTCAGTACCACTGAATTGTACACTTTAAAATGGCTAATTTTGTTATGTGAATTATACCTGAGTGTTACTAAAAAGTATTTAATCTTCGCAACAACCTAATGAGTTATGTACTATTATACTCTCCATTTTCAGATGAGGAAACAGATACTAAGAGGTTCTGCAGCTTGTCTAATGTCATACACTTTGCAAGTGATAGATCAGTATTTGAACACAGGCAGACTGGCTCCAGAGTCCATACTCTTACCACTGCTGTAATTTAAACTTTAAAAAAATTTTAATAATAAAAAAACTAGTAAAAAAAAGGTCCTAATATGGGGCTTATTTTATGTGTTAAATATTTCTTTCATGGACTAGTCTGAAAACCCAGCAGAGCCTGCCACAGCATACGCCCTGAACTTGCTAATGAATAGTATGACTATGTGCACCTACAAGTAAACGTAATATCCACCAGAAAAGGTATTAGAAATGGTATATTCAAAACACAGCTATTCTGTACAATGGCAACTTGCTATATTAGTCTCCTTGCCAAGCAAACACTGATGACTTTTCATAAGTAGCTGTTACTGGAAGGAAAATATTTATTATGTATGAGGGTATGTGACTCTTATGCTAAGCTGTATAAATATGAGATTTTTCAGAACTTGAATTCCCCTTTTCATAAATAATCAGTGTTTTTCACTCTTCAGACTCTATGTTCACTTTTATAAAATTAGAAGGTACGAAATACCAAGAAGATATAACTACAATGCACATTACAGCTGTGTCACAAACACATAAAAACGAGTCCATTGTTTTGAGTCCCACAGAATTCTAATCATCTGAGTGGGAGTGCTACTGCTGACAATAATTAAAATTTAAAAAGATCCATTTCCAGAGGAAAATCTTCTTCTATTTCACCAAACATTTTTAGACATTACATTTTACCATTCCCCTCTGGCATTTAACCATTTGGTGTTGGAAAAAGAAATGAACTCCTACACTGCATTGGTGCCTGGAGCTGGAAAAGCCTTTAGAGATCTCCTAGCAGTGGAGTTCCTTTGCCTGAGAACTGAGGGGTCTGGGCCAGGGAAGTTAAGAGGACTGCCTGAAGCTGGAGTGGCAGAGCCTCAGTTAAATAAAACTAAGATCCCTCAGGCTCCCAGTTCTGCTGTTCAGTGGCCTACCTTGGTTCTCAATCTTTTTTCAATCAAGGCATAAATGACTTTTAACCTTCACTGTTTTCTCCCACTTATAAAAGTGCACACAACACAAACACAAATACACAAATCTGGAAAAATCAAACAATAAATACTTAGCAGTGACTATACCAGGAGAAAAAAAATTAAGTGTGGCTTCCCCTTTCCCTCATTATGCATCTCTAATTTTTTTGTAACAATTAGAATGTGTTTTAGTTTGAAGTGGAGAAAAAGCTAGTAATTTTTTAAAAAAGACATCAGAATACCAGGGAATAATATAGCCTAGAGATTCTCAAACTATGGTCTAGAGATCCTTGAAAGTCCCCAAGCCCTTTTCAGCAGTCTGCAGGATCAAAACTATTTTCATAAGAATGCTATGGCATTATTTGCCTTTTTCATTCTCATTTTTTCAGTGTGTAGTAAATTTTCTAGAGGCTACATGACATGTAATACTGTAAGACCGAATACAGAAGGAGATAAAAGGATCCAGCTATCTTCTATTATGTCAAACATTAGAAAGGTTTAGAAAAATATAAAACAATGCCACTCTTCTATTTTTTGGAAAATAACAGTTAAAATGTAACATGTTAACATGTCATGGGTTTAATTTTTTTTTTAAGATTTTACCTTTATCTTTAGAGGAGAAGGGAAGGAGAGAGGGAGAGAAATAATGTATGGTTGCCTCTTGTGCTTCCCCTGCTAGGAACTGGCTTGCAACCCAGGCATGTGCCCTGACTGGGTATCAAACTGCGGTTGTTTGGTTTGTAGGACCGTGCTCAATCTTGCTGAGCTATACCAGCCAGGGCTGGGTTTAATATTTTTAATGATGTCTTAATGATTTCTGTTTTAATTTCTAATTCAATAAATATTGAGTTATAATCAAATTTAAAAAGCTGTTCAGAGTCCACGATAATTTTTAAGAGGTTCTGATAGCAAAAGGTTTGAGAACTGCTGTTATAAACATGTCATTAAATATGAAAACCAGTACATTAACACTATTTTACATATCACTTCTAATACACCTTTCAGCTGATGTTACACCAGTGTGACATACACTGTTGAAAACATCACACTACCTTTGGGTTGGCAACTGTCCTCTCCCAGAAACTCTTTAAAAGTAACTCCATAAAGAATAAGTATAGCCTCTAATTGACATTTTAGAGAGCATCATTTATTAGAAGCACTTTTTTTAAATAACAGGGATACTACATAGCTGACAAAGACCATCTAGCCCTGGTTGGTGTGGCTCAGTGGACTGGGTGCTAGCCTGTAAACTAAAAGGTCACTGGTTCAATTCCTGATCAGGACACATGCCTGGGTGGTAGGCCAGCTCCCCAGTTGGGGACATGTAAGAGGCAACCAACTGATGTTTCTCTCCCTCCCTCTCAAGCTTCCCCTACCTCTAAAAGTAAATAAAAATAAAGTCTAAAAAAAAAAAAAAAAAGAACATCTAATAGGATGCTAAGTCTGAAAGTCAGGCAAGTGCAAGTCTGAAATTGAACTGAACGTTACGGAAATTCAGAAGCTGGTATCATTAGAATGCAGAGTGCAAAATCGAGTGCAATGAAAGCCTCTAGGGGTAAGCAGGGGTTAAGTCAAAGGCTTCTGCTAAGTATATTAAGGATCATTCTAGTGACTGATTTGAACAGATGGGGGGGCGGGCTGGGGAAGAGGAACTGCAAGGGCCACAGGTTTCCAGCTTAAAGATCAGGATATCATGTTGTCATTAATTGCGATAGTAAACACTGCTTGGGGAGCAATTTTGGGGCAAGAGATACTGAATTTGGGTTTGAATTAGCTAAAGTTTAAGTGTCTCTAAGACTTCTATTTGAAGATGTCCAGGAGGTGGTCAGATATCAGTCTGGAGTTCCAGAGACTCAAACATGCAGCTTTGAAAGTCATTACACTGTAGCATTATTTCCTTACCTTTAAAACAAGAATGATTCCACCATGACATCACAGATTCTATTTGTTAGGGGTGGTGGGGTGATTATTTTACTAAAGATGCATGAATGCATATTGTTTTCTTCATTTCCATAGTCAAATTTTCATTGTCAACAATTAGGAACACACATTATATGCCGGGGTATTTTGTATTTATATTTTTTATTTTATGAATCTCTTCTCTTTACTACCTTCCATCTTTCCTTCCTTTGGGTTTATTTTGATATTCTTATCTAACTTCTTGAGATGGATGCTTTAAGTCTGTCTTATTTTCCTAATTTGATTAAAGGCAATTCATTTTCCTTTAGGTATTTTAGCTGAATCTGAAGTTTTTTTCTTTACAACTCAGTAGTTTTTAATATATATACAAGTTGTGTGGCTATTAATTCCACAACATTTTTATTACCCTAAAATGAAACCAATATGCACTAGTAGTCACTCTCCAGTCTCTCCTCCTCCCGTACCCTAGAAAACACATTTAGTTTCTATTTTGCCTACTCTGAACATTTCATATAAAAGAAATCAAATACATGAACTTTTGTGACTGGCTTCTTTCAAGGCTCACCCATGTTGTAGAATCAGAACTTCATTCTATATTATGGTTGAAAAAATATTCTGCCCTAACAGGTGTGGCTCAGTTGGTTGGGCATCGTCCCATAGAGAGAAAGGTCCCCAGTTCAATTCCCAGTCCGGGCACACACCTGGGCTGCAGGTTCAGTCCCCGGTCGGAAGCGCATGAGCAGCAACTGATGGATGTTTCTCTCCCTCTCTTCCCCTCTCTCTACAATAAATATTTAAAAAATAGTCTATTGTATGCATATATCACATTTTGTTTCTCCATTCATCAGTTGAAAAATTTAAGTTGTTTCTACTTTTTGGCTTTGTGAATAACTCTGCTATGAACATCTGTATCAAAGTTTGAGTATGGATGTTTTCAATTATCTCATGGTGTAATTGCTCAGTTATATTGGTAACAGTGTGAAGAAGAACCAAACTGTTTTCCACAGTGGCTGCACAATTCTATATTCTCCGAAGAAACTATGAGGATCCCAATTTCTCCACGTCCTTACAATTCTTATTATCTGTCCTTTTGATTATAGCTGTCCTAGTGGGTGTGAAGTGCTATTTCACTGCAGTTTTGACTTGATTTTCCTTGATGACTCATGTTGTCAGGCATCTTTTCATGTATTTATTGGCTACTTCTATACTGTCATTGGAGAAATTATATTCAAACCTTTGTCCAGTTTTGTTATTTGCCTTTCTATTACTGATGCTGTGAACATTATTTATATTCTAAACACCAGACTTTATCAGAGATATAATTTGTATATGTTGTTCCATTCTGTTGTCTTCACTTTCTTAAAAGTGTCTTTGAAGTACAAAGTTTTTAATTCAGAAGAAGTACATTTACATATGTTTATTTTATTACTTGTGTTTTTGGCATCATTTCTAAGAAACCAATGCCAGCCCTGAATTGGCGTAGCTCATTTAGTGAGGTGTCACACTGCAAAGTTAAAGGTCAAAGTTTGATTCCCAGTCAGGTCACATGCCTGGGTTGCAGGTTCAATCCCCAGTCAGGGCACATATAACAGGCAATCAATCTGTATTTCTCTCTCACATCAATGTTCCCCTATCTCTCTCTCTGCCCCCCCCCAATAAATAAATAAAATCTTAAAAACAAAAAACAAGAAAAAGTATTGCCTGACCCGGGTCCTGGGCGCACATAAGCCCTGGCCAGATGGCTCAGCTGGTTAGAGCATCATCTCCTACACCAAAAGGTTGTGCATTTGATCCTGGGTCAGGGCACATTCCTAGGTTGCAGGTTCGATCTCTGGTCGGGAGCTTATGGGAGACAACCAATTGATGTTTCTCTCTCACATAGATGTTTCTCTGTCTTCTTTTCTTTCTAAAAATCAATAAAAATATATTCTCAGGTGAGGATTTAAAAAAGATTGTGATTGAAAATTCCCTTTTATGATTGTTGCTGTTGTCTATGTTTTTTATTCACAATGCCTTATTTCTCTGTGAGTTTAGTTAGTTGGATTGAGCTGCTCATTTCTCTTAAAATTTTCTTTCTGCACATTCCTTTGAACCTCAAAATGATAACTACCTCTGGAATGGATACCTGCCAGGCACTCTGGGGCTTCACCACCCTGCACTCTAAGTTAAATTGCTGGCTCTAAGTTTTCAAATCATGCAAGTAGTGGGAATTTGGGTCCAATTTTGTGGTTTAAAAATCTCAGTGATGATCCCCCCAACTCCCCATTCAGTGCTAAGCTTAGAAATAGCTGATTTTTCTGGGGAGAAGTAAGATTATTTCCTATTTATTTTTACAGCATAGTCCCCTGGAATTCCAGGTTTATTAGTTGATCCCCTACTAGACGTCTTATCTTGGACAGACTGGGCTGTTTCTCATCTTCCCTGTATCCCTGGAAGCTACAAATCTAAAGTTCATGTTTACCTGGTTAAGCAATTTCTGCAGGGCAAAAGCTGCTCTCCTTGCCCCTGGGTCCTGTCTTTACTCATTCTCCAGTCTGAGAGTTCCTTACATTCCTATCACCTTATGAATGTTTTTAAGAAGTCATTTTTAAAAAACATTTTATATAGGTTTTTATTATAAAGGGAAGTTTTCAGGAAGTTTGATTACCTCCTTAGTTAGAAACAGAAATTGCATTATAAATATTTTACAATGTAAACATTAAAATATTAATTATTAAATTATTTAAAATACTTAAAAATTGAGAATGTATTTATCCTTTACTGTTTATTTTATGATAAACCTATATAAAGGCAAGTTGGTAACATATCATATTTTGTACCTATTACCCCATAATATCTAACACTACTCTTCTGTATTCCTTACATATTTTATTATATTTCTAACCTGATCCCCTGCCTCCCAAAAGTTTATAAAATTTAACAGTTGCAAATACTAAACAAAAGCAATTCAAAACAAACATAAAACAGCATCCACTTTACCCAGAATATGAAATTAAGAAAATGACAAAATCAGGGAAGGGAAAACCCCCAGAAATCTGAAATCAATCAGATTTCTGAATAATCAAATTTCTTAATCACATATCTGTTCACAGGTGTATCTGTTCACAGGTATCTGATTAAGAGACACACCAAAGGTGCCCTGGCTGGGTGGCTCAGTTGGTTGGAGCATTGTCCTGTACACAGAAAGTTGCAGGGTCAACCCCTAGTTGCAGGGGTCAACCCCTCCATGTACAGGAGGTAGCCTATCAATGTCTGTCTGTTTCTCTCTTTCTAAAATCAATAAGGTTATCCTCAGGTGAGGATTAAAATAAAATTTTTAAAACACACCATGGGATATTCAGGGAGTTATCTAAATAACCCCAAAAGCTTCCTGCCCTGGCTGGTGTGGCTCAATGGATTGAATGCCAGCCTGCAAACCAAAGAGTCACCAGTTTGATTCCCAGTCACAGCACATGCCTGGGTTTCGAGCCCCCAGTAGGGGACATGTGAGAGTCAACCACACACTGATGTTCCTCTCCCTCTCTTTCCCTCTCTCTAAACATAAATAAAATCCTTAAAAAAAAAAAAGCTTCCAGCCAGACAGACCAAAACACAAATACAAACACTGCTCTAGCAAAATACATCTGATTTAAGAGTAAGGCCTTGAATCAGTTTGAGTGGTGGCTAGAAAAAATGAAAAAGGGATATCTGCCAGAAGAACTATAACAGGGAGAATCAATATTGTTTGCTGATTTACTAAATGGGGAATGAGGAAGAAAAGAGTCACAAGAACAAAGATACCATTGACAGAAATAGGAAAGTCAAGGTCCTGCCTGGATAGTTAAGTTGGTTAGAGCATCGTCCGATACAACAGGGTTGCAGGTTCAAACAGGGCACATACAAGAATCAAGCAGTGAATACCGTATTTTTTTCGAACTGTAAGATGCACGCACCTCCCCCATTTGGGAGAAAATGGGGGGGTGAGTCTTATAGTCTGAATGTAGCTTACCTGGCTCACTGTGTGTGTGGGGGGACACGGTGGGGCAGAGTCACAGGTTATTACATATTTTACCACATTTTTTGCTTCAAACATTTTTTTCCTATTTTCTTCCTGTAAAACCTAGGTGTGTCTTATAGCCCTAAAAATACAGTACATAAGTAAGTAGAACAACAAATCAATGTTTTTCTCTTTCTCTCCCTTCCTCCTTCTCGCTAAAAAACCAGTAAGTAAAAATTTTAAAAAATGAGTGTTAAGAGAAATAGATTAAAAAAAATGTACTTGAAAAGTAACTAAATAAAATTTAATATTAAAAAAAAATGAGTGTTAAGTACTTAATATCACAGACAGTCAGAATGAAACAGTGGGGTAAGCCTGGTCCAGATCTGGTCCCCTAAACATGTGCAATACAATGGGAATAACAGACAGACACACATAAATAGTTTTTAAGTACAAATAATGATGTTTGGGTTAGCCTACCAACCAAGTCACCAAATTTGACCTTCTCCAAAATGCATATTCACCCTTGAGCATGAAAAATTGTTAAAAATAAAAAGCAGTGCCAGTTCCAGTGTCAGTTTCCGAGAGGAATCCAAAACTGTCTGAGTCACAGAATCACCACTGAAATCAGTGGACAGCATCTCCTGATGGAATACATGGCATCACTGAAAAGAAGAATTATTTTTAAAAGAAAGAAAAACAATTAAAATAAATTTTCAGTGGTAGATCTTAAACTAATGAAATTCCAAGATTGAAAGCCACTTTTGAACATTTCATGTTCAAAAACATTATTCACCTAACCGGAGTTAATATAAGTCTTTCCCCTGATATAACAATCAAGCTAACTCTCACACCTCTACACAGACAGATATATGAGTTAAACAGAAGGCCTAATGGACCAACACATTAAGTGTCTAATGGAAAGAGCATGGGCTTTGGACTAAAACAAACCAAGGGTCAGGTCCCAGCTGTAACACATATTGTATAATAAGTAACTGGAAATCTCCATGTCTCAATTTCCTCGTTTTTAATTTTGGGACCAACACTTAACTGTTGATATTGCTGTGAGGAGTAAGAATTAACTTATGAAAAGCACCTAGCGCTGTACCAAGCACACAGTTGCCACTCAACAAATGTTGGTTCCTGTATATCCTTTCTAAAGCTTCTTTTAGTAATAGGACTCAATATTAACCAGGGCCCTAAAATTAGTAATGGTTACTTAAGTTCCTTCCAAAAGAGTAACTGTTATTTAGTAAAACATAAAGAATGAATGCTCTTTCAGAAAGAGCTTCAAGAAAGTGGGAGGGTCATCAGTGTAAGCTACCGTAAAGAAGTTGAATCAAGTAAGAATGGAAAATGAGTCAGCAGACTAAGCCATTAGGACGTTAGTGATGGCTTCTAAAGAGCAGTTCCAGTGGTCAGAGTAGAATTAGGAAGAGAGGTAGTAAGTACAGAATAGTCTTTAAATAAAGTTAGCATGAAGGGAAGGGGAATAAGCAGCAGCTAAGAAAGACAAGAGTCTCCAGAACACATTGGTATGGTTTTATGACAAGACAGGTTGAGTGTGTTTGAAGGCAAAAAGGAAGCGAGTACTGGAGAAAGATTAAAGCTACAGGCAAGAGGTAAAAATTAATGGAGCAAAATCCCCAGAGATAACTGGGATGGGGTGATAAAGCAGGATCCAGATCAAAGGTAGCAGAGATGCAAACATCTCAGTTTTTCTAAGACAAGCAGAATGTAGGGAAATATGTATACATATAATTGTAGTTGATTCTGTAATCAGAAAAAAAAAACGGAAAAGTGAGAGAAGTCATCTCATGTAGCCTCTATTTTATCTAAAAAGGAAAAGGTGAGCTGTGCTATAAGTGAAGGGAATGGGTGGAGTTGGCCAGATGAGATGAGAGAAAACTTCAATTCCATTGGATTTCTAAAACTGGCACAAGTACTGTGTTTGCAAGAATATATCTGAAAAAGAAGTGAATACTATGGCCTAACTATACTATTTCAGGCACTGTGCTAGGTGCTCTACAAGTGTTACGGCTTTTACTTCTCAAGGAGAACCCAGTAAATGAAGTGTTACTGTCCCTATTTTATAAAAAGTCAGAAAAATAATTACAATAAAGATTGCAATATTAGATTTAGCATGGTGAAATACCAATACAATAAACATACAGATAATGTATTATAAAATTATACACTCAAAACCTATATAGTTATTAACCAATGTAACCCCAATACATTCAATAAAAAAAAAAGAGAGGAAAAAAAAAGACTACATAAAACCCTTAAGATTGATTTTTAAAGTTTTGTTAATGACATGATATAGTAGATATCTAATATTTTGGGCCTTACAGCATCATTCCCTTTTCCTAAGTGTGGGCTGATTACTTTAGTTCTTCCCACTGCACATACAAACTTGGTAGAATGGTAAATCCAGGTGCCCACCCTCCACCTCTTATAGTCAAGGGGTGAACACCTGACCATGAACATAGCTTATAGGTGCTCCCCCTAGACTTTGAATCTTGACTAATAAAGTCTCTTTTACTAATAAAATCAACAATTATATCTACCTTTCAAAGCTAATCTAATGAGAACCCAAAATTTATAATTATAAATCTAATTATATTCAAAGTTTTGAGAATTATTTACATGACACCATTAATATATAATAGTTATCAATTAGAAATATAGCATTACCCTAAACAGTACAATTCTGGTTTTCAAACACTTGAGATTATCTGCAATTATCCCATGGTGTGCCACAAGACTCAAAATCATTCATTTGTTTATTTTAATTGTTAAAATGTGTGTGTCCATAATACCACACGATCTGAGTGAGTATAGAACTTGGAAAGAAGTGAAAAGCAATCATGAAACTTCACCTGAAAAAGGTTATAAGTCAATATCTTAAACAATGACCCTACAATCCTTTGGGGAGAAGCAGTGACTACTCCAGGCAGCCTTGGAGCTTAGACCAAAGTCACAAAGTTGGGGAGGGATACAGCCAAGATTCCAACCCAGGCTGCCTGGCCCAGGTGCTCTTAACCACTATGCTAAGCTGACTCCATCAACTCAAAGCTCTGGTTGAATATCATGCTCAGGACATTTAAGTAACATGAGCTTTAGTAGCAACCAGAAAAAAATAGGGCACGTTGTGTGATTTAACCTTACTTAATACAGAGGTTTGCAAAAAGAGTTGAGAACTGCTCTCGAGAATGAGTTAAAAAAACAAACAAACACAATTCAAATTCTCACTAAGATTATGTGCTAGAAACAGTACTACCTGAAGGGGAAGCAAAAGAAAAAAATTATTCTTACAAGTCTATCTATTGAATACTCTAACAGAGTTTATGGGAAAAAAAAACCCAACAAATTCAGGGTGCGTAATTTTAAGCAGAACTTTTAACGAAAGAAAAATAGGCAATAAAAAGAAAAAATGGAAATGTCTTTGTAGGTTAGGTAGAAATATATCATCTCTTTCCACAGTCACTCTCTATATCAAGGGTCAGAAAACTATGGCCTAAGGGCCAAGTCTAATCCACTGTCTGGTTCTGTAAATAGGATTTTACTGGAACACAGCTCTCCTGTTTACTTACTGTCAGTGGCTGCTCTCACACTATCACTGCAATGTTGAGTAGCTGCGCTACAGACTTTATATTATAAAGTCTGAAATATTTACCACCTGGCTCCTTACAGAAAGGTTGCCAACCATTCTTTTATTTCTTTTATAACATTTACCACTATCTAAAATTATTTTGTTTATCAAGTACTGTCTGACTTCCCCATTGGAATGCAAACTTCATGAAGAAAAATTTTGTTCTCCCCACTACCTCTAGCACCTAGAACTGTGCATGGCACATAGAAAGCACTCAATAAAAGTGTTCAATAAATGGCATTTATTGAAAGACAAAAGGAGAGCAAATATTTCTCAATTTCTCTTGGATGTACTCCAACTATTCATCCTACCATTCCATCAAAATTGGTCTTCTCATGTAACCATTGGATTTTTCTTGTTGACACACATGTTGATAAATTCAGTAGTTAAGTCTTAGTCCTTAGCTTGACCCATCAGTAGTATCTGACCCAGCTGGTCTACACTCTTCTCCATGTGACTTTCTGAATACCACATTCTCCTAGTTTTCCTTCTACCCCACCAGCCTTTCTTTAGTTTCCTTTGCTGGTGCTATCTCATTTTCCTAACCTCTTAATGTTAGTGCTCTGGGGCCCAGCCTCCAAGATTTTTCTCTCAGGTCACACTCATTTTCTTAGTGAACTCATCAAGTCTTATCACTACACTTAGGTATTTAAAATGTAAGTAGTACAGCCCCAACTGGCGTAGCTCAATCGACTGAGTGCCAGCCTATGAACCAAAGGGTCACTGGTTCAATTCCCAGTCAGGGCACATGCCTGGGTTGTGGGCTAGGTGCCCAGTTGGGGGCATGTGAGAGGCAATGGCACACTGATGTTCCTCTCCCCCCACCCCCAAAATATTTAAAATGTAACTAGTCCAAAACCAAACTCGTTTCCCTCCCAAACCTTCTCCATCACAGCCTTCACCCCCTCAGTAAATGGGAACAGCATCCTTCCAGTTGCTGAAGGCAAAAACTATTGGAAGTCAACCAACCCGCGTTCTGTTACACCCCATATCCAATCCCCATATCCAATCTACTATCAAACTCCAGTGGCTCTATCTTATAAATATATTCCAAGTTGATGATCACTTTTCACAACCTCCACTGTTACCATCCTGGTCCAAGGCATCATCATGTCTTGCCTGAGATGACATAATAGCTCCCTGACAGCATCCCTGCTTCCACCCTTACAGCCAGGGTGATCACGTTTAAAATGTACGCCATCAATTATGTTTAACATGTAAATCAGCAAGTGGCTGCATGCTCTAAACCTCCAATAGCTAGCTAGTTATCTTTCCTACTCAGAGTTAGAGTCTCCCATGATTTGGTCCCCTGAAACCTGTGTTCCTTCCCCTCCAGGAACATAGGCCTCCACACCATCCTACAGCATGTCACTCGAGCTTCCAACTCAGTGTCTTTACACTGGCAGAAGGGCTCTTTTGGTTTAATGAACAAACCGAGACTACTGAATCAGGCACTGCCATGAACTAATTCTCATAACAACTCTGCAAGGTAAGTATCAATCACCCCAGTTTACAAACTGGGAAAGTGAAGTTTACAGGCCCCCTATCTACCAAATAATGGAGCTGGGGTTCAGGTCTGATTAGTCGTCACAGAACATGAGCTCTCCATGAGTTTGAGAGGCTAAAAGGGGAGGCATCCGTGATATTCCTCTGAAGCCACACTGATTCCAGCTCCTACAGGTGCACGATGACAGCTAGAGGAGATGAGAAAGGGCGGTCAGAGAAACAGGATGACCGGAAGAGGAGTTACCCAAGTCAAGAGGGGAAAGTTTCCAGGAAAAGGAATGGGTGTTAAATGGACGTGAGACATCCACAAGCCCAAGAACCCAGCACACACCTCACAGTAAATCATACCTGTAGTAGACAGCAACTCTGACCCTGACTTACAAAAATGTATTTTCTACCAATAATACTGGCCAAAGATAAGCCTACTAGGCAGGCACTTCCACAGGCCTGCAGCAACTGTGTGACGGTAAGTTGCAGTTAAGCATCTGACACCTAGCTTTTCCTCTGGCCCAGGCCAGACCAAGTTTGTGTGTGCGGTGGGCGTGGGGTAAGACGAAGTGTGGCCTTCAACTTTCAGAAGCCCCAAACCCCCCAGCAATCATCTTCCGCCCGTGTGGGACCGCCACTGTCTGTATCCCAGATAGTCCAGGAGTCCGGAGCGGTAGCCAGGGACGCAGAATGAGTGTTGGCCCTTACTCCGAATTTTTCCAGCAACTTCTAAGCCCTTTTCCTTTCCGCCCCACAGTAACGACAGGACACCCTATACCCCGACTCTCACGATCTCCCTCTCACCCCCATCCCCTGCCTAGACCTATCCCGAAAAGTGACCCCTGAGAAACCCCACACCCCACAGCGGTCCGGGTGTGAAGACCCCGCCTCACCGCGGCCCCAGCAACAGCGTGGACCAAGCTTTCGTAGGACAGCACGGAAGTCATTGCTGCGGGTCCCCTCAGAACCAGCTGCACTTTCCCCGCAGGAGCCACAGCCAGACTTGTGAAAGAGCCAGAATCCCAGGCGAAGCGTCACTAGTACCACCCTCTCAGGGCCGCCTCCTCCTGAATAACCACTTCCGGGTCGTAGAGCGCCCAGAATCCCATGGAGGCCGCCTGGGCTGGAAGGCAAAAAGGCGGGCCCGGAAACACCCCCTGGCTCTGATTGGCTCCCGCGACCTGCACAGGGCGGTGCCACACGGTGCTGGCTCCACCACTCGGGGCAGCCTCCTGGGTTCCCTAAACTAGCCAGTTGGCCAGTCCTGCTTCACTCGCACTTACAGAACAGTAGGCACTTCAAAAAGCCTAGATGGCCTCCCTTTCCTCCATCTCCCTCCATAACACAAACTGATGACTGTTAAAGTGGGGGACTCATCTTCCTGTTCCTCTGGGACTTGGCCAGTATTTCTTCACTAGAACTTTTCTGAAAATTAATTTTAGAGAAACATTTTGTCGTCCCACTTATTTATGCATTCATTGGTTAATTCTTGTATGTGCCCTGACCAAGGACGGCACCTGCAAAGGTGGTGGCATGTCAGGTGATGCTCTAACAAACCGAGCTATAGGGCCAGGGATCTGTTATTTTTAAAGTTACATTTTGGCCAAGAGGATATCAAATGTCAGTTGGTCAGGGTTCTCCCCTCTGAAAAACCCTGAGGTGTGGGAAGATAAACTTCAAGAAGTCAAAATACTCAGATACAGGTGGGAACATTCTTTAATCTCTTGGTTTCCTACTTTGTGAAATGGGTGTTAACACAGGGCTAAACAACTTGATTTGCTGTGAGGATTACAAAAGCTGCACTTCACAAAATACTTAACATTTCCCCACTCAAATTACAAAGTGATGAACCAACCATTTCTGAAGAACTGGAGAAAGGATTTCGAACACCGTTATATGGTGAGACACAATGTTTCAGGACTCCCATTTCTTTACCAGGGTACCAATGTCACGAGTCCCCATTAGTTAGTTTTGTAATGCTATTACTGAGAACCGAATGCTTATTACAATGCCAGGGTCGGTACTTTATGCCCCGTATCACCTCTGCTTCTCAGGAGAAGGCCTTAATTTACCTGGTCATGTTTTCACAAAATTTCCAGAAAATATTTTGCCATTAGGTACAATCTCTTTCCACTTAAGCTCCCCTTCATTTAGGGTGGTACTACAGTGATAGTGACCACAAACTAAGTGAAAGATTAGTTGGGAAAACATGTAGTTGGATTTAGTGGTATCTACAAGTATGGTCAAATTACTGATAGACACCCTACTGGAAGAGTGGCTTCCAGGAATAATCCCAGCACTCCCTTGAGTTGTGACATCAAGGTACAGATCCAAAAGGCCAATGAAGACAGAATTCTGGCACTGAAATAGAAGCAAGCTGATCCATTAAGAAAGTTGAGCCCTGGCTGGTATAGCTCAGTGGATTGAGCGCGGGCCTGCAAACCAGACAATTGCAGTTCGATTCCCAGTCAGGGCACATGCCTGGGTTGCAGGCCGGTTCCCTGCAGGCCAGTTCCCAGCAGGGGACGCACTAGAGGCAACCACACATTGATGTTTCTCTCCCTCTCTCCTTCCCTTCCCCTCTAAAGATAAATAAATTAATTAATTAAAAAAAAAAAAGAAAGTTGAGCAGAAGGCCAAGTTCTGATTCCTAAACAAACTGGGAGATCTCATCAAGAACACGGGAGATCTCATCAAGAACACGGAGTGGGGCAAAAATAGTTTACACAGTTGTTCCTATGGAAAATAATATAATGAAAAATAAATGGTTTCATATATTCACAAATGTAAATCTATTTTACCCCACCCTATATACTACAATAAAGAAATACCCTTTTATAAACACTTTTTGAGCACTTGCCCCTTTATAAACACTATTTGAGTGCTTTCCCTTTATGATGGTAACTGAATGAGTTTTCGCAAATTCCCATTTGTAGGACATGAACCTAGCAGATAGCAGGCCCAGCTATCAAAAAATAATTTGATCAAAATGGAATTATCTCCTACCGAAAGCACTGTAAAATCCTAAGAGTATGCAAAGAAAAATGTAGCAATTATGTAGGCACCACATACTAAATGAAACTTTGCAGTTGTGGTATAGGCAAATCACTTATTAAATGGAGCTTTTGTGCAATACTTTAATCACACTGGTTAAGATCTCCATACTGCAACCCAAAATATCCTAGTGACCTGGATGAGTGAACTTTAAGGACATGCTAGCCAATATACCAGGTAACTAGATTTTAAGAGCACCAATTATATTACTGACCTCCTTGCTACTCTGGCTCCGCCTAATACTTGGAATCCATGTATTTTATTGTTAGATGTCATAGAAAACTATGAATTTACATGGGAGCATCAGCACTAGACAAAAGGTCTCAACTGAATTGCCAAGATATTTAAAACTTTTTGCCAACTCGATATGCCATACTCAGTTTAAATTTATCCTTTTTAAAGTTTTACAGCTACTGTTAACTAACTGTACTTGTTGCCTATTTACTTTAGGAAAGTTTCTTCTAAAGATCTGGTTCATGTTGATACAGATCGAACTTGAAAAAAATTACTGCACCGTAATTTTTAAAACTGATTTTCTTGTCCCTGTTACTGGGTCTGCCTCAAGTGGATGAAGTACTTCAACTGTTACATCCCTAAAAGGAAAGCACCTATTGGATGTGCACATCAGCACACCCCATGATTTGATATTCCTTTTCAAGAGTACACTTTAGTTTTGAATTTCTCAAAGTAATGAACAATTCTGCAAGAAAGAACCTCAAACAGAGAGGGGCAGCAAAGCATAAAATTTAAGACTTTGAAACCATAAGCTTGGAGAAAATATCAGCTCCACAAAAAATAAGGGTGTTATCCTGGGCAATTCAGTGTTTAAGTTTCTTCTTCTGTATAAAATGGAATACTTACCTTCTGGTCATCAGAAACTGAGTCAATACTTGAAACTGATTACAAAGTGTTTGGCACAAAGACTACTTTTACTTGATATATGTGCCTGCTTGGGTGCATTAATTTCGGCTGTGATCAAATCTCTGCAGTTGTTTCTCCCTATAGCCCATTAGGTCAGTGTTTCGCAGTGTGGCAGACTGCTAGATGTTATCCCAAATCTTTTCTCCATTTTTTTCTGTGGTAATACAATTCTTCTGTTGGGCATGTTACCACACCACCATGGACTATTATAATATGGTCTCAAGATGAAGAAGCAGCTGGCCAACAGGACGAGAATAAAATGCTAACTCCAACCAAAGTATCGCAGTTCAATTCCCAGTCAGGGCACATGCCTGGGTTGCAGGCCAGTTCCCAGCAGGGGATGCACAAGAGGCAACCATACACTGATATTTCTCTCCTCTTCTTCCCCTCTAAAGATAAATAAAATCTTAAAAATAAACAAATACATAAATAATAATAATAATAAAATAAATAAAATGCTAACTCTATGTATGAGCCTCAGTATTACAGCATCTGCTCCCCTAGAGCCCTCTCATGTTTCCTCAGGACAAAAGATGTGCACCACAGCAAGCCCCTTTGGACCCAGAAATGGAATCTACCAGACTACAGTGGAACTGGTTACCTCTGGACTGCTACCTGAAAAAATATATATTAACTGTTACACTTAACTTAGGCCAGCAATTTTCAACCGATGTGCCACAAGAATTTTTAAAACATGCAATACATAACTATTTATTCAGGGGCACTGAACTCTTTTCCCCTAGGCTGTCAAATTAAAAAAATGACAACAGTCAACACAACAGCTGTCCAGTATGAATGCGCTCCCTGCCTTGAACCATAAAGGTATAGGTCATATAGTAGAGTTCCATCTTATTGGCCACGTCACGTACGGTTGCATCTGATTAGTTAATTCTTGGTACCAGAAATCCTTATATACAAGTTTAGGCATCTGATTTTTTAAAAAGTCAGTTTGGTACAAAAAGGGTCAGTAATTACTATTATTTTTGTAAATCAATAAAAATTATACCTATTTTTTGGTGTCAGATCAGCAAAACTGTATTTTTTGTTGTGCTGTAGAATTTTAGTTATTAGTTTATGTGTGCCACCAGATGAATAAGGTTGAAAATCGCTGACTTAGGCTAATGTATTTTGTGGGGGAGGGAGGGTCATTGTTAACAGCACTTTATAATTAATCTAAAGTCTACTATGCCCAATCACTTAAGATTAGTGCTAGAGACAAAAGAAATAAAACATGTGCTGGGCAAAATAAGAGGGGTGAGGAGTCAATATCCAGTTTAAAACCATAGTTTATTTTTAATGTAGCTAGAAATATTCAGTAACTATATATTTTTAAGCAGAAAAAAACTCCTTCACTTTTCCATCTTATAGCATTATTAGCACAAGAAAAGAACATTTTGTTTATAAATGATACTTTCTATGAAAATGAAAGCATTTTTTAATTTGTGGAACTTAAAAGTCTAAAAGCACAGAACACATTTTCAGAAGACCAATTTTACTTTTACCCATTTATGGTAGTATTTGCAATGTTAAAATGTATTTAGGTAACGTATAGTTAAGTAAATCAAATCAAACAAGGAATTCAAAAGTAGCTGGTCTTGAGTTACTTGCAGTGTACATTAGAAATTACAGGAGAGAACCCATTAATAAAAAAACACTGGCAAGCTCAAACGCTAGGTTATATGCTGAGTATTTTTAAAGGTGTAAAAATCATGCTCAATTAGCATACAGTTTTCTCACTTATGTAACAGATGCATTTCTATCTGCTTGTGTACAGCAAAGGGTCAGAATCTGAAAATCAACTTACGACTTCAGATATGTGCTATTTCAAAAATGTATTCCATAAAATTTACTTCACTGCTCCTAGCACTGATTCTTCAAATAAGCAAGTACAGAGGGCCTCATCCCTTAAATTGCGTTCAGGTAGAAATCTCGAAATTCCTGGTACAGTGCCAGGACTTAGTCTTATAGAACATAGGAATTTAACATACAACAGAAAATGGGTCATTTTCTTTATGCTGGAGAGGGAAGGAGGGGTGGAAATATGGTTGTAGTATTTAAGAGCTGAAAAGAACAATGAGTCTTTCACAATACCAACGCCACTACAGTGAAGAACCACCACAGATCTCATCAATTTTATAATCATGCTCCATCAAAAACTTAGGCTCCCCTCCATGTATCTCAATTAACTCAAACCTTGTACTCTCTCCAAATACAAACTCACTTTGTATTTCCTAAATAGACAACTAAACATCAAAGGAAATTATTCCTTTCAACATCTTTTGATATGGTAAAATTTCCCTGGAAGTAGAAATCTAATATTTAAATATGAAATCTCTCAGCCAAGTAGAAAACTACAGCTGTTATGGGTTATCACCCTACATAGTCATTATATGCATTATATATTAAATTAAACCCAGCATTAAATACGCTTGCACAATTATGCTGTGAATGATAGCAGTGATGATGCCAGTGAAATAGGACTATCTTCTGGCCAAAGAGTAAGGGTGGTAAACATAAAAACAAGTAGAAAGCTGACAAAGAGTTGAGTATTTTCTGACCAGAAAAAGTAATTTTAAACATAGAAGTGTAAAAAGAAAAGTACTTCCTTATTTCCCCTTTGTGGAAATAATATGAAACATTTATTATTTATTTTATGTATCAGACAAGAACATAGCTAAGTAATACAACTCTACTGCAGCATTGTAAAAATCATCCCTTCACCACAGCGTAAGAGGCATCTTAAATGCATCTCCACAGTTTAAATGCATCTGCACAAGGGTACGTGTCATTTAAAATGTAGTGAGGTTGCTGCTGCCCTACCAGGTACTTCCAGTCCCTAGCCAGGTCCTACTGCAATACTGGTGGTCCCAGTAGTTTTATTGAAATAAATCACTTTTTAAAAAATAAAGCATTTAAAAAGAGAAACCAAAATGCCTCAGTGACTATAATATTCAACTCAAACTACCTATTTAAATGTTGTATTTACCTCCCACTAATAAATCTTTATTTCACTCAAACTGGGCAATAAACCTTCCATACTGAAGTATCTTTTGCCCAATTAATTCAAAGGAAAACACCAAAATGATTAGTAAAGAAAAGTGTAGGGTTTAACACACCCTTTTAATTTGTTTTTAAATATTTTTAAGATTTAAAAGTGTTTAAACTTTATAATTCCCAGTAGGAAAACATTATCTGAAAGAATACCATAATGGCAAACCACGGTCACATGTTACAGCTGCATGTGGGGCAGAGGGGTAGGGATTCTCTTCCACGCACCCCAGCTTTCTTCACGAGAAGGTCAGAGGTACACTGGTTTGTATTATTGCGACATCCATTGAGTGATCCGAGTTCCTTTTCCTTCAGCAAGGGCTTTATCTGTCAGAAGGGTATTACGCTTGACCTCCAAATTTGGCTGACAATTTACTGATTAGATTCATAACCTTTGGGTTGCTCTGATATTTTGACATATTTGCTGGGTTCTGAGCCACATCCTGGAAGGCCACCATAACTTCTGGATCCTGCAAAGAAAGGTGTGGGGTTTTGTTGTTTTTTAAGTATTTAAAAATTCTATAGGGAAATAAGTTTGATAAAAAGTTAAGATAACAAGTTTCTTAAATCCCATAATTTTTGTCAGGGACAAGTTATTTGGGATCTGGACAAGTCCTTAAAGTATAAATATTATTAATGTGCACTCCAAAGTCAAACTCAATTATATATCACTTTATCTAATGAAACAAACATATATAATTTTGATTCAAAGAAAAACACAACTGATGCCCCAGCAGCTGTGGCTCAGTGAATTAAGCGCTGGCCTGCAAACCAAAGGTTGCTAGTTCAATTCCCAGTTGGGGCACGTGCCTGGGTTGCAGCAAGGAACCCAGGTTTCTCTCACATGTCAGTATTTCTCTGCTCATCTTTCTCCCTTCCACTCTCTCTGAAAATAAATAAAATCTAGAAAAAGAAAAACACAACTGGATATAATTACCATCCATTACAAATAATTTCCTATAAACCAATTTTTATTTTTATTTTTTAAAAAAGTTTTATTTTTAGAGAGACGGGAAGAGAGGGAGAGAAATATCAATGTGTGGTTGACTCCCCATAGCCTCCCAGTGGGGACCTTGCCTGCAACCCAGGCATGAGCCCTGACTGGGAATCCAACCCATGACCCTTTGGTTGGCAGCCCCAGGTTCAATCCACTGAGCTACACCAGTCAGGGCTTATAAATCAATTTTTAGAAACTTAAGCTACTCTCCTGGTCAGTGTAGCCCAGCTGATTGGAGCTTTGTCCTGTAAACAGAACGGTCACCTGTACAATTATTTCCAGTAAGAGCACATGCCTAGGTTGCAGTCGAGGTGCTTATGGGAAGCAACCTATGGATGTTTCTCTCTTACACAGATGTTTCTTTCCCTTTTTCCTCTCTAAAATTAGGAAGTGTGCCCTCAGGTGAAGATTAAAAAAAAAAAAAAACACTTAAGCTACCCATTCTGAAAGAAAATGAATGCCAAAAGTGCATAGTTATTTGGTAATTCGGATCAATAAAATTTGGCTAACAGAGTAAGCTTTATCTCCACACAGAATTATGAAAGAAATGCCTTAGCCATACAAAGTTCCACAATGTTTTTCTGTCTTACCTGCATGGCTGCAAGAACCTCTGGATCACTGAGAATCTCATTGAGCCCAGGCATTCCTGCCATTCCAGGCATTCCTCCAGGAAAATTACCAGGCATTCCCCCAGGAAAGCCACCTACAAAAAATAAATGGGGAGAAAAAAGAGAAAACTGTACAGACACCAACCAAATTCTTAAGTCATCTAATAGTACACTATTTTCTACTGTGCACAAAAAAGTTTTATAAAAGTAACTTCACAGGTGATCCAACCATAAGCTCCTAACAGGGCAGATCATAATGGGTAGTTAGGCCTGAGGCATATAAGGCATATAACTTCTTTAGTAAAAGGTTTATCTTTGCCTTAAGCCAGTCCTGTCCTTTTTTTTTTTTTTTGCCAATCTAACACAACTTTGAAATAAGTAGTAATCACTCTCAAGAGAGCACATAATTCTATAATCCGATCCCCACCTTGCTTTCTCCCAACTTCATGTAATATTCTTTATGTTCCCTCCTGAATTTAAAATGAATAAAAGAAACCACAAAACTGTCATTATTGGAGTATTTCAGATCTTGCTTCCCAGCAACTGTCACTAGTTTTGGCTCGAATAAACTAAACAAATTCTCTATAGGATTGGATGTTTCTTATGTTGACACTACTGCTTAAAATAACAAAGACAAGCATAAAGAAAAAGGATGCTGCTAAACACAAAGGGGTCAGAACATTCTAACTGAATGTAACAAGGTACAATTTTTAACTTTCAAATTACATCTTAAAAATAAGGCTGTAAATCAGACTTTGCTACCTCTAGATTCACTTATTTCCTTAGCAAAAAAACCCCTAATTTTACTTTAAAAATAAAGAAAGCTAAATTCCTTGGAATTACAAAATTTCCTTAGTATTTTTTGTTTCAATTTAAACTCGTAAGAGTTTAGCTGTTCTTTCAAACAAAAACAAAAACCTGTATTATTCTCGAGCAGTTATGGCTTCAAGGACTACACTGAATGCCTGTTATAAAAAGCTATGAACTTTTATCTCTACACCCGACAGAATCCAAATTTCTGAAAGTAAAACTGGAAATCTGTATTTTTAACAAGCACTCCTGTTGTTTCTTCTTTGCTAGAACAATGCTCCAGCAAAAAGGACTTAATTCTCCCAGAATGTTTTTAGATTATATGACCAAACTATTTTCTACTCTTTTTCTTTTTTAAATTATCTTCACATGTACTGGAAGTATCCCAAAACAACCATTATACCAATACAGGGGTATTCTCAAGGGAAATACAAATAACATTAATGTATTCTATACATCAAGGGTGACTGTAATAAGGCCATCAAAAAGCAAAAATATGGATTAGAAAGTCATTAGCACCTGTCACAATAATTAAAAAAACCCATAAATAACAATCACAGATAAAGAGACCTAAGGGGTCTAATAACTTGTAGATTCTCTTGCTGATAATACTGAGAAACTAGTTTCTACCTATAAAAAAATTACTGGCCTTACGCGGGAATAGTTAACCAGTCTGCTTGTAAAATCTAGGTAATAACAACTACATAAAAAAAAAAATTATCTCCAGAACTAGTCTACATTAGTGGTTATTTTCTAAAACAAAGGTACCTGATGTAAAATTCTATTTTAAACAGGAAGTAAGCTATGAGCTAAAATTTCCTTGCTTTTTCTTCAAACTGCAAGTCACCCCCAATATGTGCTTTTTTTTAGTTGCTCTGCACATGACCTTTCAGAATATTGGCTACCTTTCTTAGCCAGTGGCATAAAAGTAGTGTGTAGCTGCCTCTATAAACACTTCTTGAGGGAAAGCTGATTACTATTAAACAGCTGATTCCCCATTAGAATTATGAACTTAAAAAAATCTCTGCTTGTTCTTTATATAAATTTCATATGGCCTTATATAGAAAGTATTCATTCATTCATTCTGAGTGTCTTTTAAACTGCTCTTCTACCTGTATTATATAGGACTATGGTATCATGCAAGGTTTTGCCTAATAATTTCTGATCACTTAACAATTTACAAGATAAAAGTATGTATTATTTTTACACTGGACTTAAAACATTTTTTTGTGCTTAATAATTAATTATATATAGTGCTTTTACCTACTATCTCATGAATAGCAATGGACAAAATTCCACGACGGCTATTTAGAAATACTTGGAATCCATCAGAATCGATTGTTATAATCTTTAAAAATAAAGGTACAATGCTTATTAGGCCCCAATAAATGTCAGTTACTTTTAAAAACAATACTGCTCAAAGTGTGGGGAAAAATAATATACTCCAATTCTACCAACATAAAATTTTTATTAGAATGAAACTTTCTAGAAACTAACATTCTAAAGATTCTTCAGTGTCCTAGGGAATAATGGTATTAAATATAACAGACATACCAGAGCACCCAAATCAGAATATTCTCCAGTTATTTACAATACTTATAGATTCACTTTTTCTTTAAAAGTACCTGGAAAAGAGCCATACTGAGCTCCTGATTGTCGTCTGGCTTCTTCTTCCTTTAATAAAAAAAAGAAGAAACAAATTACGTAACAGGGAGGAAGAGTCCTGTTATCCACCTCTACCCTATCCATGCAAAAATCACAAAAATATTCTAAAATAAGATAGTTATATAGGACTTACAAGAATAACAAATTTCAAATGTAAATAATGGACTAAAGAATACACCCTATCTCAAATCACCCCCCCAAAATGTCCAATTACATTTTCAATGAGCATTACTTCCAACAATGATTCCAAGTAGTGTTTTTCCACTTCTACTTGGCAGGGAGGGGAAACCCTGGAAAGTAATTTACAATACAGGTATGTCTGTCCACGCTTACAACACCTAAATTCTTATTGTTTTAAATGCCAAAATAAAAGCATATGGTTAGATTACTAAAACTACTATGACTTTTGTCTCCTGGGTTCGTGTTTTCTATATTCTTCCCTATGTAACTCAACAACAAATACAACTACAGATTTACTGGTTTGGGATGTTTTCTTAAACACAAACTGAAAGCAAACATACATAAATTTTTCTCATAACCAGTTATAAAGTCACTAAGAAGATATGTAAGGGTAAAAATTGCTTTTGAAGATTATATACCATAATATCCCAAATCAAACATGATACTTAAAAATACAAAATGACAAAAAATTAGAATGTAATGTTATATAATTGTAATACAGCTTTATGTCCTTTTGTTCAATGTTAAAAACAAATAGATGAGAACTAATAGCATCACTGCAAAAGGCTAATATAGAAAAACTAGGAAAAACCTTAAGAATAGCAACAACAATACTGTATATAAATTATAGATACTTTTTCTTTTTTCTAAATTTTATATAATATGACTTTGTAACTAAATAAAGAGGAATTTTAAATAGCTATGACTAAACTACCAGAATGATGGAATCACAAAATTTAACACATCAGGGCAAACACTTTTAAGAAAACAATTATTGCTAAGTTTTTAATTACTTGACAGGGAAAAATTCAACTTTTGGATAAAATAAAATTATAAACTGGTGAAATATAAACTCAGTTAAGAATTTAAAGATTAAGTTTCCAGCTCTGCCTGGTGTAGCTCAGTGGATTGAGCACAGGCCTGCGAACCAAAAGACTGCAGTTCGATTCCTAGTCAGGGCACATGCCTGGGTTGCAGGCCAGTTCCCAGTGGGGGACACATGAGAGGCAACCATACACTGATATTTCTCTCCCTCTCTCCTTCCCTTCCCCTCTAAAGATAAATAAATAAAATCTTAAAAAAAAAAAAGGATTAAGTTTCTAGTCAAAATGGAGGCATAGGTAGACGTGCCTTGCCTCACTGTACAACCATAAGAAGGAATACTGCTGTCCTGGCTGCTGTGGCTCAGTGGATTGAGCACAGGCCTGAGAACCAAAGGGTTATGGGTTCAATTCCCAGACAGGGCATATTCCTGGGTTGCTGGCCAGGCCCTAAGTAAGTCGCGCATGAGACGCAACCACACACTGATGTTTCTCTACCTCTCGTTCTCCCTCCCCTTCCCTCTCTCTAAAAATAAATAAATAAAACCTAAAAAAAATAATAATAATTAAAAAGAAAAATGAAAAACCACAGGAAACCAACAGTGAAGGGAAGGAAGCCAGGGTTCAAATCAATGATCTGGAACATAAAGAAATAAACATTCAATCAGAACACAAGAATTTTTTAAAAATGAGGGGAGTTTAAGACTCTGGGACATCTACACGAAGGCCAACATCCAAATCATACTGGTGCCAGAAGGAGAAGAGGAAGAGCAAGAAATCGAAAACTTACTTGAAAAAAATAATACAAGAAAACTTCCCTAATTTGGCAAAAGGAACAGACATGGAAGCACAGAGAGTCCCAAACAAGTTGGATCCAAAGAGGTCCACACCAAGACATATCATAATTAAAATGCCAAAGGTTAAAGACAAAGAGAGGATCTTAAAGGCAGCAAGAGAAAGGCAGAGTTACCTACAGTTCCCATAAAAGACTATCAGCTGATTTCTCAAAAGAAACAAGAAGGGACTGGCAAGAACTATACAAAGTAATGGAAAGCAAGGAACTACAATCAAGATTACACTATCCAGCAAAGCCATTACTTAGAATCATTCTACAAAACTGGAGGCAGCATTAAATAAGAACCTGGAATTAGAGTAATATCCTAAAAGCTCTAATCTACTGTGTATTTTCCCCTTTAATGGCTTAGCCATAGAAACTTTACCCTCTGGGCTCTCTCGTGTTCTTCCCGAGCCTTCTTAACCCTTTCCATTCTTTCTTTGATCTCTCGCTCCTCACGTTTCCGCTCATACTTTCTCCGATGTTCTGCAATTTTCTGGGCCTAGAAAAAAAGAGCCATAGAAAAAACATTCTGAAAACTGAATAAAGCCAACATGCATCTACAGTTCTGTTAAGGAATTACTTTTCTTTGTGGAGAGGTGTTCAAGACATAGTTCTGAATAATGACAGATTTATCTGATAGAAAAAGACCTGACGTAACTCAAGTTTTAACAAGTCCACTGTGAAAGAGAAGAATGAGGCTAGGATTTGAAGTCAGAAATGTTATAAATTTCAAACAATTAACTGGGGCAAGGAACAGAATTAAGTTTCAAATAGCACTATTCTTGTCTGATACCTGCCATGGGAAGGCAGAATCCGGGAACACATGTAGCAGTTATTTGCCCGTCTAACCATACTTACTTTCCTCATTCATAAAATGAGGGTATAAAAGGAAAAATACGTGCGTCTATAGAAATGCTGTAAGGATTACGAGAAAAAACACATGTACCAGGCACTAGTACGTCACCCGTGACAAACATGTGGAATCCATTATTTACTTAGAGAATGAAGTAAATGAGTCATATTCAGCCTTTACATTACTTATGATTTTTAAGAAGCTTATTTTCTAGAATATCTCCTATAATAAATAACCTTACTGAGTTAGCCCTGTTATGAGAAGGAAAAAGAAATAAAACAGTCTCTACAAGTAATAGCCAATTTAAATTAAACAAAATTTGCATTGCCTTAATAGCTTTACAAATAAATTCTTGGTAGTATAACTTCCCACAAAGCTGAAGGATTCACCATGTAAATGTATTAACATTAACCAAAAATTTTAGACAGAAATATCTTAAAAGAGTACTCTAGCTTTTGGATTAATTATCATCATTTCTGAAAGGCTGAAACTTGTTAACTACCACAGGGTCCTCATGTTCAGTACCGTGGCTATACACACCTATAAGGAAGGACATACTAAACTCAATCTTGGCTCACATTTTACACATTTTCTATTTGCCCCCACTTCATTTCTTTTTGGTTATAATTATATTTTAGGCTTGCAAATAAAGTAATAGAGCTCACTATAATACAGTGTAAAAAATGAAAACCTAGTATTTCCTGAGCTGAGCACAAACTTAAGTGATTACAATTAACTTGCAAATGTTTGTTTCTTTGCATCTGTTCTGCAGGTAAGTCCTAAAGCCATGAATCATTACAGGAATGACTTTCCCTTTCTCTACTTTAACATACCCTTGGTTGAACTTCTTTCAGCATTGCACTAGCATCTTCATCGTAATCCAATTTACATGCAAGGGCAAGATCATGGGCTGCTTCTTCCCAATGGCCCAGAAGTCTGAAACAGATTTAAACTCATTTTAGGAATTTTTTGTCTGTATTCACTTATGTATCATGATGTCTTTCTTCCTTATTATGAAAAAGGATTGTTACAGAAGAAGTTTTAAGGATTGTTACAGAAGAAGGTTAAATACTGAACTACAAATTTTCATGAACCATTTTTTTAAAAAACAGCTTTTTGAAATACATTTCACATACCATAAAATCCATCTATTCTATTTTTTTAGAGATTTTTATTTACTTTTAGAGAAAGGGGAATGGAGGGAGAAAGAGAAGGAATGAAACATCGATGCATGAGAGAAACACTGGTTGCCTCTCGCACCCACAACTAGGGACCTAGCCCACAACCCAGGCATGTGCCCTAACTGGGAATCAAACCAGAAACCTTTTGGTTCACAGACCGGCGCCCAAACCACTGAGCTACACCAGTCAGGGCTTATGAACCAATTTAATAACCATGTTTCACCTTACAAAAATTTGAAAGAGTTTAAATTTCCTTTATGATTAACCTTAAACCTGCTCTTTCTACTAAAAAATGCTTAAAAAGTTAAAAACAGTTTTCTTAATTCAGAATATGAAAATTTAAGAAATTATGTAAAGCCACAACTTTCAGTTAATCAAAAACAGAACATGATATATGTTTAACATGCTACCTACCTTCTGTATAAGACAGAAAACAATACGTGTGCACACTTTTTATTGAAAAAGGAGGGAAAAGATAAATCAGAAACTAACGGTTGGTAGGAATAGCTAAGAATAAAGTAGGGGGATAGCAATGGAAATCAGACTTCTTGGGTTATACCTGTGAACTCAAACTCAGTTTTGAGTCTTTAAAAAACATGAAAATGCTTTACATACATAAAGTGGAAAATTAAATTAGAAAGGATGGAAATAAAGCAAACCCTAAACACAACTGAAAACAGAGAAGAGGCCAATCCCATTCACAACTAAACCACAGTGGGAGACTATATCCCACAGAATATCTCTCAGTGAGATATAGTTAAGAACTGCAAGAAAAAAACTTTTAAACCTTACTCAGAAATATTATCTCCAAGGTATGATTTCAAAACAATTTATGTATAAGGTAGGATAACACAAGTAGGTAAATATATTAAGGATAAAGATTCTGACTCTGTCCACTAAAATGACATAAGGCTATCCCGGAAGCAGTGAGCCCATTTAGTCACCAAACTTCTGTTACTATAAATATAATCCCCACTAAAATAAACTAGTTTTTTTGAGAAATGACTTATTCCAAATCTGGGATGAGCAAAGTACAAGCTGAGCTCACATTCTGTGTTCTATCAGAAGGCAAGGAAATGCTCAAATACTACTGGGGTCTCAAGAGGATCAATGGCAATGCATGAGCTTTCTGGTACTGACAGGACAGTAATAAATTGTATTCTAATCTTTTATCCGCATCTTTAATATGTGTCTTAGTAACAACTAAAGCTGCTTTCTGAGTCACCCTACTACTGCAGCTGTCCCAGCATATCCATCTTTATCTCCACCCACACTTGAAGGACAGCACTTTTTCACTCCTTCCACATAAGATGTCAGTATCATCAAACATTTTATCCTCAACCCACAGAATACGATTTGTATAACATTGTTTTGCTTCCAGGAATGATTACTAATCTTGGTTAAATTCACTTTGCTCCCTTTTGATTCTTTAGGTGACTTAACATGGACTGAGGTAGTTGAAGACTAGCAAATGTCTTCTATAATTGGTTGTTAATGATAAGCTGCAAAGAGAAGTCTGAAAATAAGAGAAAATTTAAAGAACAATAATAAAAGGTGAGAAAAACAGTCACTGTGGCCCTGGCTGCTATAGCTCATTGGACTGAGGGCTGCAAACCACAAGGTCACTGGTTCGATTCCCAATCAGGGCACTTGCCTGGGTTGTGGGCCAGGTCCCTAGTGGGGGTCATATGAGAGGCAACCATTCATCGGTATTTCTCTCCCTCTTTCTCCCTCCTTTCCCCTTTCTAAAAATAAATAGAAATTAAAGGGGGGGGGAAGGGGGGCGGGCGGAACAGGGGGGGAAAAAACGGGGAACAGCAGTGGCGTCTCTCCCCACAAAAATCAAAAAATAGAACAGTGCGCACACAAACGTAACACAGCAGACCGGCAGGCGGAGGCGCGCCACACGGTACAGGAAGACTCAGACAAAACAAACAGAGCCGCCACCGACCGGGCGCCGGACCTTGAGGGGGCCGGCGCACCGCGCCGGCCGCCGGCCGGGCGCCGGCGCGCCGCGCGCCGCCAGCGGGCCGCGGCGCGCAACCCGGCCGGCGCCGGGGGCCCGGTTGAACCGTGCCCGCAGGTCCCCACGGCAAGTGGCAGTGGAGGGCGCCGCCATTTCCCTGCTCTGACCCCACCTCCACATACAGCGTCATAACCCAGCGACTCTGAGTGGCCCGGCCCAGGGGAACCACCTAAGGCACTGCTCCTTTGCACCCATCTGTGAGAAACAGCAGAGGGGGCCGCCATTTCCCGCTCTGGCCACGCCCCCACATACAGCGTCACAACCCAGCAACCTGGGAATCCAAGGCACCGCTTCTCACACTTAAAGGGCCCGAACAGACCAAGAATGGCGCAGGAGGATCTCAGAGCCCCAGAGCCAATAGATCTAAGCGATGAAGAAATAGCAAAACTCACAGACGCACAGTTTAAAACACTGGTCATCAGGATCCTCACAGAACTGGTTGATTATACCGACAAATTAGACAAATATATGAAGGCGAAACTAATTGAAATGAATAGAATTGCACAAGAAACCGATAGCAATGAAAAGGAAACTGGGACTCAAATCAATGGAGTGGACCAGAAGAAAGCAAATAATGGCCAAACAGAAAAGAGTCAAGAAGCAAGAATTCAAAGAAATGAGGAGAGTCTTAGGAACCTCCAGGACATCTTTAAACGCTCCAACATCCGAATTATAGGGGTACCAGAAGGGGGAAAGGCACAGCCACCAGTGGAAATCTTATTTGAACAAATAATAAAGGAGAATTTCCCCAATCTGGCAAAGGAAATAGACTTCCAGGAAATCCAGGAAGCTCAGAGAGTACCAAAGAAGTTGGACCCAAGAAGGAACACACCAAGGCACATCGTAATTACATTAGCCAAGATTAAAATGAAGGAGAGAATCCTAGAAGCAGCAAGAGCTAAGGGGACAGTCACCTACAAAGGAGTCCCCAACAGACTGTCAGCGGATTTCTCAAAAGAGACCTTACAGGCAAGAAGGAGCTGGAAAGAGGTATTCCAAGTCATGAAATCTAAAGACCTACAACCAAGATTGCTCTATCCAGCAAAACTTTCATTTAAAATGGAAGAACATTTCACCACCACCCAGGGGACAGAAAAAAAAAAAAATGCGCCTCTACCCAAAAAGGGCGGATTGGGAAGGGGAAAGAAATAAAGTCGGGGGGGGTTGAAGGGGGGGGGGAGGGGGGGGAGAAGAAAAAAAGAAAGAGAAGAGGAAAAAAGGGGGGGGGAAAAGGAGGGAAAAAAAAAAGGGGGGACTTGTAAAAAAAAGGGGGTGGGTGGGGGGGGGGGGGGGGGGGGGGGGGGAAAAGACAAAATTAAAAAAGAAATTAAACAAATTTTAATTAAATTAAAAGAAAAAGAAATAGTCACTGTGGTCAAGCTTCTTAAGTAGGCTGAGGCATTAGGAGATGATTATTCTTGATTCCAGGAACTTAAAACTTTTGAACTTTCCAGTCTTTTGTCAATACCTGGATGTGTACCAATGCACTGTACATCAGCCCCTGGCCATACATCAAACCTTCAAAATGACCCCAAGAAAAAAATGTTTCATTGTATAGACAATAGGACATCTGATGATTACCATTTCGGGCCAATCCGGGGGCTATTGAATGCAGAACTGATTAAGAATATACTTTTTACTGTTAAGAACCTCAGTTTTAGGTATTGCTTAGTTGTGCTTCTGGTTTGCAAACCCCCTAAAACCCTTGAATAAATCTTTGTTATTCAGTTGTAGAAAAAGTCTTCACTGTTTTTGAGTTTGGTTGACAAAGGCCACTCTCTTTTCTTGGAGATAATTTGGAGAAAAATCCTTACCTTAAATTTGGCTCTATATGGACAAAAACTATTAACAGTGATTTTCTCTGAATAAAAGACATGAAGAATTTTTATTTTACTTGTTCTTTATGATTATTTTCTCAATTTTTCATATTGGATACATATACGACAGGGTTATTTATTTTAAAAATTGTGTATTTATTACATGTTTAAACTTCAGTCACCTGCAAAGTTCTCTCCATTTGATGTAATACACCTACTGAGACTTTTCCCCCACTGCTCAAAACAGTTTTCCAACTTGTCAATTTTGATGCCCTTCAGTGCTTTAACCATTTTTTGTTTTATCTCTTCCACAATGGCCAAATGTTTCCCTTTGAAGACTTTTTATATACAGGGGGGGGAAAAAGAGGTCACTCAGGGCGAGATCAGGTGAACGGGGAGGATGGGGTACAGGGATTATGCTGTTTTTGGTCAGAAACTGCTGAACATTCAGCAAGGCATGGGTAGGTACATTCGTAAAGCACCCATTATGAAATGGGCAAACAGTGAAAAAGTCTTCAAAAACAATTCACTGAAGCCAAATGCAGCCTCTCACAACAATGCCAGCTGGTACACTGATACAGATGAGTCCCTAGAACACTCACCGAACAGGGGAAGCCTGTACCTCAAGGTTCCCATCCTCCAGAAGATAGTTCCAGATTTTTTGGGTACCCTCGTAATTATTGCTTTAAAATTATATCCTTAGGCAATTTGGGGTTATTTTAGAAAGCATATTAAAAATAACAGATTTAGCCCTGGCTGGTGTAGCTCAGTGGATTGAGCACAAGCTTGCGAACCAAAGCATGGCCGGTTTGATTCCCAGTCAGGGCACATGCCTGGGTTGCAGGCCATATCCCCAGTACAGGGTGTGCTAGAAGCAACCATACATTGATGTTTCAGTCCCTGTCTCCCTCCCTTCCCTGTCTCTCTAAAATAAATAAATTAAAATCTTTAAGAAATATCAGACTTAAATAAAGAGTTCTGAAAATAAACAAATTCCATTATTTACCTGTGTGCTTTCCCTCGCCATTTATAAGGCTGAGCTGAATCAGGGTTTATTTCAATAGCTCTGTCACAATCTCTGATGGCAGCATTTGGCTTCTGTAATTTGATGAAGACACTGAAAAATAAGTGTGATATTAAAAAGTATTCATTTCAAACAGTATCATCTTTGGGACTGCTATAAAAGCAAGTCTATTAAATAAATGATCAGAAATTATTCACTAGGGGATACTATTTTGCTTAGAGTTCTCACCTGGCTCTCTTGGCATACAGAATGGCCAAGCGAGGATTCAGCTTGATGGCATCTGTGAACAAGTCAATGGCTTTCTGTAGCTCACCTAAAGTGAAACAAAAGTTAATGCGGAATAGCCAGAGAATAAAAATATTAAGAAAAATTCTCGATCTTTTGTCCAATTAGTCTTTTACATTCTTTATTCAGACCAGAAAAAAAAGACGAGTCTCTAAATTAATATACAAAACTGGCTCTTCAAAGCAAACCTTTATTAAGCCTCTACCGTAAATCACTCAAGACAGAGACAATGCTATACTCTTAGGACTCACATTAACTTTAATTAAGAAAAAGGTAAATGGATTAAAATTTAAAGAATAAATCAATTTTATTCCTTTAATTCTCTTCTATCTAAGTTATAGGGATAAAATTAAATTTAGTGAAAGAAGTATTCCTACTTAATTCACAGGGCTTATGAAAAAAAATTTATTATCTGAATTCACAGAAATTGTATAAAAATTCAAGAAAACCAGCCCTGGCTGGTATGGCTCGGTGGATTAAGTGCTGCCCTGCAAAACAAAGGGTCACTGGCTCAATTTCTAGTCAGGGCACATGCCTGGGGACCCCCAACGGGACGTGTGAGAACCAACCACACACTGACATTTCTCTTTCTCTCTTCCTCCTTTCCCTTCCCTCTAAAAACAAGTAAATAAAATATTTAAGAAAGAAAAAGGTTTTAAATTTTTAAAAATGTTTATTGATTCTAGAGAGGAATGGGGGGGGAAGGGGCGGGGCCAGAGAGAAAAACATCAATTGGCATGCTCCAACTAGGGACTAAATCCACCACCCCAGATCCGACCAAACGAGCCACACCAGAGAGCCTGTGATTTTTATTCTCTAGTGAGAAAGGGGCTTCCAGGAATATTAAGAGATGATCAGAGCAAGAGAGGATTTTTTAAAAAGGTAAACAATAATGTCCCCAAACTGAGTCAATGACATACACACATTCATTCACGCATTCGAGCTTACTGTGGCGACATACAGGTTTGAAGTGTACGATTCAATAAAACATCATCTGAATAATGCGTCATGTGCCCATTGGTCAAAGTCAAGTCTCTTTCTGGCCCCATTTATTCCCTGACCTGCTTTGGCTTCTTCTTCCTTTTCCCACCCCCTACTTTCCACATTTTAAAAGACTCTCCTCAGTGAAGAAAGATTCAAGGAAAGTAGAGTCACATCAGGATATGTCTGTGTCCCAAGGCGAGGTAACTGATACCTGAGTGACTTCAGCCTCTTTATAAATGGGGAAGGGCTGGGTGGAAAACAAAATGCTTAGTTCTCCAGTATAAAATGTTCAATAAATTTAAGTTCCCTTTCCCTTTCCCACTATTTTAACAGTAACTGTAGTAGAGAAGAGAATATCCAGAATCTCACAGAAATGTAGCAAAGAGTAAAAATCACTCACCATCATTTAGGGCATCAATGGCGGCCACTTTTTTCTCGTTTGCCTGATCCATCATCTCCTCGGTTATCTAGGGGGAAAAAATGAAGGCAGGGTTAGAACAGGAGAGAGAGCAAACAGAAGAAAGCAATTTGGGCATTTTAGGAATGAGGTAGTCACAAATACCACTTTTATTCATTTTTCTCTAGTTTCCAGGAGCCAAGAGAATATGACAATTGAATAATAAGCAATTATACAGGATTAGTTTTATTATTTACATGAAACAACAAACTTCTGTCCCTACACTCTAGACAGAACACAAAAGATGCAGACAGTAAGAGATTATTATAACAAAAACATAAAGAAATGGACAGTTAAAAGGTCTCTTGAACAAACAAGAAACCCACTCTGTCACCACCACTGTGCAAATTATTACCAGAGGTGCTGGTTAATTCATTAAGACAATGATTTGATAGGTTTAAGAACTGGAGGGACCCAGTTGTCCTTCTTTGTATTTACTTCAAAAAACCAAAGGAAGCAGAAAGTTATTAGATCAACTAAGATCATTCAATAAGGTTTTCAGAAACAAGAGCAGCAAAAAAAAATAAATAATAAACCCAGAGTTTCTCCACATCAAAAAAATCAATTAGAAAACATAACACAACAAGATATCACTCTAAGATCACACAAAACGTTCATGGAGGAGAGGGATGCAAAATTCTATCAAAAGACACTAGATATACACCATGTTCCTGGAAAAATTACTTTGAATATTTCAAGCTATCCAAATGTTAATAAATTCAAAGCAAGTTCAACAAAAGTTCCTGAAAGTTAGACAAAGTTGAAATTTTTTAAAAAAAGAACAAAGGAAGCCCTGGCTGGTGTGGATCAGTGGATTGAATGCCAGCCTGCAAACCAAAGGGTTGCTGGTTCAATTCCCAGTCAGGGCACATGCCTGGGTTGTCGGTCAGGTTGACCAGTAGGGAATGTGCAAGAAGACAAACAGAACAAATGATCACCAAAACAGACCCACACATACATGAAAACATTACTGAGGAAAGAGATTCAATAATGGTAATGACAGGCAACTAAAGGTAGAAAGGCAAATGTACCAAACTTTCAGAAGGAAAAAAATGTTACATTTATTACCTTGAGGCAATACAGCATAATATATTAAAAACTACTAATTTAATTGTACTAAAAAATTTTGTTTACTAAGACAACATAAAATGAAAACAAGCCACAACCAGCACAAAATATGTTGAACACATATAGCTAACAAACTGCTAGTATACAGAAAAAAACAAACAAACTATAAATCAGTTAAGAAACAAAAAAGCCAAAAGAAAAATAGGAAAAGGCAGAATAGGCCTTCGCAAATACCTGTGAATAAACAATAACCATCAAAATATGTTCAAGTTCATTAGAAATCAAGAAAATTCAAATTAAAAGCCACAAGGATGTAGCATTTCACACAAGATTGGCAAAGATGAAATCTGACAGTATCAAGTGAGGACATGGACTAACTTTAAGCTGCTATTATTACATTACAGTGCTTCTCAAACTTTTTTACATCAATTGCCAAAGGGCCCCTTTAAACACTTTTTCTTAATTCTCACCCCCTCCATTTTAATACCACAGATATATAAAACATATATGTTAATGTGTTACTGTAATAGCTGAGTTTTTTTCAATCCCCCTTCCCAAGAACCATTTTCACTACCCTAAGCACATTATCATAACTGTTGTGACAACACCATTTGAAAACAATTTGGCATTAGACATCTCCTTAATACACAATTCCACAGTCAAATCAGATGCAAATGGAAAAACCAGGTACGAAGAAAACAAGAATTTCTACAAATATTTTTAGTAAAATAAAATGCTTTCCTAAATTCTTTAAGTGAGAGAAAGATTTAACACGTGCTTCTCCTGGAAGAATTGTCATAAAATCACCACAATAGGTGGGGCCTTTGCATTCCTCATAAAAAGCAGGAAGTAAGCCATCAAACTGACCTCTACATTTTCATCCCCCATTTCCTGAGGGGCATCAGTGTCTGCTTCAATCACACCCTCATTGTCAATTTCTGCCAAAGAAAACAGAACTATGATTAGTACAACTAGTTAACTGAATATTTTATTTTGTTAATTTTACTTAAACTAAAGCACTGCAAAACATTTTTCCACCTAACACAACTTTAGTGTTTAGTGTAGTGTAAAACTACATTTCATTTTAATTGTTGCATTTTGTAAGGTACTTGTGACTGCGCTGTAGTGGGAATACGGGCAAGTGCACAGTTTCCAGTATTACACACTGACACACCACTGATTTAGTTTCCACAAATGGACTCAGTCCAAATGTTTTGTTCTACCCACCAATGTCTTAAAGAATACTTTATGCAGCTAGCACAAGTCACAGTGGTATTTCAATGTAAATGATGGTAAAATACTTAATTTTCATATTTTTTAAAGTTTGGATAAAGATTATTCTAAAATAAAGGTATAATACTGATGCAGAATCAAACCCCAAATCTAGCACACTATAATGAAAATAATAAAGACTGTAAAGAGGAGTATTGTAAATTTCATGATAAACTGTAATTTGCTACAGCAAACACAGCAATATGTATTTTTTTGTTTTAAAAAATAAATAATATTAGGAGATATTTTTTAGCAAACAGTGAATTTTATGAGTTTACTTTTAACACTAAAAAAAAATTTTAATTACAATTAGCTACCTGAAATCAGAACACCCAACCAAAAAAGTGTTTCAAATCAATTTTTAACAGGAACTGAACTTATAGCTTTGTCTAATTATAAAAGTTGGGATTCATGAACAGAAAATAAAATGCTTTCAGAGAGTTGCTAAAAAAGAATTATAGTTATGGAAATTGTTAGAAAATTAAATGACTAAAAAACGGTATCTTCCCCTAAAAATAATGAAGGTCAAACAATTAAAAATCTGAAAAATTCCAAATACTTTTTTAAAGCTAAATTTAGATAGGCTCCATAAATTAAGAGATTGTCCAGTTAGCCCTGGCTGGTGTAGCGCAGTGAACTGAGTGCAAGCCTGAAAACCAAAGAGTTGATAGTTCAACTCCCAGTCAGGGCATATGTGAGGGTTACAGGCCAGGTCCCCAGCAGGGGGCATGCACGAGAGGAAACCACACATTACTCTCTCTCTCCCTTTCTCCTTCCCTTCTCTCTAAAAATAAATTAATTAAATCTTAAAAAAAAAAAAAAGATTGTCCAGCTAATAATTGGAGTGTATATTTATAGTCTCAAAGGACTTCAAAACTTACAGAAAGACTTACCAGTTTTGTAGTCTTAAAAACCAACTATAGAAACCCCACCAAACACATGCAGCGCAAATAACAACTCTTCTGAAATGAATCAGTTTTATCAACATGGATACAAGTACTAAAAGAAAACAACTGCTTGGTTCAATGCCATTAGTAGAAAACTTTTACCTATATCCAGAACAACTTGGGTACATGACCCAACTTCTCAACTACAAATTTTATGAAGACAATACAAATCAAGTACTTCCAACAAAAATGTAACATCTGCATTGAGATATACTAAAGTGTAAAATACACTCTGGATTTTGAAGACTTCATATGCAAAAAGATCTCATTAACAGTTTTTCCATATTAACTACCTATTAAATATGTTAATGTTTAGGTATATTAATTTAAGTATATTATTCAAGTTAGTTTCACCTGTTTTTTAAATATAGTTACTAGAAAATTTTGCATTTTGTATGTAGCTCAAATCATATTTCTAATAAATAACACTGAATTAGTCAGTAAAAATCAACACAGAATCTTACCCCAAGGGTTATCGAGTACAAACTATCATCTCCTCACCTAGGTCACTTTCCTCACTTGACGGTTCGTCTGTCTTTATGTCTTCCTCCTCCACCTTCTTACTATCTGTTTTTTCTTCCTAGCAAAGGGAAGACAAACAATACTATCAGTATTTAATAAGCATACCCTGTACATACTCATTTATACAATTTTATGTATGAACTATTCACATATATTATATTTCACACATGCTTCCTTTCTTGTTTTGGTAAATAAGTTTTAGTTTTCTGTTTTCATGTCTTTTAAAGTTATATATAAGTCCAGTCCCTCACCCAAACCTTCTGCATGATGAGTTTTAGGTTTTAAAATATTTGGATTTTAGAGAGCTAGTATGATGCATATACTATACAATACCTTCAATGGGCATTGAAGTCTACAACTCCTCATAATCAAACATGTTACTTGTGCAAAATAAAGTTTGAGCATTCACAGTAAGTGGGATTAAAACTATAGCCTCATGTTTACTCATGTTTTAATGCTGAACGAATCTACTAAAGTTTTATATTTTCATGAGCTTTTGAGAGTTGGAATTGCCAATAAAGAACTACAGAACTGTAATATACAAATGACGAAATTTCAAAGAATTCAAAGAGTATACCCAAATTTCCTTCCCGCCCTACAAGTAACCAGTGTGGCTTGTATATCCATGTGTTGAGTCTCTACCACGTGCAAGGTGCCAGATGCTTTAGCATACACTGAGAAACAGACCATATTTTCTAAACCAGAATGGTTTCATTACAAATTCTTTTAGAACAGAAGTATAGGTTAAATAAAAATTTTGCCTTAATACATCTTTATCACATGGCAAAATACCCTATTAGTGCTCAGAAACTACCAAACTGACAAATGAGTTATCTAAAAAACAACTAAAAAAAATCAAACAAAACAGCACACACACAAAGACAAATAACTTTTGAGGCTTTAGTTTAACTGCTTTCATTTCACTTGTTCAAAGATGGAAGGTAACTTCTGCCCTGGCTGGTGTGGCTCAATGGATTGAGTACCAGCCTGCGAACCCTAGGGGTCACAGGTTCAATTCCCAGCTAGGGCATGTGACTGGATTGCAGCCATGGTTCCCAGTCTGGGGTGTGTGAGAGGCAACTAGTCTGTTTCTCTGGCACATCGATGTTTCTTCCCCTCTCTTTCTCCCTTCCTTCCCCTCTTTCTAAAAATAAAAACAAACTTAAAAAACAAAAACCAACATAGCCCTGGCTGGCATGGCTCAGTGGATTAAGTGCCAGCCTGTGAACCAAAAGGTCACAGGTTAGATTCCCAGTCAGGGCACATGCCTGGGTTGCAGGCCCAGTCCCCAGTAGGGCATGCACAAAAGGCAAGCACACACTGATGTTTCCCTCTTTCTCCATCCCTTGCCCTTTTTCTAAAAATAAATAAATAAAATCTTTAAAATAAAGATGTAACTTCTAGTTTCATATCCAGACACATAAAACTTGTTTAGAATTCTAAATAAATGGCAACATCATGGATCACACTCAAAAACATCCCTCAGGTGGCAGCACAGAAAAAATTGAGAATTACTGATTTGGGCTATTTGTTCATTTACTTTGCAAATATCATTAAAGTACCTACAATGAAAAACACTGTGCTAGATGCTAAAGATACAATGACAAGATTGCAAATGCACTCAATCCTGGAACTTACCACCTACAGGTCATGCACTAAAAGAGTATTTACTCTCATTTCTCCTAAACACAGTGAACATTATTCAACCCAAAACTCTCAGTTATAAATCAATTTCCAGGGATTTGATGTCAGAACCGAAATTTCACAAAGATCTTATTTCCAAGTGGGACTTCGGGGAAATCAGGAGTGGTAATCTGAGAGCAGCAGCTAAAAAACATCCTTAAGAAACCTGTAGTACTTTATTACTAAACACAGATAAAAATCATAATTTACCTTATTTTCTTCTGATTTGGCTTTATGAGTAGCAGGTGGTATTTTACCTCCCATGCTTGAGGAAGATGGAAAAAAAAAGATATTCATTTAGAAAAGTAAAAATCACTAAGCCAAGCAAGTATTCATTTACGCTGGGAAAAAAATTAAGACATTTAGATGATTATCTTTTCAAACCTTAAAGAGTAAACTCAGTTTTAATTTAGTATAACTACAAGTTTTTCAGCTTAAAACTTTACTTATTTTTTAGCTTTGTACTGATCAGTGAAAATCTACCCATTCCTTACCTCAATAAACCCAGTCATGTAATTATATATAGTGTCTCTGTGCCCATTTAGAATTCAGTAGATATATTAAAATCCAGTAAGAGCTCAATTAAATTCAAAAAGGCAATTTAGGAAATAATTACGAAGTCATCATATAATTAATTCAAAATGTTTGTCTTGATTAGGACCTATATTCTTCTTGCTGCCCTGGCCAGTGTGGCTCAGTTGGCTGGAGCTTCATCCTGTAACTGAAGGGTTGCAGGTTCGGTTCACACTCAGGGCACGTGCCTAGGTTGTGGGTTTGCTCCCCAATCCCTCTGGACACCCATGATCCCCGGGTGGGAGGCAAGATGCTTCTCTCTCTCCTATCCATGTTTCTGTCTCTCCCATTCTCCCTTCCTCTCTCTCTCTGAAAGCAATGGAAAAAGAGTCCTCAGGTGAGGAGAGAAAAGAAAGGTTCTTCTTGCTTATATTCACATGCTCCTCACATTAGATTTTCAATGTATCCTCTCGACTTCACCCATCAGTACTTCCTCTTAGCACTGGCCAGCACTTTATACCCAATATTCCAGGGCAACACCATGAATTACATACAGCAAGTCTTCATATAACATTGTTGTAACATTAATCAGGTGCTGCAGTAACTTAACTCTCATACGTATCAATTAGCCTATAGTAAAAGTAGTTTCACTACATGTCAATTGGCTTAAAGTCACAGAACCTATCAATAATGTTAAGTGAGAATGCACTGTACAGCTAACTTTAAAACAAGGAGAAACAAAGACTACAAAAATTTAGGGCTACAGCTCTATTTGAGGCAGACTCTGAAGCTCATGGGCTACATGCAACAGTGCAATGACTAAAATGTTCAGTGGATTAAGAACACTCCATAACAATAAAAGATGGAGCTCAAAAGGATAATAATCTAAGAAAAAAAGCTATTAGCTTTTATGTAAAACAGGTATTAACTTGGAAATCAGAAAGGAACCTACTTCAAAATACCCTTATGTGTCTATTCTTTATAACTAGATTTATATTTTAGACCTATAACTAGGCTCGCAATTTTTCTGCAAGCTAGAAACTGTTTCCAAAAAAAATAGAAAAAGTTAAAACTTCGGAGAAAAACAAGTTTACTCATTAGCTAGATTTAGAGTTTCTCACGTTTCAAATTTTAGTTCACTACTGAAGATAGCGCCAATTTATAGACACGTAAATCTTATTTAAAACTAACAAAACTTGCAAAATGGCCTTTGCCAGACTTATATTCACACTTACATTTTAGTTGGTTAGAATTTCCAGACACAGGGCATATGTATGCTGGATTTAAGTAAGTATTGGTTTTCCAGCCCTGGCTGGTGTGGCTCAGTAGATTGAGTGCTGGCCTGCAAACTAAAGGGTTGCTGGTTCAATTCCCAGTCAGATGCCTAGCTTGCAGACCAGGTCCCCAGTTGGGGGCATGCAAGAGGCAACCATACACTGATGCTTCTCTCTGTTTTCCTCCCTCTAAAAATAAATAAAATCTTTAAAAAATACTGGTTTTCCTAAGTTCTTTAACCAACTTACACCTGTATTAGCAGTGAGAATTCCAGTTGTTCCACACGTTGGCTAACACTAAGCTATCGTCCATCTTTTAAATTTTTAGCCATTTTGATAGGTGTATAGTGGTATTTCATTGCAGTCGAGTTCTTTTTCATGTATTTATTGGCTATTTGGATGGACATTTTTGTCAGGTTCAACACTCATCCAGCTTTCTGTTAGGCTGTCTGTCAACACTTACTTATACTAAGTGTTCTTTGTGCATCGGCATACTAGCCGTGTCAGTTTTACATGTTGCAAATATCTTCTTTCACCCTGTGGCTTGCCTTCTCACTCCTGATGTTATCTTTTTATGAAGCCAACACAAAGCAAAAGTATGCAATAAAACAGTGTATTTATTTAGCAAATATAATAAAAAACACAATTTAGGCCCTGGCTGGTGTGGCTCAGTGGCATGAGTGCCAGCCTGTGAACCAAAAGGTTGCCGGTTGGTTCTATTCCCAGTCAGGCACATGCCGGGGTGGCAGGCCAGGTCCCCAGTTGGGGGAGGGGATGTAAAAAGCAACCAATCAATGTATCCTCACACATTAATGTTTCTGTCCCTTCCTTCCCCTCTGTAAAAGTAAATAAAATCTTTTTAAAAACCCACAAAATTTAAAATTTCTTAGAACACCATTCAATCATGAAAAAGTGCACTCTCCCCATTCTTTTTAACGTTAGTTACAAAAAGATCTTCATTTGCTTAGTGTTAGTGCCCTTAACAAGGAAAAATGGCTCCCATATGTCAGTAAATGAGTCATTACATGATCTAAAACATCTTAGCTTCCACTGAGCAAAGCACGATGATTCAATGATAAAGAACAGGTCTATAAACATGACAAAATTCTTTAAAAATCCGTTCTACAGAAGTCTACTTTTCAAAAGAACACAGGAATCAAATAGTAGTTCTTTGCAGTTAAAATTTAAATAAAAATACCAGGATTCTTTCTTTTTAAAGATTTATTTATTTATCGACAGAGGGGAAAGGAGGGGGAAAGAGAGAGAGAGAGAAAAACATCAATTGGTTGCCTCTCACATGCCCCCAACCATGGAGGGACCTGGCACGCAGCCCAGGCACGTGCCCTGACCGAAAATCGAACCAGTGACCTCTTGGTTCGCAGGCCGGCACTCAATCCACTGAGCCACACCAACCAGGGGAGAATACCGGGATTCTTAAGCTGTGTTTTGGCCAAGTTTCAAAATGTAGCATCGGGGAATGTATTTAGAGTGACACCCAAATGCCAGTCACAACAGTCTAACTTTATATTAAAGCTTCAGAAAACGATAGTCCTGTCAAGAAATGTGTTAAGCTAAACCTAATCCTAAGGAAAAAAATCAGACAATCCCAAGTTGAGGGAAATTCTACAAAAAAACTGGCCAGTAATATTCCAAACTGCCATGGTCATGAAAACAAAGGCAAGGCTGAAGAACTGTTTCAGAATGAAGATGACTAAGAGACCTGACAACGAAACGCGGAATGCAATTCGTTTCCTGAGTGTACTGGCTGTATCTTTGAGGAAATGCACACTTCAAATAGTATTGGGGGCACAATATTAAAAAAAGTTCATTGCACTATACTTGAAATTTCTCTGCAAGCTAGAAACTGTTTCTGAAAAAATAGAAAAAGTTAAAATTTCGGAGGAAAACAAGTTTACTCATTAGCTAGATTTAGAGTTTCTCACATTTCAAATTTTAGTTCACTACTGAAGATAGCGCCAATTTATAGACACGTAAATCTTACTTAAAACTGACAAAACTTGCGAAATGGCCTTTGCCAGTTTAGGGTTTTATGCTTTCAAATAGGGCTGGTGCAGAGATCTTCCTCATACGCTATCGCATAAGACCAGTCATAATTCTTTTAATTCAGTAACATTCAATCAACCTTTTGTGCCATAGTTACTTATGCGCATATACAAAAAACTGAGTGCTATATCCTAAATCCATTGAGGGTAGAAAGGCTTTCTGTTCACTTCTTTTAAAATATTTATTGAAAAGCCCTGGCCAGGTGGCTCAGTTGTTTGGAGGTCATCCCATTCACCAAAGGTTATTATGCATTCGATCTTCATTAGGCCACAGGTTCAGTCCCTGGTGGAGGGCTGGGGCGGCTAGGCAACCAATCCACATTTCTCACACTCATGTTTTTCTTTCCCTCCCGCTCTCTAAAAGCAATAGATAAAACCTCCTGTGAGGAGTTAAAAACAAAAAGGAAAAAACATTTGCTGAAAAGCACATCAGAGATACAAAGTAAACAAGTTATTAAATGGGAGAAAATAGTGCCAGACAGTGCTTCTCTCTCTAGAAAAACAAAAATATCCCAAAACATATGTGACGAGAATGTAGTCTCCTTGGACCCCCACTGTCTATTGGGCCAGATATTTTTTCTTCATATTTCTTTTTGTCCAATTTACAAGGTTAAACTAATAAATTCTCAGGATCTAATAAACTCTTAAGCTATAAACAACGATAAAACTATGGCAAATAAGCAAATGTCCTTTGTGCCTAAGCCTGGGTATCTATGACTAATTTGGTATGGAAAGAATTCTGAAATGCTTTCAACTTGAGAAATACTCCTGGGCCTAGCAGCTAGTCTCTACATTCGGCCAGATCTGCTGTTATCTTGGACTGCTTTTAGAAGATTGATATGAAGGCAGACCAGAGAAGAACTGATAACTCTCAGGCAAATGTCTCAGAGAAGACAAACCTTAAATTTCGATTACAACAGAGATAGCAAAATCATCTATGTTAATAATTCAACTCAAATTCAGATAAGGCCCCTACACATCCCAAGATGCCTTTAATCCCATACTTAAACCAACGATTTAGAATGACAAAATAAAAATATAAATAGAACCAGAAAGAAAAATTAGAATTATCTATTGAAAACATTAAAACAAAAAACATGGCCAATTTTTTGGGAATAATGTCTGACAGTACTTTTTGGAACTTACTGGAATTCTCTACATAGCCAATAACCACTCCAGCACAAGTTACAACACTGTTCTTACATACGTTTTAACATTTTCTTCAGTGTCCCCTTCTCTCTAGGAGTGGAACAAAGCATTCTATCTACTCAGTATAACGTTCACTCTTGATGCCAGCTATTTCTTTCTGTGGTTTATGTCCTTTTTACCTGGAATTTTAACAAGTTTATTCATTGTAGGCACTTTCCTCCAATGAGCAGATATAAGAAGACAAAAGCATATAGATATCTTAAGTGATGCTTTTGGATCATTAAGTTATTATGTACAGCAGCTATTAAGTTGCTACAGTAACTAACTTTAAGTGTTCTCAAAACTTTATATTATATATAAAGTATATGAACAAAAACCTTATTAGAATTTAGTAGCTATAAAACTAGTGAGAGGAAATAGGGACTTAAAAACTTCTTAAAGGAAAAAAAATTGTGTCCTCATAGACAACATTGATAGGTTTTTAACAAGTTTCTTCCTGAGAACAAGCTAGTCGAAAGTGTTTCCAATACACGTTAATCATGGCTAAATACAGAGTGAATAATACTAAACCTCCCAGAAGTCACACTGCCTTTACTGTCGCTATTTTCCACTGTGAGGTGCAATTTGTATGTCATCTCTTAAATTACCCACCAGCAGCAGTGATTTTTAAAAATCACTCCGGGGAAGATTTCATTTCTCCCCCAATTCCCCTTCTAACTTCTATTACATGGTAACTATCAAAACGAATTTCTGTATTTATTCATCTATATCTCTAGACTGTACGTATCACTGTTTCCTAGCATCTGGCACAATGCCTATTCAATTAATTCCGTGCACGTGGCGAAATACTCTCAAGATTTCGAAATACTCTCAACAGGCCGTGGAAACACACCAGTCCTTGGAAAATCACTCTTTTTAGTGTTTGGAGTGACGGCACTGCTACTACGGAGGTAGAAGTGATTCCCAAATCACGTAAACTAGGCAGTCAGAGTCGCTGTGATTTTAAAATGAATTAAACATACCTATCACTTTATAACTTATTAAATAAGTATTACAACATTGTTTAAAAGCATAGTACGTAAAGAAGCTGCTGTGTGACATTGCAACCTAAGCAGGACACCAGAGATTTCAAGAAAAACAACTCCAGGCGAAATCGAATCCCACCAGCTCCTAGCCCTTCCCTCTCGAATGTAGTATCCAAATACCCGCAATCGTCTGCATTTACGTTACGCCCAAGACACACCCCTAGCGATTTCAGGGTGCAGGGATCTAGCTCTGCCTCGTCCTTCCCCGCCTCGGTACGATATCCGACTCTCCATTAACCCCACGGAAGTCGCCTCCATTTCCCGGCCAAAGATCGTGCCCCAAAGAGGCGGCCGACTCGCGGAGTTGCCTGCTCCTCTGCCCCGCGCTAGCTACGGCCCAGCTCCCCCTCCGGTCATCCCTCTTCCCACCCCGCAACGGTCCTCAGGCCCGGGTCTCACCTCTCCACCCACTCCCTCAGGAAGCGCATTTCCTCAGTATGCAGAATGCTCGGATCCTGCCTACACATTTTCACGAAGGCTCGAAGCTCGCTCACTTTGCGGGGATCCATTCCGGGAAAGTGGCGGGGCGCAGCACTTGCGACTAAGATTGCTAATTCGGCGCGACCGTGTGGAAGGGGGCGGCTGCCGCGAGGCAGAACAGACTAGAACCTCCCCGGCCGCTGGCTCCGCCCACCAACGGTCTCGTGACCCCGGGTCCTGGGCCTGTTCATTTCCACTCTCTCACCTTTATTTCTGCGCATTAGTTAGAACTTTCTAGAAGTGTGGCTGTTCTTGCTGTTGCCTGCCGCTGCATGTGCGCTTTCTTACATTCTTACTTCCGAGCCAGTTCTCTGGACGGATCAACCCCCTACATGGTGCTTTCAAGAAGGCGGAAGACATCACCTCTAGAGGGAGTCACTTAGAATCGGACATACTGTGAGTGTAAGCATCGAGTGCAGCACAACATGCAGCCGCCTAAAGGGCCATCTGGCCAGTGCGGTGGTCACCCAGTGCCCTGGGGTGACGTCAGTGTCTGCGCCGCGTGGGAGGAAAGCCCGGCGAGCAGCGCCGGCAGGAAGGGGAGGAGCGTTTGGCTCGGTTTCCTGGCGACCCGGCCCAGCGGGCAGCAGCTTCTCCCGCTGTTTTCCACCTTTCCTTCCTGACCCTTGTGCGAGGCCGGCATGCCTTGGTTACTCTCATCAACAAAGCTGGTTCCCGCTAGCGCCCGCAGCCTCTCAGGTTAGACTCGCTCCCACTGACACAGTGGGGTGCCCCAGAATAATCCAAGTTGATCGCGAGCGATGGTTGGTTCGGCGGACCCTTCTGCTGGGGCCACCACTCCTAAGCCCTCTGTGCGCTCCTCGGAATTCTTTACTTTCTGCTCGTGGAAAAGGGTGGGCCGTGTGTTCTCTCTTCCGTTGAGGTATTCTGGGAAGCGGAGATGACTGCAGAAAGAAAAGTGTGGCCAAACCCTAGAGGCACTGTCTTGAAAGTTACTTGGACTCTCAGAGTAGTGTCAGTTCTCACAGTTGACTGAGTGAAAAAAGTGTCTCGCATCAAGTAGCCCTTGTTTCTGTGAGGTTACTCTAAAATCCTGTTTTCGTGGTTTCAAAGAGTTGACTTGAGAACCGGGTCCAGAATGTTTAAGAAACATGTTTAGTAATATAAATGAACAGTTTCTCTCAGAAGAGGTAGTGTTTGGAAAGACTTTTTATGTCGGAAAAAGCTCTTGCTTGTGAAGACAAGATGGAATCAAGGCACAAGGGGGCCCATTTTGGGGAGGGGGTGTACTCTATCTCGAGCAGTTAGTTACATGAACATGAAACTTGGTCAGGGAAAGCTGAATCATGTACCTTTTGGGCGGATCTTGCATTGGATCACATTTCAGTTTTTTGGGACTGTGTGTGAACAATGACTAAACCAGAGCGTATGGTATTTGACATCAGAGCTGTGTCTTGGCATGTTTCTTATGCTGGCATACTTGAATTTATTGAATATGGAATGGTGATTAAATCAAGAGTTACTCTTAAAAAAAAAGTAATCATTGTCCATTGCACAGACCTTGCTCTTCAGTTCCAATAGTTAAGCTGCAGAAAGCTGTCCCTTTCCATAAGAGTGGGTAAATGGGTGAGCAATTGGTTGTTCTTTTTTAAAAAATTTATTGAGAAGACATTGGTTAATAAGTTATGTAGGTCTCAAGTGTACAGTTATATAATGAATTACCTTTATATTGTATTGTGCGTTCACCACCCCAGGTCACAATTAATCTTAATCACACAGGCCACAGCATATGATTTAAAGCTGGAACCATTCTTTGCTTGTAATTTTTTTTGGATTTGTTAAGGATTTGTGTAAAACCTTATTAGTCAGGGTTCAGGACTAGATACTGTTATACACGCCAAGATCTTTGAAAGATATTCATTATGCTTCATTTTGCCTCACAGAATAAGTAAATTTAATCACCTCTTACATGATCATTTTATGTACCATATACATATGCTTTTTGAATAAAAATTATCTACTTGGATCTTCACAAGTCCAGTAAGGGCAGATACCCTCATTTTAACTGATGGGGAACTGAAACTCTCACAGGATCACAGGAAGCAAGTCAGTAATTTTAGTTGTATGGACATCTAGTCCTTTTTCTGTTATACACTAGGTCTTGATATGGCTTAGTAGGGTCCTTTTGGAACTTTTTACTGAGTCACAATGACTAGTAACTGAAAGGTTATTGAATCTCCACTTCCCTGAAGTTGCTCATAGTCTAGCCAGGGTGATAGACAAACAATAGACAAATGACACTAGAGCAAAGAATGGTAATAGATTCTTGACTCAAGTAACACGGGAGCCCGAGAAAGGCAGTAATGGGTTGTAAATCTTATGTTGTTCTGGAACTTTATTAAGTTTTAAAATTCAAAAACTCCACCAACTTGAGGTGCTCATAAATATTTTAAACTTTTATTGTCTGTGGTGCTCTTGGTTGACCTTTTTTAGAAAGCCTGTGAGTGCAGAATGCCATAGGAAACTTTCTCATCTATGAAAGTCACACAGTTAAGAGTGGTTTTATTGGTTGGCATATACAGAGACTAACACGATCTAGTTGTCTAAGAAAAAGCAAAGTAAAGCACTAATGATGGGTAAGTTGTATTCTAAAGGACTACATCACTTAAGACAAATGCAAAGACTGCAGAAGACTGAGATGAGAAAGGGAAATATTGAAAATATTAAAGAATAAATAGAGAATATTTTTAAAAACCTCTTCACAGTTAATTCATTCAACAAACATTAATTGAGTTATGTCTGAGTACAGAGCATAAAAAAGTTTCTACCATCAAAAGAGGACCCCCCCCCAAAAGCAAGTAATTGTAATGTAACATGCTAAATTTATTGATAGAGGTCCAGTGGCAGGGAGAAGGAAAACATGATAGATATTTTGGGGGAACAGGGAGGGGCAAAGTGAAAATGTGATCGTGCCTTTGAAGACTGGGAGATACTGATTTGAGACCTGGAGGAGGGTTTTCACCAGACTAGAGCAATGGAGCTATCTGCAGAGGGAATGTGCAAAGGCACCGACCCAACTCTGAAACAACAGCTATTGCAAAATTTTGCAGTTAATAAGCCTGGAAAAAGTTAATAAGGCTTATAAGCCTTTGAAATATGTTCCTAGGCACATTGGTGGGTGTTACAATAAAATGGTTCTGTGGCCTAATAAGTAAGGAGAATGCTGCATTTTGTAGTGCCGTGGTAAACTAATTCAAAGTCTCTGAGAGGGAAACATATTTGGCAGTAACTTCCAAACTGTATTTGGCCATGGAGCCCTTTTTCTGTGATGAGTCTTGAACTGGTATCCTTTGGAACACATTTTGGAAAAATTTGGGCACAAGAATAAGATGTGTAGGAAGAGTTGGTAGAAAATCAGTTTAGAAAGGAAGCCAAGTTGGGAAGGAGCTGGTGGCTGGTTCATGGATATCGTGTTAAGAAACAATGAGCTTTTTCCCTAAGCAGTGGGAAACCATTGAGTAATTTTAAATTAATGAGTGAGATTAAATCAAATATTTAGTTATCTGTTTAGAGTGGGAAAATGGACTGGAAGGCGCATCGTTGCACTCTTAAATTTTCAGACACTGATTTCCACATTTGTTGGAAAATTGTGTATTTTTCTACTCTGATTAGTCCCGCAATGTAATAGATAAACTCTACTAAATATCACATTTTATGTATGTAAGTATCACTTCAGGTACCCTAGGCTTTTATTATTTTATTTTCTGAAAATAAACTTTAAGTGCTAATTGTCCCCAATACCTACTGTAGAATAAATTACCTTTTCTCCCCAAACACTCACTAACTTAAAAATAAAACAAAACAAAACAAAAATCTCACTTCATTTCGGTTGTTTCTACCTCTTGGCTATTGTGAATTAGGGTACACAAATATGAGTCTGGCTATTTTAACATAAAAGAAAATACCTTAGTTATAATGGAAAAAACAATATTTTTTTTAAATTTTGTACTTCAGTTGTTAATTTATGTCTTTATATGTCAAATGCTCTGCCTCTATTGGAAAAAAGTCATTTCGTGAATAATTATATAGTTTGAACCTGTACATCTCAATACATTTCTAGTTCCTAAGGCTATACATATTTCAAAAGTCTGCATAGTGGTTTTAATTAAAAGAAATGAAAATGACCATAAACTTTACCAAAAAGACTGATATGTAAACATTTAGCTCAAAAACAAAAGGAAAATAATCTTTTCCATTTTTCACAGTAAAATACAGTAATCTTTGCAGTTATCTACAAAACTGATTAATCAAAACACAAAGTGTTGTTTTCAAATATTATATGAACATAATGTTTCTGCAGAGTTAATTTGATGATTCCTTTTGGTTGACTTCTGCACCTCTTCATGCTTTTTCCCCCCTTACCACCTTCTTTGAATCCTGCTGAGAAAACAGGGAATCTTGTTGCTGGTGACCCAAGGTATACCTTGCTCATCATTTTCCACACAAGTGTATTGAAATATATGTTTGGGGCTGTGGGACTTTGGTGAGTAATTGTTGAATGGCTGGAGAAGACCTCTGCAAAGCCTTCTTTATCTGCCACACAGCTAAGAAGGAAGGACTTCAACTCGCCACCATCCTCATCTTCTCTTTTTTTATCATTCTCCATAATTGTTTGTACTAGTATTTCTGCCATTGACAATTTTATGTGAAATTGTTAAAAAATATGTAGTTGGCCATCCCACTGTCATTAAATGCCAGGGAAGAGAAAGAATTAATGCCCTCATGGCCCAGTGAACCATGGTATATAACATCATAGAAAGAAAATCTCCAAACACTGGGTATTCACTGGAGGCAGAGAAAAAGCATCTTGCACCTCTATTTCTGCTTCTGTAGGAACTTATTGGACTATTTAAAAGGTCCTCAACTGAGTCTTTGAAGAAATGAAATGAAAATGAGTCCCTTTTATGAAATAGTTTTTTTAAGACATCTAGTTTACAGAATATGAAGCCATCCTCAAAAGAATCATTAAAATTCCACCTTCACCATTTAATCCTTTGCCGTATTCATTTTAAATGTCACATTTTTCGTCACTTGATAATACATTATATGCTCAGCTACTTTGAATTTTCTCTCGGCTTCTTTATTATATGGGTTTTTATCAGGTTGCCCTTTAAGTGCCATTTTATGATAAGCCTTTTTAATGTCCTCACAGGAAGGATATCTCTGTACTCCTAGAACTTCATGGTAATCCAGCATGTTTTAGCAAATTGTTGGAAGGGGGTGCTCTGGGTAATGAGAACCGTGGTTTTCTCTGCTCATGCTCTGCTGCTGCTGGCTGTGCTGGAGTGACTGCAAATAGGCACATTTTTACATTGAAGACTGTTATTACTGTGGGCCACTGCGAGGAGACGAAAGGATACTAATTGCGAGGCAGAGTTACAAACTTATGTCAGAGAGGGCTGCTTTATGGCATCATTTTGGGGTTGGGGTAGGGACCAGACCTTCCGAATGGAACTAGTCCAGTGTAGGGGACCGGTTTGTCTTGGCCTGGCAAATGTGACTCAGCTCTGTATTGGAAAACCTACAGATGGGAAGTGGTGGGCAGGAGCCAGACCTTCAAACCGAGTTTTCCCATGGGAATCAAGACTAGAAAATGCATACAGATTGTTATGGCTTGCTCTCGCTAACACTCCATCACCCTGGTCTAAAACAACAAATGTGTATTGTCTATCTTCAAGGTAACTTCCAAAGCCTGTATGAGTTCTCCCAAGGACAGAGCTAATGAGCTCATCATCATTCCCCTTTGCATGTTATTTTTATTTCCTTGATTGTACCTAGAATGTAGATGATAATATTCTACGTGATAGATAATAAATCTTTCTATGATGTAAGACCCCAGGAAAACAATAAAAGCCTGTCTAGGCAAGGGTTGGGGCGCTCTCCTCTTGAGGGAGTGGCCGAGGCACCCATAGGCACTCTCCTCTTGAGAGAGTAGTTGTGCCTGTTCCCTTTTTCCACACAGGGTCGTTGTCACCTGTGAATGATTCTCGTCATAAACCACAACAGGCGGACTCTTCTGGACAGGGTCTGCAACATCTGGTGTCCAAACAGGGATGCAACAGTCCACAATCATACCAGACCATCCTGAACTCAGGACTCTTTCCCCTGTATTTCTCTGGAAGCCTCAAACAATACCTCATAAATCAGGGGGCCTGCTGTTCATGGCCACAGCATGGCACTTGCTTAATATAATCTCTAGGTTACTGAGCCTTAGTAACTTACTTCCCAGTGGTTTCATGTTTTGGTTTGGAAAAATGAATTTGTGAACTATGTGAAGACAGTATTCAAGCAGGTGACATATTGTTTATTTTCAGTCAAGAGATAAAAACAAACAACCAAGTTAAAATATAATAAATACTGATGGGGGAAGCGCTGGATGCTAAGCAGTCATATGAGAGGCACCTGCCCCAGAACTGGGGTGTCAGGGAAGGCTTCCTGGGGAAGCAGCCTCCTGTACAAGCTTTCTGCGTGCCACTGGTGAGTCCCTTAAGATGATGGTATCTTTGCCCACTTAAAGGTTACTACTAAAGAACATGTATTTAAAGACTTTGGGAATTGCGTATTTATAATGTGTATTTACTATATCATTATTGAATGCCTACTTAGTGCAAGGCATAGTTTTAGCCAGTGGTGATAAAAGTATTGAACAAAAAAACAATGCTAGTTTTCATGGTGTTTACATTGTCATGGAATACAAAGAATTACATAATTGGGGATAATATGATAAGTGTTCCAAAAAAAAGTGTGAAGGCAGAGAGTTACCTTAGATTCTGAGATTTAATGAGCTAGCATGTGCATATTTTTTTCATACTTCACATAATTCTCAATAAAAAGTGTAAATTTTTCTTTTTCTAGACTTCAGGGCATAGGGTTGCACTACCTCTGTGAAATACTTCCTAAGCCCTCCCCTGCTCTTGTTTGTTGCCTTCTCTTCCTGTGGCTCTTTATTTACACCTCAGTCATACTATAGGCCTGTGTCATACTGTAGAACAGGGGTCCCCAACCCCCAGGCCATAGTCAGTGGCCTGTTAGGAATCCAGCCGCACAGTAAGAGGTGAGCTTGAATGTAATGCACTTGAATCAACCCCAAACCATCCCCTCCCACCCCTCATCTGTGGGAAAGTTATCTTCCATGGAACTGGTCACTGGTCCCTGGTGCCAAAAAGGAGCCACTGCTGTGGTAGACTAAAGTCACTAAGGGTAAAAATGAGATCATTTCTATATCCCTTCAGCATAGCACACACTCCGGCTTTCACAGAGGAAGGGCTGTGTACCGTAAATATTGAAGGTGATACTAATTTACATTTTTCTAAAGCATCCAAATACTGGAGATAGATAAATGTACATATGCTGAGGACCTTGATTCCTTGTTCCATTTCACCCTCTTTACTTTAAAAAAATTTTTACTTTTGATTTTAAAGAGAAAGGAAGGGAGAGAGAAAGAGAAACATTGATGGGTTGCCTTCTGTGTGCTCCCCACCACGGGACCAGACCTGCAACCAAGGCAGCCTTTCCGTTTGCAGGGCGATGCCCAACCGAGCCGCACTGGCAGGGGCTCATCCTCTTTACTTTTAGATAAATGTACTGTGAAGACTTCTCAATTCCTCACTCTGTTTCAGCCTCTTTGCTTTTCCTTCAGGATGTGTATCCTGTTCACAACGAAGGTACTCCCTGCAGCCCATCCCGGAGAGGAAGATTCCAAATCGATACTTAGGCCAGCCCAGCCCCTTTACGCACCCACACCTCCTCAGACCAGGTAAGGCCTTTTAACAGGAACTCTCCCTCTCCAGGGGCTTTATCTAGAGCTGTGCTCTCAGTAGAGTTTTTGCAGCAGTGGGAATGTTCCAGATCTGTGCTGGTCCATACAGGAGCCACTAGCCACAAGTGAACTATTGTATACTTACTACCTTGCTATACTTAATGTTGCTAGTGCAACTAAGGAACTAAATTTGAAATTTTACTTTAAGTGATTTAATAGCTACACGTGGCTACTGGTACTCTACTGACAGTACCATTTAGAGTGATAAACATATAAGCCTTACAATTCAGAATTATTAGTGAAAATTAGGTACTTAGGATTTTTAAGGAAAATTTCTATTACTTTCTAAGGCATAGTTTCTTCAGTTGTGTTCTATTGATTCCTCATCAACTGAGTTAAAGACATTTCAGAAAACATGTTTTTCTTGAAAGCGTTAAATATTTGTTTCAAAATTTTGTTAAACAAAATATTTTTATATAGATAATGCAGATTTCCAGAACTGATTGTTATAACTTTGAGAAATGATAGAGCAATGATAAAGGTGATGCAAAAATTGATGTTTATTTACTTCACTAATTTTTATACTCGATAAAAGTTTACCTTCCTAATTCTATTCTCTGCTGTGAGACTCCTGTGTTGCTGCTACATGTGTCATCACTGTCCCTCAAATTCATGCCTGAAGATTTTTGTTTTCACTTTGTTTTGTTAAAAAGGCAGTTAAGGCCCTGGCTGGTGTAGCTCAATGGATTGAGCACGGGCCTGTGAACCCAAGGATCACGGTTCGATTACCAGTCAGGGCACATGCCTGGGTTGCAGGCCAGTTTCCAGCAGGGGACCCATGAGAGGCAACCATACATTGATGTTTCTCTCCCTCTCTCCTTCCCTTCACCTCTAAAGATAAATAAATAAAATATTTAAAAAAGCAAAAAGGCAGTTAAGGGCCCTGGCTGGGGTGGCTCAATGGGTTGGGCATCGTCCTGCAGAGTGAAAGGTCACCAGTTCGATTCCCAGTCAGGGCACATGCCTGGGTTGTGGGCAAGGTCCTCGGTTGGGGACATCTGAGAGGAAACCAGTCAACATTTCCCTCCCCCTCTTCTCCCTGCCTTCCCCTGTCTCTAAAAATAACTAAATAAAAGCTTTCCCAAAAAAGACAGTTAAGTGATGAACTATAGTGAGTGATGAATATCATCCCAAAGAGGTAGGGAGAGTAAAACCAAATGCTTTGTAGAAAAAGCAGCCAAATTTTCAAGTGAAATTCTTACATCTGCCATGAGAAGTGAAATCTGTATTTTCTGTGTAAGCATATACTATAATCTAAACTGCCATTAGAAATATGTTACTCTTCCACTGTCTCCACTCAGTGAACGATACGATACCCCTGTGTTGCTCAGTGAGGGCTTCCTTTGCTGATTCTTCATCAGACTGGAATTCCTGCTGGAAAGTCGGCTGAGACTCAGGAAATACAGCTCACCACTGAAACACACAAGAATATCAGAGTTTTTCAAAGCTGTAAGGTAAGCTTTATAGCAACCCAGTTGATACAAATTAACATTTCTACCCTGTCGACGTACCTGTAGCTTCCATCTTTTTTTTTTAAGTAGAATTGATATTTTTACCAGCTTTGAAAATTATTGATCTCTTGTGATGAAATGCTTTTACACGGTGAGCTGCATTTTCCAGGCCTTGAAACCGATAATCATATTGTCAAAATGATGGCCACTGGGTCTAGACTGTTTGCATGTTACTAATATTAAACGTGAATGTAAGTTAATATTCACAAACACGTGTTCATACACATGCATGCATTCGTGTCAGCTGTGGGGGTTAGGGAAGCCTGTCCTAATTTTTACTCTCCTGGTGCTGGATTTTGACATTGGAGTAGGTGAGAAGGGAAAGAAGAAGATAAAATCTTTAAAAAGAATTATCAGCGTTAAAGAAACTACCAGGTATACAGTTTTTGGAAGCAAATTAATCATTTGTCTTTCTCCATGTAGAGATACAAAACATATGGAAGTGTTGAAATGTAGGATGAAGGAAGAGTAAATTATTAAGAAAAATTAAAAGCCATGTAATTAAAGTTCTGGGTATATTATAAAAAAAATTAGAGACTAGAGATAAGCATACTTTTTTTTAAAGTTCTTACCAGAGGATATGTTTATTGACGTGGGGGGGGAGGGAGGGGGAGAGAGAAAGAAATTGATGTGAGAGAGAAATATTGATCAGTTGCTTCCTGTACACATCCCATCTGGGGATCAAACCTGCAACCTAGGTATCTGCCCTGACCAGGAATTGAACTTACAACCTTCCGGTGTACAGGACAGTACTCCAACCAATGAGCCACACAGTCAGGGGGATAAGCATAAATTTTTTAAAAATTACTCATAATCCAACCACTCAAAGAATACCACTATTGAGATTTTTATGTATGTATCTTTCTAGACATTTCTTATATAAGAATTGTTTGTATGTGTGTGTGTGTGTGTGTGTACACACAGAATGTCCCGTACACTCAGTACTTAAGTCCATTCGCATCTTCATCATCACCACCATCAGACATGGCCTGAATGATGACTTGACATTTATTTAGGCATTTCAAAACACTTTTTTATAGATTACACTTAATAGGCAGATAAGTAGCCTAAAAAAGTTTTGTATTCTACAGTTTTTAAATTTAACATCAAGTCCTACCTGTTTCTTATAAATTGATGTATCTTTTTTTCTCACTCCCTGTGCACCTGTGGAATTTAAAAAATAACAATATATTCATGTTGAGTATACATTTTTCTCATCTTTATCTTCTGAATTAGATTTTAATGCAAAGACCGAAGCCTTTATGTGTATAAGTTGATAGGTGACTAAACCTGTATCTTTAACCTGTACGTGTGATACATGTTGACTACTCATTTCAAAGTACCATTATACTGATGACTAGCTTATAGAACACCCATAAACTGTCATCCATCTAGTGCAGAATTATGGCATATTCCTTTTTTTGTTTATTTTTCTTTTTCATTTTTTGTATTCCTTTATTTTTTAGTACTGGGAGAATAAGAGAATTTTACAGTATAATAAATTTCATAGAGGTGATGTGTTATAGAATTGTATACCTGAAACCTATGTAATTTTATTAACCAAAGTCAGCCCAATAAATTCAGTTTTTAAAAAAAGTAAATGAAGTCCCTGGCCAGTATAGCTCAGTGGATTGAGCGCAGGCCTGCGGACCAAAGCATCGCTGGTTTGATTCCCAGTCAGAGCACATGCCTGGGTTGCAGGCCATATCTCCAGTACAGGGTGTGCTAGAAGCGACCACACATTGATGTTTCACTCCCTGTCTCCCTCCCTTCCCTGTCTCTCTAAAATAAATAAATAAAATCTTTTTTTTTTTAAGGAAATAAAAAGTGATAACACTGAAAATAAAATTCAAATTGAATTAAAAAAAACAATTTTCATGTTGTTTAAATACTGGTATATTAAAAATAAATGACTCTTCTATTTTTCTCTTTAACCTTTGTGCATATTTCTCATTCATATTCCCAAAGTCTCTGAGGTAAAGATTAACCCCAGGCAAAAATCAGGAATCTTCTAAAGAATAGACTATTAAGGCTCGTGAATCACTTGAAACTCATATGTTATGTGGAGAAGCCAAAGACTTTCAGGACCTCTGTGTAAATAGTTACTTGGATAGGAATAGTGGTTGTCCGTGTAAATTTGACCCTTCCAAGGTCCTCCTGGTTTTAGATTACCTGGGTGACCACCTCCTTAAGTGTAAATATTTGGTAATGGTTATAACTGATAACTATATCGTGATTACTGTTCTAAACATTTTATTAATTTAATCCTCCTGACAACTTTGTGAAGCAGGTGCTGTTATTGCCTCCAATTTAAAGATGAGGAAACTGGGGCACAGAGCAGATCGGTGGCTCCCTCCAGGCCAGTTGTTAAGCAAAGATTTCAACTTAACCAAATTCTGGCTCAGAGTCTGCATTTAACCACAAAACCGTATAAAACACCTGTGCCAAAGAATAGTATCTGGAAATATTTTTAAAGTCTTTTTTGTTATAGTATGTTTGATAAAAATTTCAACTTAGAGAAATCTTGGCGTAAGAGTTTAGAGAGTGATACACTTTGTTGTGATGTGGTAAAATGTATATACAGTGAAGTACACAGATCTTTTACACCAGTGTACCCCACTCCCAGTCAAGACAGAGAACATTCTCATCACCCAGAACGTTCCCTCGTTGCCCCCTCCATTCAGTCCCCACTTCCACCCTCAACCACTGCTTTAGTTTTTACCAACATGGATTGTTTTGCTTGTACTTAAATTTCATGTAAGTGGAATGGTATGATATGTACCCTGCCTGTCTAGCTTGTTTTTCTCAATATATTCAAGTAAAACCTATTTAGAGTATTTTTAATTATCCCTTTGGTTATTTTATATTTTCAGAGAGGTCTGTGCTTTATTTTATTAAGGAAATACTTATTGGCTTTTTCTTTACCCCCATTCTGCAACTCTACAGTAGTAGATTAGTTTATGAACTATTTCCTTATATATAAAAAACTACCTAATAAAAAAATAATTTTCAAGAATGCTGCTTCAAAATCAGACCATGTTCATCCAGTTAGTTTCAGGAAATAATTAAAACACATACCTAAATTGTACCAAAGACCTGCATCTTTCCATCTATTTTCAGTCTTTATAAAACTTTCTTCTCTGACTTTTCTGCTTGGCTGATAAAATATGAAGAACATTTTTCTTACTGTCTTGCTAGGCTCAATCCTTAAATGTCCCAGGAGAACTTTTCTTCTTGGCTGCAGAATCTCAGAATTTTGACACTTGGCTGTTTGTACAACCCAGCTCCCAGCGTCTAGGCATTTGATTGCTTAAGCCAACTTCTTAAAATAGTCCCTCTATCCTTACTTGATTCCACATGATAAAATACTAACTTTGTTTCTTAATACTTTACAATTTGACAACGTTGCCAGAATGTCTATGCAGTACAGTTTAATCCGAAGAAATTAGCACAGATTTAATGTGGTCATAGTATATCAAAGGCCATAACAGCTGCCAAGTTTACCTGTAGAATTAAAGTTCATCACTTCATCACCTTTTGTTCCCCTTGAATAATAAGAAATTGTGTCTTTTTCCTTGGATAATTTTTCTGTCATGATCAGGAGTTGTCACTGTGGAACTTCAGAAGCTTGGAAGCATTTAATTAATGATGCATGCCATGGTGTTGATAATTAGTAAGTTTGAGAAAATACAGCCAGTGTTTTAAATATTTCTCATGTAGTCAATGGTATGAAATTGAATTCCACAAAGAAAGGAATGCTTTGAAGGGTATAAAAGATGATTTTCTAATCCTGCTTTGATTTGATTTTTTAAAGCTGTTTTATTTATTTATTTATTTTTAGAAAGGGGAAGAGAGTGAGAAAAAATTCATGTATGAGAGAAACACTGATCGGTTGCCTTTGACACACCCCTAACCACGGACCTGGCCCAAAGCCCAGGCATGTGCTCTGACCGGGAATGTCTATAGGATGACACCCAGCCCATTGAGCTATACCAGTGTGAGCTGTTTTGATTTGATTTTGAAAATAAAGTAATTATATCTTTTTTCAAAAATTACTCTCTAATGTATAAATAAATATATACTGTTATTAATGAAAATGAGAGCTAACATAGATTAAAGTAATTAAAATTGTGAATATCCTTACCTTCCAAAATTAAAAGAAAAGCACAAAATGAATTTGTTTTTTAATTTGTTTTATTACATGGACTTTAGCTGTGATGTAACCAGTGCAAAGCATAGGAAAAGGAGAAAGTAAAAAGATAAAAAGGGCAGGTTGGGTAATCCACCAATGAAAACCAGCCTCTGCTTTTGTAAGAGAGTATTTACTTACTACCTGGGTAAATTGGGATATTTCCAGTGTTGAGTAACTGGCAGACTCAACATGAATCATTATCAGGGGAATAAATAGTTAAGCTGTTCTTTTGCTCTTCGGTACAAGGTTCATTCAGTATTCTGCCCAAGAGCTCTGGGGGACTCTCAGCCAGCTCAGTCCTGAAAGGAAGAAATGTGGTGTGAGCTCTCTCAGGCCCAGCTCTGTTGTTTTTGCCTGATTCAAACTGACCTATAAGGCCGTCTCTTATTTTTCTTTTATTTCTTAACAACTTTATCAGTAAAAATGTAACTTTTTAATGTACATAAGTAAAATTTAAATAAAAAATTAATATTTTCTTAGCGGAATGCAAGCTACAGAATTTGCTGGAGTGGTAGCTATACATAGGTAAAATCTAGTTCCAGTCATTAAACAATTGAGTTATGTGTGCTGAACATGAATACTAAGAAAATTCAAAGGTCTTTGGTCCAGCAATTTCTTTCCTGGGCACTTTCCCATAGGAATAAAAGCACCAGGATGCAGGGCATGAGAGTACTAGGATAAATGCACAGATATGTTTATAATAGCAGGATAAAGCTGAAAACCATATGAATGCTTGCCAGTATGGAAATGGCTCAGTACGTCATGGTACCTCACCCCGAGAAATATGTAGACATTAAGCAGAGTGAATTGAAGCTATGCCAGTTGACTTGGTGGGAGAGATTTTCATATGGTATTCTGTTGGAAAAGCAAGATACAGAAAATAATGTATAGTATCCCATTTTTATGAAACACTAGTGACCAAAAATTCCTAAATGCAGGTATATGATATATAAGTGTGTATGATTTCATGGGTGTTAAGAGAATAGGAAAGGTTGTATGTGAGATGACAGACATGGGCGTGGTGCTGATGTAGAAGGAGGAAGGAGGGGAGGAGTCGAACAACAAAAAGGGGGGAAATGGTTAATTATTAAGAGTTCAGTGTGATGTGATTATATTTATATACAAATATTGCTGTGTATATAGAAGGACATGAAATAGCTAACTTTAAAAAATTCAAAGAGACAAATTAGTTTGGGCTAATCAGGAAAGCCTTTTGAACAAGTAGAGTCTAAAAACAAACATGTATTGTGCCTAGGATCTTGGAGTAGAACTGTTACAGAGGGAGAAGAAATTTCAGAAAGGAGACACATTGCAAGCAAGGTAATAGGGAAAGAGCAGGTGGGACTTAGATAAGACATTAGAAGGAATTAATGTCAGAATGATTGGAGGAATGATAAGAAAAAAGTTGGCCAAGTCACTAAAGACCACATATTGTGTGAGTTCGTTTGTATGAAATCTCTACTATGGACAAATCCACAGAGACTAAATAGGTTAGCAGTTACCGGGGTTGGGGGCGATTGGGAGGAAATGAATGTGGGATTTCTTTTTGTAGGGATGACGTGTTTTAAAATCGATTGTAGTGATTGTTGTACAGTTCGGGGAAGGTGCCAAAGCCAATTAATGTACAATTAATTGTACATTTAACCACTTAAAATGTGGTTAAATGTACAATTAATTGTACATTTTAAGTGGTTAAATTGTGTGGTATGTAAATTATATCTCGATAAGGCTGTTTAAAAAAAAAAGTTGGTCAGATAAATTGGGGTCACCTAGTGGAGGACTTTAACATCCAAGCCTTACAGTGTGAATTCGATTTAATGGACTACAAAGAGTTACAGGTATATGAATATGGAGTGGACTTTTCTTTTTTAGCCTCTTTTTATTGGGGATTTTAATTATTACTCATTTAAAAATTCAAATATTATAATAAAGCCTGTTAAATAGGAAATATCAGTCTTAACTTACTCCCCATAGATTACCACTATAAAAGTTGTGATTCCTTTCTAAATTGTTTTCTCTCTCTTTTTTTAACGTGATGAGGATCATGTCATCCATCTTGTTCTGAAATTTTTTCATATAGCAGTTCTTCATGGCTATTTTCCATACTTGCATATGAAGACTGGCTACCACAGGGAATAACAGTAGTAACTCATATTATAGAGTCATTGTAAAGATTAAATGAGTTGATATATGTAAATAATAGTATAAGACACGTACTAAGCATTTGATAAGCATTAGATGTTGTTTTACTATTGTTATTACTGAGTATAGGCTGAGCGATGCAGCTTTTGTGAGTGATTACTTTGGGAGTTCTTTTGCTTTGGGAACATTAAGTGAGAACAGGCATTATTTCCATTTCAGAAAAGAAGTGTTCATTTAGTTATCACTGGGATAGCAGCCAGACTGAGTTACTAAAAGCACTAAAACTAACGACTAACACATGACACTTCATAACAGAGGTGGTTAATGTCGATTTTGGAGGCTTGTGTGAGGGACTGTGAGCCCCTTGAAATTGTATGTCCACAGTTTGTGGGTGCCTAAGTGCAGCTCAGTACGCAGGATGGATACGTGGTCTTCAAAAAATTCTCCTTACGAACCACATGCTCTACCAAACTTGATTCTCTACCCAAGAGGTAGAGAATGCCACCAGGTTTTTAGGGGGTACAAAGGTGGCCCTGACCCATAAGGAGATTTTGTATACCCAGCACACTGTTAACACCGGTACAGAATAAAAAGTCCTACTAGAAAGTTATCATTATTGTGCTTTGAGAATTCAGAAGTTTATTGTAGCTCTTGATTCAGGGAAAGCTTTTTGGTCTTTAATCTATTATGTTAAAAATTGTATCATTTAACAAATATTTGTCAAATGCCCACTATATTCCAGTTGTTATTCTGGCTGTTGGGAATATAACATTGATAGGCAAAAAGTCTGTGTCCTCGTGAAGCTTACATTCTTTGGGGGAAGTCATACCCAAACAATGTGACCCTTCTCCTCCTCATTTTATTTTGTTTTTTTAAAAATTGTATTTATGTTTAGAGAGAGGGGGAAAGAGAGGGAGAGAGACGTTGATGTGTGGCTGTCTCTCATGTGCTCCTCACCAGGGACCTGGCCTGCAACCCAGGCATGTTCCCTGAGTGGGAATTGAACCAGCGACCCTTTGGTTCACAGGCCAGCACTTAGTCCACTGAGCCCCAGCAGTCAGGTCTCCTCACCTTTTACACTGAAACTTCAGGATAGCTTTGATTAAATTCTTCATTTTATATATTGACACTTCAGGGCAGTATTGATTATATGCCAAACAATGCCTTCCACATAGTAATGCTAATAAATGTTTGATCAAGTAAGAAAGAGAATGAACCAACCCTGGCTGGTGTAGCTAAGTGGATTGAGCACAGGCCTGCGAACCAGAGGATTGCGGTTCAGTTCCTAGTCAGGGCACATGCCTGGGTTGCAGGCCGGTTCCCTGCAGGCCAGTTTCCAGCAGGGGGCACACGAAAGGCAACCATACATTGATGTTTCTCTCCCTCCTTCCCCTCTAAAATAAATCTTTAAAAAAAAAAGGAGAATGAACTAAAGAGGTGGAAGAGATCTAAAGGCATCATGATCTGTTTTTAGGCAGAACCACATTTAACTATTTTTTTTTCAAATTTTTACAATGGAATAGAAATTTTATTTTATTTTTTAAAGATTTTATTTATATATTGTTAGAGAAAAAGGGAAGGAAGAAGAGAAAGAGCAATGTTGATTAGTTGCCTCTTGCACTCCCCCAACTGGGGACCTATCCCACAAACCAGTCATGTGCCCTAACTGGGAATCAAACCAGCAACCTTTCAACTGGCTCACACACCAGCGCTCAGTTGACTGAGCCACACCAGCCAGGGCTGCAATAAGAATTTTAAACCTGGTATCTCCATAGTTCTCCACGTGCAGTGAGATTTAGCATAAATTGAAAAAATAAATGTCTCCATCTAACATTAAGCTAGCTTAAGTACTTCGGCACTATAAAAATGCAAGGCGTCACTGTTGCTTGTCTTTTCTAGGGGAGGTGACTCCAGGACTATCCCAAGTGGAATATGCACTTCGCAGACACAAGTTAATGTCTCTGGTCCACAAGGAGGCACAAGGGCAGAGCGGGACAGACCAGACAGTGGTTCTGCTGTCCAACCCTACATACTACATGAGCAACGATATCCCCTACACTTTCCACCAAGACAACAATTTCCTATACCTTTGTGGATTCCAAGAGCCTGATAGCATTCTGGTCCTTCAAAGCCTCCCTGGCAAGCAGTTACCAGCACACAAGGCCATGCTTTTTGTGCCTCGGAGAGACCCCAGTCGAGAACTTTGGGATGGCCCACGATCTGGCACTGATGGAGCAGTAGCTCTAACTGGCGTGGACGAAGCCTATACACTGGAAGAATTTCAACATCTAGTGCCAAAACTGAAAGGTAATAGATGGGAGCAGAAGTCAAATCATGGGCCAGGTTGGGGTTAAGACTTTCCTTGCCTGTTCAGACAAAGTTTTTCATGTCCTAAAATGATTATCCATAGCAGTGCTTCCCTTAAGCACCAGGAAAGGAGCATAAAATATTTTCCACAAGACTGGGCTACTTTAAAGACTTCATTTATTCGTTTGCTAAATCTTACTAGATTATTCATTCACATAGACTGTTAACTGTCCTAGTTTGAAATCCCAGAGAGAGAATTTCCTTATACAGGTTAAGGATGGGCATAGGCCACTCTTCAGGGTTACTGGCCGGTCTGTCTTTCTTCTCACTGCTTTTGCCAACTCTTCGAAAAGAGGCAGTATTCTCAGAGAATGATCCATGCGTCACCAGCATCGGAATTACCTGGCGGTGCATATTAAAACTGTAAATTCATAGTAGCTGTGGGAAATATAAACTCTTAGGCCCCCACTCCATACTGACCAAATCAGAATCTGCATTTTAACAAGATTCTTAGGTGATTCGTACACACAGTTCATACCCTTCCAAAAAGTCACTTTCTCTACCTTAATTCTAGTGAAAAGTATCAAAAAGTCACTTACAGCTAAGTGTGTGAAATAATATAAATGATGAAGTTGGAAAATACTTATTTTAAACAAAATAATGTTGGATTGTAAATGTTTAGTGCTTCTTTTATAGTTTATAAACTGTTTCTGAAGTCACTTTCTAAAACAGAATTCCAAAATTGTTTTCAACAATCACGGAATTTACTGTACTTGTTTCCTACAAAGACTCCCTTTAGAGAAAATACTTACTTGAATATGCACGGTTAATATGTTTCATTCTTTTTATTTGTAAACTGTTGTCTATTTTACAGATTTAATTATCCAGCTAAGCTAATGGAACTTTCTTCATCTTCAGAGGCTTCATCAGTGTGGGGCACAGAATCATTTTCTTTGTAGTTCATGATTTCTTGAATTAATTGCGGGCTGTCATGTTCCAAATTGCTTTGTACAAAATGTACAACCCTTAGACTTCAATTGTTGGGATTACTGTTCATTAGCTACTGTCAGGAAAAAAAGGAAAGGGGGACTTGGTATAAGTGGGAATTATTTTCATAATGATCCCACTTATTTTATCTCAGGCCAATGTAAGCCGTTTCCTTGGGTCTCTATAATTAAAAGGTGACTGGTCCTTGTTTGTAATGAGAATACCTAGCAGATAGGAAAGGATTTCCTGGATAAGAGTGGATTAACACCTATTATCTACTGTAGTGTCCCCATAGTCATAAGTAATTGCTCTAAGGAACTTTCTTTCACTGATACTGATTGTGGGTACAGGGGTGAAATGCTTTTAACCACAAGATAATGATCTGAGCACATTTTTCTGTCTTTTGTGTTCAATTATTCAACAGTGTCCCCAGCTCAGTGGTGATGTGGAGAACAATTGCAATTGTTCCGTTAATAAATAAATAAATAAAATCAAAGCCTGAATAAAGGTAGTTCCAGTACCTATCTTTAGGAACACTGAAGTTTTGGGGCAGAAAAGCTGTTTGCTCAGTTTCAGAATGTCTTGCCATTTTCAGGGAATGGCCTTTCCAATGATTTATGATCAAACCCTTCAATTACTTTAGTTGCGAGAGAGTTCGTGCTCAACCCTCTGGCATTTCACACTACAAGTTTTATAGTTTTGACTCTTGTTTAAGAGTCATGATGGCAGTTGGTATTTGTTGGTACGATTAGTTGTATTTTGAAGTTATTTTTTTGTATCTCATTTTAAGCTGAGACTAATACACTTTGGTATGACTGGATGAGGCCCGCTCACACACAGCTTCACTCGGACTATATGCAGCTTGTGACTGAGGTCAAAACCAGGAGCAAGAACAGAGTTCGCACTGTCCAGCAGCTGGTACAGCGCCTCCGGCTGATCAAATCTCCTGCTGAAATTGAACGAATGCAGGTTGCTGGGAAGATCACATCACAGGTGGGTTCCTACTGAAAAAGCTGTTGTCAAACGAAAAAAAATTAAGCTCTAGGGTTCAGTGGGCACCCCGAGATTGTGTACTTAAAGCAGTCATTTCCTGGCTGGTGAACATCTAGCTTCTACTTTGACATTTAGTGAACACGTAGAGAGACTTGCTCAGAACCTTGCAAGGCAGAGTAAATCTGCCTTCTTATGTCTTTTACCCATGATCTTAGTTGTTTCTCCTTGGAACAATATAAGTTAATTTTTTATTTCCTTACAATAACTGCAATACTAGTAGTAGTAAAACAGTTTGATAAAGAAGAATCATAGAGCCCAAAATGAGTGCTTACAAATCGGCAATTCCGGGGAAAGGGTACAATATAGCAGCAACATTAACTAACATGAATGTAAGAAGACCTATCAGCCAATGACTGTCTCACAGCCAGGGGCCAGAGCAGCCTGGTGCAGGCTTCTCTTGTACTCCCTCAGTAAGAGCTGGGCAAGATGCATTTCCTTTCCTGGATCAGGAACCACAGATGCATACATGGAACACCTAGAAACCGGGGAGTCCAAAATCACATCTCAACTAGAGATTTTTCTGGTTTTGGTTATATTGTCAGATTCCTGCTATGTAACAAAGACCTTCAGAGTTCTTGTGGAAACCAAGGACAGACCAGTACTGACAAACTGATACAAATGGCTTCGAAACTCTTACCAACACTCTTAATCAGTATGTTTCAGGCCTTGACCAGGAGGAGTTGCATACAGGAACTGTAACAAAACAGTTCAAACTAATTCCAGGCCTACTGAATTAACCTCATAGAGTAATAGCACACACACATTTGAAGCCCACTTTTCTGAATTCTACCCAAAGTCTTCCCAAAGTTAAACATTATTTTCCTTAACTATTCCCTTATTTTGTAACCCTCCTCAGTATGTGCTCTAGTTTGTCAGGGTCTTTCTTCAGGTACACTGTCCAGGGTTCTAGCTACAGCCAGACCAGCAAAGACTACTTACAACTGATTACAAATGTGATAAACCTATGTCTTTGTTTTTCTTTAAATCACTGATTTAAAAAATAAGGAAGAGAAGAAGCTAAGAACAGATCTGTGGGATAATGTTTAGAGCTCCAGAGAAATTATCAGTCCAGTGATCAGATGTCTTTGCATGAAGTGTAAAATCAGGCAGAAATCTGCCCAGGAGTGTTCTCATCCACACTTCTGTCACTTGTCCACACTGTTATCCTGAGAGACTATTTTAAGTGTTGTGCCAAAATTAAGAATCTGAGCTACCGTTCCCTTCACTTGCCAACCCAGGAAAGACGTCAGACAGGGAAATGGAGTTTGGATTACTTTTTTTAATGAGCAGCGTCTACCAGTGACCATTCTTTAAGTATTCCCAATTTGGTCTAGAATTATACTGCAAGATTTTGAGGGACTTGTGGTCCAGATGGCAGCATAGGTAAACACAGCTCACCTCCTTGCTCAACCACATAAAATTACAACTAAATTATAGAACAACCATCACTCGGAACTGGCAGAAATCAAGTTGAATGGAAATCTGATAACTGTGGGATTGAAGAAATCACATCCATCCAGACTGGTAGGAGGGGCACAGGTGCAGAACCAGATGATCCCACATCCACGTGTGGTCGAGAAAAATCCGGGAGGAATATCTCAGGTGCAGTGAGTTCCAGCCCCACACCAAACTTCCTAGCCCAAGTTACCAATGCCAGGAAGGTGATTCCCCTTAACTTCTGGCTGCAAAACTCAGCTGGAATTGAGTCAGTGGAAGAAACTTCTCAAGTCCTAAGCAGTTCCTCTTAAAGAACCCACACATGGACTCACCTACTCAGACCCATTCCTCTGAGTTCTGGAACCGGGGTAGCAGTTTGAAAGGCACCAGTAGCATATGGGGAGGAACTGAAGTGGCTTCCCTCAAGGCAGGAGCTAGAGGACAGCTTTCTCCCAGACAGAAAGGCGGACAGAGCCACAGAGCAAGCAGGTGCCATATCTGAGACTCCATCAACCTGGCTAACACTGTTTGACCCACCCTAGTAATCCCCTGAGGCTTCATCCCACCCAATTTACAGCTCTTAACAGTAGCTTTTCCATATGAATGGTTGGTCTTGGCTCATGGCTTCACAACTTTCTAAATCTTCTCAAACAAGCAACATCTGGCCTCAGTGAGTTCCCAGCCCCTGTACCTCTTGCTAAGTGGCCCCAAGCCTAACACTAGCAGCATCCAGCCTAGATTGACAACTTGGCTTTGCCTGGGAACCTCCAAGCCCAGCACAAGTAGCAGACATCTCAGATTGTTTTATAACTGAGGCAGGATGGCCCTGAACAAAACAGATGAGGGCCGACCTTGGCCCCTACCACCTGGGAAACCCCAGGGCCTGCACAACCAGTAGACAGCTACAGACCACATTGGAGCACCATCACCCTGGCTCTGCACAGCTTATCCCCATGGAGGGTGGAGATTGGTGGTCAGTGGTCACAGCTAATCCTTCAACCGACTGGCCCAGAAAATTTCTCCCATTGACCTGTCAACAGCAACCAAAGCTCAACTACAAGAGGAGGGTGTACTCAGCCCACACAAGGGGCACATCTCAAGTACCCAGCTAAGGAGGCTGTGCCACTAAACCCTGCAGGACACCTACTACATTAGGCCACACGACCAAGACAGGGTGTCATAGCAGCTCTACCTAATACATAGAAACAAATACAGGGAGGCTGCCAAAATGAGGAGACAAAGAAGCAGTCCATATGAAAGAACAGATCAAAACTCCAGAAAAAGAACAAAGTGGAGATAAGCAGTCTATCAGATGCAGAGTTCAAAACACTTGTTATAAGGATGCTCAGGGAAGTTAGTGTGGACCTCAACCACATAAGAGAGATCCAGTCAGAAACAAAGGTACACTCACTGAAATAAGAAAACAATTTATAGGGAAACATCAGTATGGGGGATGAAGCCAAGAATCAGATGATTTGGAACATAACCAAAAACAACCAATCAGAACAACCAGAAGAAAAATCCAAAAAAGGAAGACAGTATAAGCAGCATCTGTGACAACTTCAAGAGGTCTAACATTCGCATCATAGGAATGCCAGGAAGAGAGGAGAAAGAGCAAAATTTTGGAAAAATAATGAAAGAAAATTCTTCTAATTTGGTAAAGAATATAGACGTGCAAGTCCAGGAAGCACAGTCCCAAACAACATGGATGCAAAGAGGCCCACCTCAAGATACAACATAATTAAAATTCCAAAAGTTAAAAAAATAAAGGAGTTCATCACCAAACCATTGTTATATGAAACATTAAAGGGTTTTATTTAGGAAAAGAAAATCAAGACTATGAACAATAAAATGGAAATAAATACATACCTGTTAACAATTGAATCTGAAAAACAAACTAAGCAAACAAGAACAGAAACAATCATGGATACAGAGAGGGCTTTCATCCCCAGGTGGGAGGGGATGTGAAGGCATTGGTGAATAGGTAAGGGGATTAAGGAGTACAAATAGGTAGTTACAGAATAGCCATGGGGATGTAAAGCACAGTATAGGAAGTGGTATGGCCAAAGAACTCATACATGTGAACCACAGACATGAACAGTGGTGTGGGGATTGCCAGCAGGAATGGAGGATGCTGGGTGGAGGAGGGGAGAAGAGGGGGAAACTGGGACAACTATAACAGCATAATAAAATATAATTAAAAGATTTTTGGACACTTGGGCAAAATAATTTTCTTAAGAATAATTATGCTGTATTTATAATTTTTCAGCCCAAATGAAAGTTTCCCTTTTGGGGTACAAGTCAATATAATTTATGCCTATGTGATGCTGATGAGTTAGATTTTCTTGCAGTCTGATTTGTTTTAAAATAGGTAAGGGACCTTGCTGTTAGAGTTCAGTAACCTTTGCAGAACAGAGAGTTGGTGTGATGTATGGACAGAAGTAAAACGGGTGGGAGTCAGACCTTTCCCGGGTCAGATCTCTCCTACAGCTGAACATACATCCTGCCTCTTGCACATCTCTACCTGAATTCCCTGTAATTATCAAAATTTGGTACAGCTCTGCCAGCTGTACCAAACCTGACTCTTCTATTCTTTTTCACGGTTAATAATATGAAAGTTATCTATATAATAGTTCTCCCCAACCCTTATTCTAATTAACTAGTCCCCAAGTTCACTCCTAAGGAGGCAGGATAGTGTAGTTGAAAACAGAGACATCTGGGTTTAAATACCAAGATGTGTTATTTTGACCTGTGCCTAGTGCACAGTGGGACACCTAGTAACCCTTTGCTGTGTGTCTGCTTGCCTCTGTTAGTGCCTACTTCTAACTCTACCCCAGCTAGAGTGATCTTTATAAATCAGACTGTCCCTCTCCTACTTAAAGTCCTTGAGTACTCCTCTGTTGTTTTTAGGAATAAATTTCAACATGCCCATGCAGGGCCTTTTATGGCCTGGCCCCTTCTGCCTTCCCTTCCAGCTTTATGGCTCATTCTTCCACATGTACTTGACACTCTGGCCATACTGAACATTCTCAAATGTCACAGTCTCCCTACTTTCACATCACCCACATGTGGACACACAGCCAACATTTCCATGAAATCGTCCCTGCTTTTTCTCTCCACTGTCCCTTGGCCATAAACTGTACAGTTTCTACTCATGATGTGTTCTGATTATGAGATGCACAGACTAAAATGCAAAAAAAAAAACCAAAAACCATTTCACATTCTGAAAGAATCAAAATATAAACATCTAAATAGCACCTGGTGAAGTAAGAGGGTCAAGTGTTAATTGGGAATATGAACTAGATTGTGAGGAGAAAACCCTAATAAGAAGTGGCAGTCATACAGTCTGTCCCTAGATCTTTATAGGAAGACATCACGCACATCGTGAACCAGGTGCCATCGTCTGTGAAGAAATGGGCTCCTAGGGGGCACGTTCATTACAAAAAAAAAAAAGCGAAGTCAGGCATTTGACCTCCTAGGAAGCAAGAAGAACTTTTCTATCACTTCAGTCTGTGTAGCAGTATAAAGGGGCCATGACTGCAGAAATTCTCTATTCAGTAAAAGTTTGAAAGGAATTAATTTTTAAAAAAAGATCCTTCTTTTAGATGAACGAACCTCACTAGAACTACCACATTTTTCTTCTTTCTTTTTTTCTACTCTCGTTATATATTTTATGTATATAATTATACATACATAAATTATATATATTTATTAAAGTATTTTTTAGTTTTTTTAACTTTTATTGTTCAAGTACAGTTTTCTGCCTTCCCCCTGCACCCCTCCCCGTCATCCCAGTCCTCCCCACCTCCTTCCCCTTCTTTCTTTTTTTTTGCTTATGATTTTATTTATTTATTTTTAGGGGGGGGGGAAGAGGGAGGGAAACGAAAGGGAGAGAAACGTCAATGTGTGGTTGCCTCTCACACACCCCTTTCTGGGGACCTGGCCTGAAACCCAGGATATGCCCCAGAGACCCTTTGGTTTGCAGACAGGCACTCAATCCACTAAGCTGCACCAGCCAGGGCTTTTTCTTTCTCTCTTCATTTTTAGCTTTATACTAAATTTATAGTGCTAACTAGTTATTTATCAACATCCGTGTGGATAACGACTTTAACTGATTTTAATTGCTAATTCATTCAGCTAATTTTTAATAACTTTTTAAAAATTTTTTAGACAGAGGAGAAGGGAGGGAGAAAGAGATGGAGAGAAACATCAGTGTTTGGTTGCCTCTTGCACACCCCCCACCAGGGAACCTGCCTCGCAACCTAGGCTTGTGCCCCGACTGAGAATTGAACCAGTGACCCTTTGGTTTGCAGGCCAGCACTCAAGCCACTGAGCCACACCAGCTGGGGCTCATTCAGCACATATTCATAGTAATGTAGCTGCTGTGGTACCAGGTACTGCTCTGTGTTTTAAGGATACAGTGGTGAACAAAATGGATAATCCATGTGTCCCTGTCCTTATATTCTAGTTGAGGCAAGACAGGAGACAAACATACGATAAATAGTCAGCTGGAATGAAATGCTGTGAAGTAAAATGAAGCAATAGAAGGGGAGAGAGCGTGATGGAAAGTGCCAATTTAGATAGGAAATTCTAGAAGAACAAAACACTGGAGGAAAGATCCGAATGAGAAAAGGGAGCGAGCCATGCAGAGACTCCCACGGCCATCCCACTGGGTCTTCCTGTCGGGCTCTACGGTGTCGTCATTTCCTTGTGTGTTGAAAACTGTTACTCAAACATTCCTTCCCACATTGCATTCACTGAGAGTCTAAGAACTCGAGAGAAATTCCTCTCTACTTACAGTAGCATATAGTTACATCCCTGTGCAACTGATTGGTTTTTGTCCCACAGACATAGGAAATTATATAACTGACAGTTTTACTCTTTACATTGGCTGCTAGAAAACTCCTAGGTGAATTTGTGGACCATCTGTAGTAGCCATAGTAATTATGGTGTGCATTATTTTTTTTTTTGAGCTTCATCCCACTAAGCCTTGCTTTCCTTTAACTGTACCCAGAATTTATGCTGTTTTGCATTTTATGTATTCATGTAAGCTAATCAAAATCCTATTTGGGCCCTGACTGGTATGACTCAGTTGGTTGAACATCGTCCCACAAAGTGCAAGGTCGCTGGTTCGATTCCTGGTTAGGGCACGCGTCTGAGTTGTGGGCTCACTCCTAATTGGGGAATGTGCAAGGGGCAACCGGTTGATGTGTCTCTCCCTCTCTTTCTCCCTCCCTTCCCCTCTCTCTGAAAATAAATAATAAATCTTTCCACAAAATCTCTACTTGGAATAAGGTACCACAGTGAATTATAAACAGCTATGTTTATCAAAATAGAAAAACACAACATAGATGCAGTGAAGCTGTCACAGAGAACTCATTGTCAAGGGACGTTTGGCAATAACTGATTATCACTGGGAAGTGCTACCGGCCGCTGCATTGAATAGGACAGGCTCCGCAGTCAGGAAGCATCTAGCCCAAAATGTCGGTAGTGCTGAGGTGGGGAAACCCTACTGTAGACTGGACTTTTCGATCCATAATTTCATTCATTCCAGAGCTACAGAAACATTCGGTTCCATAAATGACAGATGTGTTTCTGTGTAGTGTATTCTAGCATGCAGTATACTAACTGGGAAGGTTGGGTGCCCTTCCAGTAGATCTGTGATCAAATACTTCTGAATGCAGTATTTTCCCCTTCAGAAATTTATATTGTCATGCCCACAAAGTCACATCTTCAGGTTCACAAAATTGGGGGAAGGGTTTTTTTCATTTGAATTCCAGAATTTTAAATACTTGCATAAGCAAAATAGCTGAAATAAGATTTCTTTTTATCCTCCATCCCTTCACAGGCTTTCATAGAGACCATGTTTGCCAGTAGAGCCCCTGTGGAGGAGAGCTTTCTTTATGCCAAGGTGAGTTTTAAATGACGGAAGCTTTTGGGCAAGGCAAACGCAAAATAACTTCATTGGTCTGCATGTGGCATCTGTTTGGCTTTCATTCAGTGACCAGGATATCAGTGGAGAGGATTTCATTCTTAAATGTCACTGGTGATTTATTAGATGAATCTAAAGTGTGCGGAGCTACAGTGAAATGAGAAAATTTCAGAGTAGAAACACTGAAGAAGGAAAGGCCTACACAAATGTGGGATGAGAATACTGTTTAAGTAAATGTAAAGGCGGAGAATTGGAGGTCAAGCTGGACATAGTTGCAGGTGGTTGTCAGTCTCAACTCCATCCTAGGACATAGTGAAATGCATAGAATTTACCTAGTATCTTTTTGAAATTTTCCAGAGCATGAAGGTTAATAGCTATTTGAAAGGTCGATATGAGTCATTTAGAGCTCATTGTTGTTAAAAATTCAAGCTGTATTCCAGTGTTTAGGAATAAACAAACTGTAATGTAACATGGACTGTATCACTTTACTCAGCCTTGATCACAGGTTTTCTGGGTCCTCTTCTGGACTTAATTTGAAAATCACAGGAAATTTAAAGTACTCAAAAGAAAAGAACAGATACAAAATAGGATTGAATAACAGGATTGTGATAAGAATAAGAAGTGGCCTGAAATTACAGTGTAAGAGGCTTCGTTACATATGATGAATAGTTTTCCAGTAACGACTTCAGGGAGTAGGATTTACAGGGGAGTATGGGCTGTTGAGGAGAGCCTTGGCTGGGACAGCCCTAAGGAAATCCTTTCTTCAGTCACGCTTGGCTGCTGTTTTTCAGTTTGAATTTGAATGCCGGGCCCGGGGAGCAGACATCTTAGCCTACCCACCTGTGGTCGCTGGAGGCAATCGGTCCAACACTTTGCACTATGTGAAGAATAATCAACTCATCAAGGTACCCGGAGTGCCTGTCGCACCGCTTCCTCTGGGTCCAGATGCCCTGGCGGAAAACTCACTGTCCTCAGGATCCCCCAGCCTGCAGCTTTCACAAAATAACTGCCATTTATATAAAGTACTTCAGGATTTATGAAATGCTTTTACAGACATTGTCTCATTTGATCCTCATACGAGCACTGTGAGATAGGAACATTTATTGACATGCCATTTAATAGGGGAGGAAAATAAACTTTAAAAAATTAGGTAACCTGGTAGTGCAGAGGCAAGTATTCTACCCTAAAGCCTCTGCTCACTTTTTTTTATAACACTCCTTTTCTAAGGACTGGTAGAATAGGGCCAAGCACATGGGAGCAGGCAGCTTTAAGACTACATTATTAGCACCCTGGCTGGTGTGGCTCAGTGGGTTGAGTGCTGACCAGTGAACCCAGAGGTCACTGGTTCAACCCCCAGCATATGACTGCTGGTGGGGGCATGTACCAGGGTTGCAGGCTGGGTCCCCTGTCGGGGGTTGGGGACATGTGAGAGGCACCTGATTCTCCCTCTCTCTCTGAAATTTTTTAAAATACTTTATTAGCTATGAAAGAATGTCTTTTATGGTTCTCTCCAAATGCTGTACAAATAATGAGTTGTATATTCCTCTAAGTCCACTTTTAATTATGTTAATATTCAGTAAATTCAAAATATCAATATAGCAAACAAATTATACGGCATGTTATTTAAATGAATGCCCATTTAAATGGCTATGCAAGAGTCAGAACGTTCCCAATACCTTGTGTCTGCGGTGCACCCCAGCCCCCCCACCTCCCTGCTGCAGGCGCTCGCTGGCTGCCTGCGTTTTTCCAGTTTGTCACTCCCTTGACTTTTTTAATACTTCTATCACATACGGTATGCTTGCTTAATATAAACATTATATATGTAGTATGTAGTTTTAGGGTACTTAACGTTTGTTTTACTCATTAATTGTGATAATATTAGTTGTTTTCTAACAGAAAATTTATTCTATCATTTTTCCAGAAACAAAAATCACATCTATTCTTCAAAGTTACTGTTACTATATATGTACATACTGTATATTTAGAGATAAATGAGATATGTCCTTTTCTTCAAGGGCACAAGTAGGTCATTTCAATGTAACATGACAAGTAGCAAGATAAAGATATACCCAAAGTTTTCTTCTTCCCCCACTTGCATTTTGATAGGGAGCAGAAAGGGAAGTGATATCCTAAAGTTAAATGGTTAAGAGTAATTGTATATGAATAAGTCCCTAGGTAAAATCCTTATCTAGGTTTTGTTTTGTTTTGTTTTTAGAGGGGAAGGGAAGGAGAGAGGGAGAGAAATATCAATGTATGGTTGTCTCTCATGCATCCCTTGCTGGGAACTGGCCTGCAACCCAGGCTTATGCCCTGATGGGAATCGAACCTGTGATCCTTTGGTTCACAGGCCCGTACTCAATTCACTGAGCTACGCCAGCCAGGGCTTAGGGTTTTGTTAATTGATGGTGAGAATGGTAATGGTGACATTTAGGATGTGCTGATGTTTACACCTAGAAATTCACACCCGAGACTTCTGGTTCCAGAGCCAGTGCACCGAACCGCTATGCAATGGCCCCTTTCTTAAGCTACTGAATTCATTTGAAAAATTTAGATGCTATTTCTTATGAGAAGGAACCGGAGACAGTCTTCTTTAAATTAGAGCTTTTTAAAAAATTTTATTTATTTATCTTTAGAATGGAAGGGAAGGATAGAGGGAGAGAAATATCAATGTATGGTTGCTTCTCGTGTGCCCCTGCTGGGAACTGGCCCCTGCTAGGAACTGGCCTGCAACCCAGGCATGTGCCCGGGCTGGGAATTGAACCACAATCTTTTGATTCGCAGGCCCGTGCTCAATCCACTGAGCTACACCAGCCGGGGCAAATTAGAGCTTTTTAAAAATAGATGTAACATGAAAGACACAAGGAGTTTAAATTAAAAGAAAAAACAGCTGACAGTCGAGGGGGCACCTGCTCTGACCCATCTTACTTTTGTTCCAGGACGGGGAGATGGTGCTGCTGGATGGAGGCTGTGAGTCTTCTTGCTATGTGAGTGACATCACCCGTACCTGGCCTGTCAATGGCAAGTAAGGCTTCTACAGATCCCACTGCTTCTTGGAACATGGTTATGTTTAGAATAAATGACTAAAAGAAGACGTTCCTCTGTAGCTCGAGTTAACTGCTTTTGCAAAGCTCCTGATTACTTGCTAAGACTTTTATTCATCACATCACAGAATTGGGCACCTGGAAACACCTTGTTAACATCCACACACACACACACACGTGTGTGTGTGTGTGTGTGTGTGTGTGTGTGTGTGTGTGTAGGTTGATAAGTTGATTAATTGATTGATTGATTGATTGATTGATAATAATTGACTCATTTAAGGAATTGACTCACACTTTTGCAGGACAGGCTAGAAACTTGAAGGCAACAGTTGATGTTGCAATCTTGAGGCAGAATTCACTCTCCAGTACAACAAGGCACTTCTGTCATTTGAACTCATTTAGTATAGGATACATTTTGGCCCACATTGCAGCCAACCAAGCAAATAAACTATTAGAGTCTTTCTGACCCCTTAAGCTATTACAGTGACTCCAGAATCTCTGCTTAGTGGACCCATATCAATAAATTCGGCGTGATCCAACTTTATGTTCCTCCCGCCATTATCCCACATGTTGCTATCCTTTCCCACACATATTTTCAAATTTTTGTCTATATAAACAGGAAAAATTATATAGTTCTTTTTGGTTATTGGATCACACTTCATACCTAACCTTTCAGGACCTGCCGGGTAGGAGTACAGTGTAGTTAAAAGTCCAGAAGCAAGTACCAAGGCAACTACCTATAGGTTCTCAGTCAGAACAAGGTTAATCTCACATGGTGGTAGAAGGGCTGCTTCTACCAGCAGAGATGCCTCAGCAGAATTTAGGGGTTCAGTGTCCCCAGCTTCATCAGAATTGCATGCTCAGATTTGTGCATTCCAATGTATGTAAATTTTGCATTTAAAAAACTTATGAACTATTTAGTAGTACTGTGGTGGCATAGAGTATGGATGCAAACAGCAATGTTGGTCGTCACCCAGCCTGAGAGCTGGGTGAGTAGGTGTTAACTGTACCATTTATTGTTATATTTAAACACTCCTCTATTAAGGAACATTTAGATAATATCTTTAATTATTAAAATATCACAGTGAACATTTTGGTACATTCAGCTTTTTTTTAATTTCAGGTGTTTTTTTTAGGATGGGTACTTACTGCAGAATTACAAGCTTAGATTATATGAGCATCTTTGAAGACCTTTGATTTAATTGGCTGTACTAATTTATACTCCTAGCAACAGTGCACAAAGATACATATCATATACCATCCCACTGTAGTTCTTTTATCATTTTTCCCTATGGTTGCTAAAGAAATTATTATTTTGAAGACACCTATAAGTTATTAGTAACCAGATTATTGACTGGTTTATCCCATGACATGTTTTGCCTATAAGAAGTGGAATCCTAAGCTTTTGGGGTTTTTTTAATGATAAAAATTGGAAAGGATCACGAGCAGCCTGGTCTAGTCCTCTGACAGCATTCATAACTGGGTGCATCTTCTAGCCTCACCTTGCATGTGTCTGCTGAATGATGGACTGTTTCTGCTGCGGTTTGAAGGGTTATTGCTCTTCCTGTTGAACATCTAGGCTTTGATTAAGGTCCTGTCAGTAATGATATGTTGGTACTAATTAAACACCTACAGCACCCCATGATCATCGCCTTGGAGTTCTTCTCATTAACCCGAGAAGTAAATGTTAAGCAAAACGTAATTCCACAGCTGAAAGGTTTTGGGTTTTGTTTTAAAGAAAGGATTTATTGGGCCATCCTGCTGGCCAGCAAAGGACCAGGTCGTGGGGCCCGCCGTCCAAACCACCAGCAGCAGGGCCTGGCGGGGACGCCATGTGTGTGCCGTCCTGGAATTGATGGGCACTTTTATATGTCATGTTTAGGAAAAGAAAGATGTTAAGTTGTTTTGAAAGAACTAACATTGACTATAGTTAAGGAAGGATGGTGAAGGCAGTGCAGTTGTAGGACAGGAGCCCAGTTCAGAGGAAGAAATATTGATTACTTTTTTTTAAAGATTTTATTCATTTATTTTTAGAGAGGGACAGAGAGGAAGAGAAACATCAGTGTGTAAAACAACATTAGTTGGCTGCCTCTTGCAGGCACCCAACCAGGGACCTGGCCTATAATCCAGGCATGTCCCTGACTGGGAATCAAACCAGTGACCTCTCATTTCATAGGATGGCGCTCAACCCACTGAACCACACCAGCCAGGGCAAAATATTTACTGTTTTTGATTGGCTACAGGTAACAGACCTGAAAGTTCACGTACATGCTGGATGTGGTGGTGGTTGGTGGTTGGCTCATAGATGCCTGGAAGTTGCTTCTCAGCTCCAACATACATTCAAATATGAGCAGCCTTTTGTTAGTCGGCACAAAGCAATTAACTGGTTATCTTTTCCTGTCTCTTCCTCTCACTTTCCATGATTTGATTTTTACCATATCAGAATTTTTCTCTTGTCACAAACTTCCTGCATTATCAGTTAATTGAGGTTCTTTGGTTTTCCTGTCCCCAGGTTTACAGCACCTCAGGCAGAACTTTACGAAGCTGTTCTAGAGATCCAGAGAGATTGTCTGACCCTCTGCTCCCCTGGAACAAGCTTGGAAAACATCTACAGCATGATGCTGACCCTGACAGGACAGAAGCTGAAAGAGTTGGGGATCATAAAGAACATTAAGGAAAATAATGCCTTCAAGGTACCTCACTTCTTTTGACTTCACTTCTCAAAAGCACCTTGCATGCTGCTCGGTTTTTATGTAAAGCCAATCAGATTTAGAAAAGGTCTTTGTGATTCTCCATCTGTAAAAGGAACTTGGATTGAACGTGCATTATAACAAAGTGAGTCAGTACTTATTCCTCCCAGAAGGTGGCAGCACATTCTGCTTCATTGCATACTGTATAACTAGCTTGGTCATCAAAAGACATAAAATGAAGTCTAGTGCAGACTGTGGAAAGGACACAAAAAGGAAGAGAGGTTAACTCTTAATTCTTTTGTGGTGATTTTGAAAAGCTAGCAGTTGGAAGAGATGGTGTTTGTAGCTTCAGTGACATCGCTGAGACTTTAATACTGTCCTCAAGGACATGTCTTTAGTGAATTTCATCTGCATCCAAAATGTAATGGTGTTCCATAAAAATGTAAAGCCTCAGCTTTAAATTAAAATTCTGGGTGATCAAGCCAAACAAACCATTAAGCATTTCCCATTTCCACAGTTAAGCTGCCAGCGTTTTTTATCAATAGGAAAGAAACTATAAATTCTTCTTGTCCAGGCCAGCAAATCTTTAATTAACAGATAGAAATATCCAGGCCAATAAATGCCTGATAATTACTGTTATCTGATGTTTCAGCCTGTTTCACAAGATGCTGAGAGATACTTAGGGTCCCCAGAGTAGGCTTTTCTAAGAGGGGTGTGTGAACATTGAAATTAGAACTATTCTAACACCATCATTCTTCCATTTCCTGAGAAAAGAGATTTCCATTTGTCATTGTTGCTGCTGGGGCCACCCAAGTCAGTGTGTGTGTATATGTTAGACAGTGGGAATGAAAACGTGGGTCATCTGCACTGGCAGAATTTCATTCGAGAGGTGGCAGTTGTTCAGGTCTCTTAAGCAGAAGTCCACGGACAGGTTCCACCTAAGCAACAGAACCATGGGGAAGGTATTAACATCTACCTCACAGATTCATATATGTTGTCCAACTTTCCCCTTTAGGGGTCACTGCTCCAATAACACTGTGGCAATTATCTTTTCCAGGCTGCTCGAAAATACTGCCCTCATCATGTTGGCCATTACCTCGGGATGGATGTCCATGACACTCCAGACATGCCCCGCTCCCTCCCTCTGCAGCCCGGCATGGTGATCACAGTGGAGCCAGGTAAAAGGGGTGGGTAGCAGCTTCTGGCCCCTTGGGACACATACTGATAGTCTCACATAAAAAGGAAAACATCGTTTATTCTCACCTAAACTAACATAGTTAAATTAGGAGTGGGGGCAGAGAATGACTCTGAGTAGAAGGGAACTTTATTTTAGATTTTTCTTGAGCTTTCTTATTTAACATCACATAATTTGTTTGACTTCTTCCAACAAACAATACAAGGGGACAACACTCTATAAGTAGATACAAAGAAATGAATCTTGCCCTGGGTGGTGTGGCGAGCATCGGCCTACAAACCGAGGGGTCGCTGGTTTGATTCCCAGTCAGGACACATGCCTGAGTTGCGCGCCAGGTTCCCCAGTGTGGGGCACATGGGAGGCAACCACACATTGACGCTTCTCTCTTTCTCTTTCTCCCTCCCTCCCCTCTGTCTAAAAATGAATGGATAAAATCTTTAACCAAAAAAGGGAGGGAGGGAGGAAAATCTTTATCAACCATACCTTTGCCAGGGCCAATCTGTGCCACGTCTCTGGGCATAGTGGTGGGCTGCTCACCCTGCTGAAGGTCCCAGTGCTTTTCCTGCAGAAAGACCCGTGGGTGCACTATATTCTTAGCTGTACCTGCTCTGCAAACTGCATCGAACTGCCCACATTACTGACTTCTTAGTATCCAAATTCTTTCTCCTAAGCTTCAGAGAAAGCTGGTAATTTCATGGTTCCTGGCTTGCATGATGCTAAGTGTTGGGCAGATTTCAACAGAGAAATGGTAGCCATGACAAAGTGTGAAGAATGATATTACAAGAGTCAGTTTTTAAATACTGATGCTGTTTTTGTTGTGAAAGCAGATTTTATTCTTAGATTTCAGGTGTTTCCATTTCTAAAGTGTATAATTATAGCTGGAGCATGGCTTTTTTTATTCATTGTGGAATGTGAACCACTTTTTAATTAAGGTATAGTTGATATACTATATTAAAGGTGTATAACAAAGTGAGATTTCACATTTATGCACCTTACAAAGTGATCACCACAAAAAGTCCCCTGTCCATCTATCACCAGAGTCACCATGGTATTATTGAACTGTATTCCCTGTGCTGCACTTTACCCCCCTCTGACTTACTTACATGGTAACTTGAACTGTGTACCTCTGTGCCCCTTATTGCCCTTCACTTTTTGTCCCACACCCTCACTGCCCAGCCCTATGGCAACTATCAGTTTTTCTGAATCTGTAAGTCTGTTTTTTTGTTCTTTGTGTAGTTTTTTAGATTGAACACATATGTGAAATGATACAGTATTTGTCTTTCTATGACTTATTTCACTTAACACAGTACCTTCTAGGGTCTATCCGTGTCGTCACAAATGGCAAGATTTCATCCTTTTTCATTCTGACTAATGTGTAAATATACATCCATTTGTTTTTTATCCATTTATCTGCTTATGGACTAGGTTGTGTACATATCTTGGCTATTGTAATGTTGCAGTGAACATAGGGATGCACATATCTTTTCAAATACTGAATTATTGAGGGTTTTTTCTTCAGATAAGCACCCAGAAATGGAGTTGATGTGTCCTTCTTTGTCTCTTGTTATAGCCTTTGTTTTAAAGTCTGTTTTGTCTGATACAAGTATTGCTATCCCAGTCTCTTTTTTTATTTTGTTTCCATTTTCATGAAATACCTCTTATTATATCCCTTTACTTTCAGCTTATGTGTGGCTTTCAATCTGGAGTCTCATGTAGGCAGCATATGTGAGGGTCTTGTTTTTTATTCATTCAGTCATCCTATGTTTTTTCAATGGAGCACTTAATCAGTTTACATTTAAAGTAATTTTTGATAGATATGTACTTATTGCCACTTTATTTGTTTCCATACTAGATTTATAAGTACTTGGTCTATTATCTTTACTATATGTTGCTTTTACTAGTGAGAATTTTTTTCATATATTTTCTTATCTCTAGTTGCAGCCTTTCTTCTCTACTTAAAAAATTCCCTTTAACATTTTTGGTAATGTTTGTTTAGTGGTGATGAACTACTTTAGCTTTCGCTTGTCTGAGAAAAGTCTTGACCTCTCCTGCAATTCTGAATAATAACCTTGCTGGGTAGAGTATTTTTTTTTGTTGTTAGATTTTATTTATTTTTAGACAGGGGAAGGGAGGGAGAGAGTTAGAGAAACATCAATGTGTGGTTACCTTTCATGTGGCCCCCACTGGGGACCAGGCCTGCAACCCAGGCATGTGCCCTGACTGGGAATCGAACTGGCTACCTTTTGGTTTGCAGCCTGTGCTCAGTCTACTGAGCTACACCAGCCAGGGCTTCTGGGTGTAGGGTATTCTTGGCTACAGGTATTTTCCCTTCATCGTGTTGTATTTATTGTGCCACTCCTTTTTGGCCTGTAAAGTCTCTATTGAGAAGTCAGCTGGTAGTCTCATGGGCATTCCCTTGTATGAAACTAGTTGTTTTTCTCTTTCTGCTTTTAAGATTCTCTTTTTACTTTTAACAATTTAATTAAAATCTGTCTTGGCATGGGTCTCTTTGGGTTCATCTTGTTTTGGGACTCCGTACTTCCTGGACTTTTGGATGTCTGTTTCCTTGATCAGATTAGGGAAGTTTTCACCCATTATTTCTTCAGATAGGTTTTCCATCCCTTTCCCTCTTCTCCTTCTGGGATTCCTTTGATTCAAATGTTAGTACACTTGATGTTGTCCTAAAGATCACTTATGCTACCTTCATTCTTTTCAACTCTTTTTTATTTTTGATCTTCCAGTTGGGTGTTTTCACTATCCTGTCTTCTTGATTGCCACCCATTCTTCTTAGTCATCTGATCTGTTGTTGATTCCCTCCAGTGTGTTTCTCATTTCAGTTGTTACATTGTTCAGTTCTGATAGGTCTTTTTTTTGTATTTTTGTTGAAGTTCTCACTGAGTTTATCCACTTGTCTATAGAGTTTGGTGAGCATCTTTGTAACTATTGCTTTGAACTCTATCTAGTAGACAGCTTAGCTCAGTTTCATTTAATTCTTTTTCCACAGTTTTATCCTGTTTTTTTGTTTGGAACATATTCTTTTTCAAAAGGCTTTATTGATTTTTAGAGAGGGGGGAAGGGAAAGAGAAAGAGAGGAAGAGAAACATCAATAACTATTGATGGTTATTGAAGCAAAAGCTAAAGTAGTTCCTCAGCACTAAACAAACATTACCAGAAATGTTAAAGGGAATTTTTTAAGTGGAGAAGCCTTACCTGGGAACCAGGCTGCACCCAGGCATGTGCCTTGGCTAGGAATTGAACCACTTTCTGCTTTGCATGGTGACACCTGACCAATTCAGCCACATAGGTCACAGCTAGAACATTATCTCCTCTCATTTTGCCTGTTTGTTTCTGTGTATTAGGAAGGTCAGCTAAATCTCCTGATGTTAAAAAATGGCCTTATTTAGGTGTCCTTTGGGGTCCAGTGGTAGAATCCCTCTTGTTATCAGAGCCAGGTGCTCTGGAAGTATTCCCTAGGTGGACTAGTGTGGCCTCCTGTTGTGGCGGGGCCACAATGTCTATGGACACACTGGCAGGTGAGGCTGGTCCCTGGCCCGCTGGCCGTGGGGGCCTGGCCACTGCTGTTGCGGGCTCTCTCGGCAAGCCTTCAGTGTGGTTGGGTACATGGCCCAGCTACACTGTTGCAGACACACTGCTATGTGCTGGTGCTGACCGAGGCCACCCACTGGGTGTGGTGGAGCAAGAGCACATTTGGAGGGGTGCTAGCCTGGGTGGGTCCTCAGGGAAATGCCGGAGTGGGGTGAGCGGTGTTAGCAAAGTTAATGGAGAGTGTCAGATGTGATGCCTGCCAATATCAGACCAGCTACGTTAAGGAAAGGAGGGAAATGACACCTACCACACCTCTGACTCGGGAGAAAATTCCAACAGGTCCCTGTTCCTACAGCACACACCCTAAGATTAGTCAGTGTATCATCTTCACATATGACTTAGGTTCTTTTCAAACTGCTGCCTCTGTGCCAGGACTCAGAAAGAGCACAGCTTGGGTTTCCTTCAGCTTTTTGGCTCTCCCAGACATAAGCCGCACTGGTTTTCAAAGCTAGATGTTATGGGTGCTCCTCTTCTTGGTGCAGGTCCCCCAGGCTAGGGCTTGGACCCCTCGCTCTTCAAAGATGACCTCGGCAATCGTGATATCTCTCCCACTGTGAGTCACCACATAGGGAATGGGGGATAGGGTGGGTGTTGACTAGACTTTCGGTGTGGCTTTTTCTGCGTATCCGTAGTTGTAGAACATCTGTTCTGGTGGTCTTCAGGTCAGTTTAGATGTTAGTGAGAGGGGGTGAGCTCAGGATATTTCTGCTTTGCCACCTTGAACTCAAAACCAGGAGGCTTGTTCTTGACTGCCAGTTTAGCTTGTCTGTGAAACGTTCCTTGTGCTTGGTGTGCTACCCCCACAACAAACATGTCTCTGGATGGGATCGCTGAGCTGGGATGCAGCTTTCGTAGCACCCTTTGAACCCAGTCATACGTTGCTGCCTGTGGCCTCACATTACCTGTTAGTCCCATCGAGTCGGTGCCTGGGCGCTCCCTTAGACTTCGACTACATTTTTCTTTGCTGATCTTTTTATCACAGAGCAGCAATTGTGAGGATAGGTGGGGAAGTTTACAGTTTCTTTACTGTGAAAAGATTGTTTTCTGTCTGACTTCATAATTAGAAAGGGTACTTTGGGCTCTTAGAATTTTCCAAATGTTCATTAAAATCTTCCTGTTTCTCTTACTTTACAGCATGTACATCAGTTAAGTTTATGGTTTATTTGAGAGAGGTTATTTGAGTATTTCTGCACCTTCTTGTTGTTCAGTCTTATAATCTCTAAGTGTTTTTAAAATATATTTTAAAACATCTTGTCTCTATTTTAGCAAAGCTCCCTTTTCCCACAGGACTGTTAGGCAGAGAAAGAATCCACTTTTCCTATCTACCAGTTCCCAGCATATATGGACGTACTCATAGGTTAAGTAGTTTTGGTGGCCTGATTGAGACTCTAAAATATGACAGAATCATGATTGGCATTACTATAGTTATATGGAGCCTGCAGTCTAGTCTACAGACTAACTGTAATAGTAGTTTTAGTAATGACAGTCAACATCTATTGACCATTATGTACTAGACACTTTTTATGTATTGTCTTATTTCATCTCCATGACTCCTAGGTAGACACTGTTAAGATCCCAGTTTTACAGATGAATTTTAACAGGTTAATTTACCTGCCCCAAATCATCCAGTGACTGCCTTTTATAAACAGCACATTCTTTTTTCTACTTCTCAGGCATTTATATTCCAGAGGATGACAGAGATGCCCCAGAGAAGTTTCGTGGTCTTGGTGTACGGATTGAGGATGATGTAGTGGTGACTGAGGACTTACCTCTCATCCTTTCTGCTGATTGTCCCAAAGAGATAAATGACATTGAACACATCTGCAGCAGGGCCTCTTGACCCTCGTTGCAGCCCATGTGCATCTCAGGTTCAAGGGGTGTGCACTGGCACTTGTACACGTGAGCTTTCTGAGTGTGTGTGCGTGCCTTTATCTGTGAGTTTCATTTGGGAGTGTGGGAACTGTATGAATGTATGTAATTGTGTGCATGGCCATTTTTTGTTTTAAGTAACTAGAAATCGGGAAAGTTGAATTTTCGGACTGTATGTTACTGCAACTTTAGTAGAATTAATGACCCAGGCAGGTTTAATTTTTAAACATAAAGATAGTTCTTGGTTATATCTGTTCATGCATTCTAGTTAATACATTTAAATGCACAGGAAATTTTTCCTCTCTAGGTCTTTTCCTTTCAGAGCTTTTGCTAAGATCCACCTAATAGCATAAGATACTTGTGTGATGTGTATATTTGGAGCACATCACCGAGGCCTCTGCCTATACTAGAAGCCACCCATCTATGATTGTGTGTGGCGAATGCATGTCTCTTACAGATACCGACCTATTCCAGAACCTGCACATCTCCTGGAGACACATGAGCCCTCATGGCACTGGTGTCCTGCTGTTCCACCATGTAGCCACCATCCAGATTCCAGCAACACTAGCTGTCAAACAAAACAGCTTTGAGCCTTCTCACTCCTTGGTTGCCTAGGGCCTGGGAAGTATTTAGATTCTTGAAAAGGAAGGAATGAAAGAAAAAAAGGTATATAGGTGTCTGCTACAGATCCAACCTCCCATCTGTTCTCAGTCTAAAGATGATTCCTTTTCTAGACATCCATGCTTCCTGTGTAGATTCTGAATACACTGCCCCATAGCACACCCTTGAAGCTGCTCCTGGCCAAGGGCAGGTCCTCTAAGTAGAGGACCACCTAAAGTGAGAGGAATGGCACCTAGTTTTCAGGGAGATACTCCTGTTGACACTCTGTGATTCTTCTAGTGCTAACAAAAACAAAATATAAAACCCACCAAGTGCCTATAAACAGCCTGAGATCATCTTTCTCTGCTGATAGCACTGGAAGAAATCTCTCTCAGCACACCAGTGGACACAATTGTACAAGAACTCAGTTTGCAAAATGAACAAGGCTAGATTTTTGCAGATGGTTTATTTGGGACCTTCATCAAAAAGAGAAGCTTTGAGAACCGGTGTGTCATTTTTTAAAACTGGATATGAACCTGAGATATGTAAAACATGCTGATTTCTGGAGCATCAATTTGAGGGTTTTTAAGAAAACATTTGTTTAGCTGAGCACAGGCTAGGGAATTAACACTTACTGCAGCAATAGAGGTTTGCCCACCACACCAGGAAAACTCAAGGCACAGCCCAAAGCAGACAGGCAGTGACTTCTTCAGAAGACATAATGCAATGAACCAAAGTGATGCAAATCATGTCCTGACAGCGTTTACCCACAATGCCTGGCTTTGCTAACCTGATCTAAGCAGCTGTGGGAATGGATGGCCACACAGCTGGAGTCAGCCTCTCAGTCCTGTGCTACCTTCCAAAAGGACAGGACTGAAAACAAATCTACAGCTCGGGCTTCTCACCCTTGGGCCTCTGTGGCCCTAATAGCCCTTAGATTGGGTCTCCTTTGCTCATTCACAATCCTGGAATAAGGAATTGCCTTTCTCCCTAAAAATAATTTTCTGTGGTCTTAAGTGTTTCAGCTAAACGTTTAGGCAGGTTTTTTGTACAGCAGCATAAAACAAACTCCTGAAACAGACTCCTTCCAGTTAGAGTCCAGCCAAGTTGTACAGGTGTTGGAAGTAGTAATTCGAAAGGCTTCTGTGGTGCTTTCGGCTGATTTGTATTCCCTGACCCAGGAATATTGCCCTTGGAGCCCCAGATTAATCGTTGCCGCTAAACATTTGAGTCTGTCAGAACCATCACGAGATGACCTAGCGCCCATCTCAGAGTGACGGTAAAGGCTGTCCAGTAGATCCAGGGCTGTGAGCGGCCAGATATTCGCAGTGCAGAAGTCTCATCCATTCTTTGTCGCACCACAGACATGCCCCACATTTCCCTCCCTGTCTCAGTGTGGTAAGTGCTTCATGTACATACCAGGCTCTCCTAGAACAAAAACCAGAGTTTTCAAACATCTTTCAAATGCTCCACTGGAATTTTTCTCCCTGAATTGAGTAGATGAGCTTGAATCATTAACAGTACCATCTCAATGAAGGAAGTGTTATCTAGACAACCTCTGCCACATACTTCTGTATGTTTATTTCAGAGGCTGCTCTTCCCCTCTGTCCCCCATAATCAGGAACTGGACTGTAGAGTAAATTGCTCTTCCCGTGGCCCTAATAGTCACGTTAGGAAGCTACTTCTGGTGGTGACGTCAGGTTCTCTGTGTGGGTTTTAAGCCTGGGCAAATACACTTAAAGCTAAAGTGTTGAATACTCCAAGTAGGATGAGAGGAGGAGCACATCGAGAAGCCCTAACGTCAGTGCGGGATTCCATTGTCACAAAGCATGTGGCGCCTCCTGGCTGCTCTTCTGACCTCAGCCCCTGTGTCACTGGGGAGCTTGGGGTTAGCATCAGTGTTATTTGGTTCGAGGGTCCCCATGAAATCAATGCCTCTTTGGGGTGTGCTCATGAGGATCTGAGAGAACTAGTTTTCTTAGCATTTCTTAAGGCTTTGTATCACTTCTGTGCAATTATATAAATTTGGACGAAATGCTGTTACTTTTAAGGCCCTTTCCACTAAATATAGTTGTCATTCCCCAATAAGGGAAAAATATTTGTTATTGTCATTTAAAAATAAATTATAAAATAATGAAAGTGTAACCCATGTGTGTATTATTTTCAAATCTAGAATCTACAGCTTTAGGAACATTTTGATTTGCAAATTTTTTTAGCCCTCGCCTTTGTATAGCATTGCTTTTAGAGAGAGACACTGATCAGTTGCCTCCCATATGCACCCTGACCCAGGATCAAACCCACAACCTAGGTATGTGCCCTGGCTGGGAATTGAACTCACAGCCTCTTGGTGTACAGGACAACACTCCAACCAACTGAGCCATTGGGCAGGGCTGGCTTACAATATATTTTATTTTACAGAGTGTCCATTAATTGCTGTCACAAAGTCATGATAGCAAACTCAACATGATCTTACTAGTCATAGATGGGGGAGAAAACAATGGGTTAGATATAGTCCGTTAAAAGATTGCCTTAAGGATCCAATGTATAACGTGGTACCTGGGGTTGGTAACACTGTATTATATAATTGAACTTTGTAAGAATAGAGCTTAAAATGTTCTCACAAAAAAAATGTAAATATGTGAGTTGATTGAGGTGTTAACTAGATAAAGGGCATCATTTCACAATATCTTAACGTTTTGTCAATTATGCTGCAAGAAAGCTGGGAGCAAAAATGGTTTACTCCACAAAACTAACCCGTGGGTCTTCAGGCAGCCTCTATAGAACTTGAACCTAAACTAGAGCTGTCGGCATTTTATAAAGGTTGATTTTTGTGGGGACGTAGGGTCAGTTTACAAAATTGTAAATAGGGAACTTTTGGTTTCGGCCTTCGGCTCAGAGGAGACAAAGATGCACCTTTGGTCGTCCCAAACCCGTGCTCACTCGAAACCAGCCACCTCCACTGTGCCGTTGAAGTTCGACCCCAGAGAGACCAAAATCGTACACCCAAAGTGCACTGGTGGGGAAGTCAGTGCCACGTCTGCCCTGGCCCTCAAGCTCAGCCCCCTGGGCCTGGCTCCAGAAAAGGTTGGTGATGACATTGCCAAAGTGACTGGTGAATGGACAGACCTGAGGATTACAGTGAAACTGACTATTCAGAAGAGACAGGCCCAGACTGAGGTAGTGTCTTCTGCCTCTGCCCTGATCATCAGAGCCCTTGAACCACCAAGAAACAAAAAGAAGCAGAGACATTAAACACAACGGAAATACCACTCTCGACCAGATTGTCAACATTGCCCAACTGAAGCAGGACTGATTGGCTAGACAATTCTGGAACCATGAAAGAGATCCTGGGGACTGCCCAGTCTGCGAGCTGCGGTTGATGGCTGCCACCCTCCTGACATCAAGATGACAACCGTAGCGTAGTAGAATGCCAGCTAGTTAAATCCAAAAGAAAGTATTTCAATTGAAGACCATTTGACAACCAAAAATAAATATGTGCATTTTCTCATTGAGCCATATCAAGGATCCTATGTGACCCTGGCTGGTGCGCCTCAGTGGATTAAGCACTAGACTGCAAACCAGAGGATCACTGGTTTGATTCCCAGTCAGGGCACATGCCTGGGTTGCTGGCCAGTCCCTAGTTGGGGACGTGCAAGAGGCAACTTTCTTTCACATCAGTGTTTCTCTTCTTCTCTTTCCCCCTCTTTTACCATCTTTCTAAAAATAAAATCCGTTTAAAAAAATTTGATCATTGAATTCATGAATGGATAAACAAGTGATCTATCCATACAATGAAATGTTATTCAACCATAAAAAAGAATGAAATGCTCACACATGCTACAACATAAATGAAACTTAAAAAATATGCCTAGTGAAAGAAGCCAGACAGAAGAGGCACATGCTATATAAGTCCATTTTTAAAAAATTTTTTATTTACTTTTAGAGGGAGGGGAAGGGAGGGAGAAAGAGGGAGAGAAACATCCATGTGAGGTTGCCTCGTATGTGGCCCCCACTGGAGACCTGGCCTGCAACCCTGGCATGTGCCCTGACTGGGAATCGAACTGGCAACCCTTTGGTTCGCAGCCCATGCTCAGTCCACTGAGCTACATCAGACAGGGCCTAAGTCCATTTTTTGTATGGTTCCATTTATGTGAAATACCCTGAACAGGAAAACTCATGGAGACAAAGTAGATTAGTGATTGTCAGGGGCTCAAAATAGGGGGAAGTGGAGAGAGAATGCTAACAGGTAAAAAGGTTATTTTTCAGGTGGTGGAAATGGTCTGGAATTAGTGGTAGCTTCCCAACTCTGTGAATATACTAAAACCATTGAATTGTATACTATTAAGGGAATTTTATGGTATCTGAACTAAACCATAATTTACCACTGATACTAAAAAGGCATCTAGTAACTTATTGCTAAAGATTTTATTTATTCTTTAGAGAGAGGGGGAGGGAGAAAGAGGGAGAGAAACATCAATGTGTGAGAGATCCATCAACTGCTGATCCTCTCGCATGCTCCCAACAGGGGAACCAGGGCCCCAATCCAGGCATGTGCCGTGACTGGGAATCAAACCTGTGACCTTTTAGTTTGCAGGCTGGCACTCAATCCACTGAGCCACACCAGCCAGGGCTAGTAATTTACTTTCAGTGACAAAATGTAATGTGAAATTTCTTATAATATGGATTTCTAATCAAATTAAGGTCACATCAAATATTTCAAGATAATGAAGTTATAATTTGCAGAATGTACATGTATTTTTTTAATCCTCACCCAAAGATATGTTTATTGATTTTTTTAGAGAGAGAAATATTGATTGGTTGTCTCCCGTACATGCCCTCACTCAGGATTGAACCTGCAACCTTTTGATGCATGGGGATGGTACTACAACCAACCAAGCCACGCAGCCAGGGCCATACATGTATTTTTAGAATAGTCACCCTGCCATTAGCTTTGACCACAAAGGTCAGAAGTACCCAGTGTGTGTGCAGCAGAAAGCAGGGCTACCCGGAGCTGCACCTGCAGAGTCCAGTCTTCAGGCCCGTGACACCTATGGCCAGCGTGACCTCAGGAGCCTGACACAGCAACTGCTCCAGTAACTCCATGGCTTCCTTGTCTTTGATGAGCAAAGGTGCACTTAACAGCTACTGTGAGTGGATGACAGGGTGATGGAGCTCCTCCTTGGCCATATTTAAGTGAGTCCAGGGCTCCTGGTGATAAGGTGACAGCTAAGGGGCTCTAGCTGCTCCAAGTTCCATCCATCTGGCCATCCTCAGGACAGGGGATCAGTATCCTCCACATGCCAATGTCAAGGCACATCGCTTAGGGCACAGGTGACCTAATCCGAGGGCCAAATCTGGCCCTCCACCTTGTTTTATCTGGCCCGGCACCTTGTTTCTACCTGGCGGCAGTGCTGAGCTCTCGCTTAACTTTAAAGAAGTAGTTACACTTACACAGTACTAAAATTACATTCAGCCCTTTGGAGGCAACCGTGAGGCTGATGCCCCCGCTGAAAATGAGTTTGACATCCCTGACTTAGAGTATTTAAGGTCATAAAATCTACAATTATGCTGAGTAGGGCTTACCTTGCACATAAAAACGTGTGGCACTGTAAACACTGAGCCAGATTTCTACCAGTTTTGAAAGCCCAGTGGTTCTGGGTAGTTGCCACTGAATGCTGTCTTTCTTTTCCTAGAAAAGTTGGGATTGGGAGGCCTACAATGTATGCCAAAAAATGTTGGGTTATGTTTCTCTGCATATTATATAGATTAAAACCTGCAATACTCTATAGCCAGTCCCTGTACTGATTTTAATCTGGGCAGTGAACAATACATTATATGTAAATACTTCCTTACCAGAGGGATCACTGTATATAATAAATTGTACTTGACATTGCATAAAGTAGGTACATCAGGTGCAGAGTCCACCTGCAAAAGCCTGAAAGAGTCTACCTTGACAAAAATTTTTATTCTAAGAGTATGGTGTCTCCTCAACAAATTAAATGATTACCACTTGACTCAGCAATTCTACTTCTGAGCACACACTCAAGAGAACTGAAAGCAGCAGTATCCACAGTAGCTGAGGGATGGAGACAGCCCGAATGAATGCCTGTTAGCGCGTGAATGAGTGAGCCAAATGTATAAATCCGTGCAGTGGGATATTATTCAACTTTAAGAAGAAATGAAATTCTGACACCTGCTACAACGTGGATGAACCTTTAAGGCATTATACTAAGAGAAATAAACCAGATAAAAAAAGAACCAACCAGTGTGATTCCACTCTTACAAAGTGCTTGGAGTCATCAAAACCATAGAGACAGGAATTAGAATGGTGGTTGCTGGGGCTGCGGGGAGGAGGGATGAGGAGTTAGCATCTAATGGGACGAAGTTTTAGCTTGGGAAGATGGATGGTTGTGACGGGTATAAAACCACATGAATGTACTTAATGCCACTGAACTATATGCTAAAAATGATCAATGTCATGCATATTTTACCACAATAAAAAATTTTAACTATATTAGCATGTGCACTGGGGGAAGAGGAAGGCAAAAGGCAGATTGAGGTTGACAATATTTTAGTATTTAAAATAAGAACCAATAAAAAGCTAACTTAGTATCATCAAATACAGGAGTTTGTAACTCATGGTCCCCGCAATCATCAGACTATGAAGAGTCGCGTATTTGGGGGGACCTATTTTTAAAAAGGTATACCCAGGAGAGTTACCAAGAAATAGTGTCATAAAAAGTGGTTGGAAGAGCAGAGGCTATTTGGGGTGGAAAGAGAAAGAGAAGCATGATGGCTGGCTCCAAATAGTTGTAAAGCTGTCAGAGAACATCTTATTTTATGCTGCTCCATTAGGCAGAACAAGAACTGGTGGGTGGAAGCTAGCAGTCACAGATACTCAGAATTTTAGAAGTAAAAAGGGAGGCCAGGGACTTTATCTAACCACCTTACAGAGAAGTCTAAAAGATGGGGTGACTTGCCTTGGATCACACAGCTAGTTAGTGTGTGGGGTTTATAGGGAGGCCTCCCACTTCCAAGATCTGGGTGCTTTCTCAACAGCACGCTCATTCCCAAAGCCCATTCCAAGTCACGTCCACACTCTACAATTTCGGTACTTTACCTCCTCAAACTTAGCTAAA